GTTAAGTTCCATTTCACGCAGTTCCCCTGGGATCCATCTTGATGGCCGAGTTTCATCTTCTGTTCTCCTTAGTTCTGTCTGCACCATTGATCCTTCCGCCACTTTGTCAGAATCTCTTTATCGCTGTTTGTACTTGATACCTAACCCTCTACCATTTTTTGTTGTTCATACAATATCCTGGAGCTTTAAACTACTTTCAGCATGTTCTACTGCCTACTTCACTGATAATTTTCTCCCAGTTCTTACTTCAATGCCTTCACTACTTATTATCTCATCAGACCAGTCAATCATATAGTGTAAGCAGCAGCCGTGTTAGCAACTTTATACATTTCAACCAGTGAGTTGAATTGCATCTGTAGGTTTGACCACCACCTATATAAGCCAAAACTGGTGAGTGATGGAGGGAGCCGAGCTATCTCCTTAGATGCTTGCTAACCGACTGCTCCAGCTCCTCAAAGTTGGTTTCAATATAAATCCGAAGAATTGTTTGATAGTTTAAATATGATTAACTTTCCTGTGATTTCACTCCAAGTTTGCTTCGTTCTGTCCATAGATCATGAATAAATTGATACTCATCACAAGACAATATTTTTCTCGATTTCAATTATGCTTTATATAAATAACTGTATGTGTTGAATAAAAAATTTTCATGACGTGTAGTTGTTATTATCATTCGATGATAAATGACAAAAAGTATTTATGCTGGCATGATATACAGTCCCTCAATATTTCAATAAGGAATTGTCAGTTGCAAAATGGTATTGTGATCTTATAATGAACATTCGTCATACTATGACTGGTGAACCTTTCATACTTACAGTTTAGGTTTTTGCATAATTAACAGTCTTAAATATTGACAAGATGATCAGGCCACCATATTAACCATATGAGCAGTGGCTGAAATTTGATAAAAATAACAGTTATTATAAATGGCACAATGAACAAATCTTCTTATATTCATAATTGGCATTTACAATTTCAGGTATTTGACGCTTGAAGAAAAGCAACTAAAACTCTATCAAAAACATTCTGTCTACAGTTCTGAACATATCCTCCAAATCAGTGCCCTCAGCGCTTTGTTTTAATAACTTTTACATTTTCTTCTTGACCAACGTGTAATGTATTCTCGTATGATCACAGACTGCCACTCATGTTAATTAATATTTCCTTCACGTGACTAGACTCGTATGTCAAAATCTGTAAAAAATGTAATAATGCCAAAAGAATCCTACTTGTCAGCTTATGATTTTTAAATCCGATTACACTTATGTATTTTCTTGGTAAAGTTTATAATAAATGCATCTTATAAACATATGTTCCTTTGCAAAGAATTATTGATGTTTCATAATCAGATTTTTGTAAGCCTTAAACGTCAATAAAAAGGTGTTTACATGTATGTTAATATCCTCATTTCCTCTTTAATTGCCTAAATAGTGGGTGTCAATCTTTATTGTTCTTCCATCATATCATAATATGTAATTTATGAAATCTTTTATTTCATTTCGTTTAGTGACTTGAATACTTCTTTGATAATCTTAAAATGTGGACACATTAGATTCTTATACTTCAAATAGAAACTAATTTAAACCTTAATCACTGAGTTTGTGATTTTATATATAGTAGTAACTTTGATATCGTTTTCTTTAAATCTACGAGAGCTATTGCCAAGGTCTTGACATGAAATATTATCTAGTAGACCTCTGCTAAGCTATGGGGTCAAATAGGTCCATTTTGAAGGGGGTAATGACATTTCCTTCTGTTGCAAATACAGTCTAACTTGCCCATGCGACCACGTATATTAGGCGACTTTTGTCTTATGCGGCCAGTTTAAATTCATCCTCGATCATTTTCTCTCTATATCTATAATGTATTAAGCGACTTTTGCTCAACGCAACCAACGACCGCCAATTAGTCAGCTAATTGAGATCAATCTTTTCATTTAACGACCGCTTTTAACTGTCAAGTAATTGTGTTTTCAGAGAACAACGCCTCCTAATGTCACAAATGTCAACAATCAAAACACAAAATATTAATGTGTGAAAAAATATATTTCCCAAACAGTTTTAGCGTTTGCAAATAAACTTAAGTATACACGTGACGTGTATTATCCAATAATATCGATAAAACAATGCAACGCTCCGCCCCTACTGAGATGGTGTATTCGCTTCGCTGTCGATATTTAGACTGAATTGAATTAATCTGTGTCATTTTATGTCATGTACGACCGTAAAAGTAGAAACAACGAAAGGAAAATCTACATGGTTTCGTACCTAGTATTTCGATATTTTACCATCGTACTTTTGACTTATCATCGTACCTTTGACTTTTTAACATAGTGGTTTCGTTATTTCAATTTTTTTACGATCGAATTTTCGTGTTTTGATTGGTTTGAGTTATGTGTGTTCTCAATAACAGGACTCCGCTATAACATAACCGATGAGAATGGAATACGAAATAATTCTATGTACATGTCAACAAATGAGTCCCTTTGGACTTTTTGACTTAAAGTGAAAACTGGCAAAATATTTTCTTAACACGTCAAGGCTTATTGAATAGATACCACAAAGGGCAGAGGTAAATAGAAGTACTAGAAAAGAGTAGATATGTTAATAACAATTGGAACGGAACAGACAATGAAAACGCACCTACACTTAACCGAAAACAAACGAAAACAAAAAAAGAACAAAAACAAAAATCTCTTGTCTACATTTTTTCAAGGGAATATTATAATTTAATGCCACATGTCCATCTTATCAGAAGTACATTTATTCTTCAACATTTTGAATAGTGTAATCATTGATAACGACGCTGCCGATCAAAAGCAATTAAAAATGAAATCAAATCTAAAAAGGGAAACATTGCATCAATCCACTAAAACAGCTCTCCCATGCACTATTTCATATCGACATTCTTAATGTAACTACATGTTTTCACATACAATTATGCAAATTATTCCGATAATAAAGAATTTTCTTAAAGAAACTTCTCATTGCATTTGATAATAGATCGTTTTACGATAGAGTTTCGAAATTTGAGTAGGAAAAGTACAATATATTATTTAACAGATATAATGGTATTATCGGTATATAAAAAAGATAATTACAACCAAATTTCAATATGATGATACAAAGAATGAAAGAGAAAAAAAAAAGAAAAAATATGATACGATATTAAAATAAATAGACAGCGATTTGTAGTAGAGGGATTAGGAAAACGCTCGAAGAATAATCTTAAGAACTTTTTTTTTTGATGCAACACATGTTGCAATCTAGAAAATAATTTTCGTAATATGCGTGTGCATTTTTTGCTAATAATGTAAGCGTTTTCCTAATCCCTCTTTATTTATACAGAATAGAGTAATAATGAGGACTGCATGTTTTCGCATAAAGTTTTGGTCTATTCGATCATTGCTAGCTATAGTTACATATTTAGCTTTGCTTCGTTGTTTCTTTGATGAACCAGGAAGGTCTTTATTATATCGAAAACAAATAATAAAAGGAGATAAATCTTATCGTTAGTAATTTGTTTGCTGCTTATGTTTGTGGGGTTTTCACTTATTAACATAGTTTTTAATTTATTTGTTAAAATACAAATACATGAAAGTGATTGTGTCGATTATTATATCAAACAATGTTGTACAAGAATGGCAGTTCCGAAGATTTTGCATTATGTGTGGTATGGGCTAAAAGTCAAATTTGATTTTTATGGATTTCTTTGTTTTATAAGTGCTTTACGATTCGTCCGTCCCTGCTTGATATTGATCCATGGAAATATTTTACCGCAAGGTTTATATTGGAAGTTTATTATAAATATATATCCGAATATAATTCACGCTGAAAGACTTATAGAATCCAATTAAATATTCGGAAAGAAAGTGAAACACATCAATAATTTAAATGATGTTATTCGTATTGAAGCCTTGTTGAAGTACTTATGAGGGATGTTGACTTGTTACGACAGTATCCATGCACTATGTCTTATTTAAGACCACATTTTCACCTTGGTTCTTCGTATATTATGGCAGAACGAAGCTCCACGTTTATGCAAAAATGTGATTCCTACTCCTATGGTGCTATGCGATACCCTTACATGTTGGCTACACATTTCACAGATTTAATACACGTTGAAAATGAGACAATTTCAAGACCTTACAGTCCGCATGTTGTTGCAATATTTAAACATGGACTTCGTCCGTTTGATTGGTCAAAACTTTACGGTGTTCATCTTTACAGCAGAAAGAATGAGGAAGCTGAGAACGAGATGGTATTAGAGACCTAAATACAACGTTTGGAGCTATTGCTCGGCACATAATATTTGGAATTAAAGAACTATGCTCTAATTAAAATCCACTATAGGCAGTACTTGTATAAAGTTTTATTAATTCGTGATATTTACGGCCAATTAAGATTAATTCTGATTAAAAGAACGATATTTAAAAAATCACTAAATTGATAGTAGAAAATACATGATAAAATATAACGTGAATTTTAAAGCAGTTCTTATGTACATACTGTGTGACATTGCTATAGTGAAGCACAAAAAATGGAATACTTATTCTGTTAACAAACACTATATTGATTAAACGACCTATTGTAAATTAGTTGATGGCAACGCTTTGTGTCATTCATAATTGATGACAATTAATATGGTAGACTATTACCTGTACCAGAAAAAGAGCATTCCTACTTATAACCAATAGATTTGCTACGCAAGTTTAAAACACGTAGGTTACAGATAATGAATTTAAGTGCTACAGATACGACTTATATTAAGATATACGAAGTATATTAGGTTATTGCCTTGCAATTTCTGGAATAAAGGTATAGATGAACATCAGAATAACTGAGATAAGTCTCTATATCACAATCAATAAACAAACAGAAATGTCAAATGTTTCAATTAACCGATTTTACTGGATATCAGTTCTATTGGAGTTCGATATCGGAACAAAATTTAATTGAACTGGGGGGAGGTCGCTGAAATTTTAAACAAGCAAAATCAAACATTAATATATGTTTTTAATTCAATACACACTACATTGCAAGTATATAACTCTTAAAACATATCACGTTCAACCTTAACCTGCTTGAACCGAAAGTGATCAGCCTTTGCCACCATTATAAAGCCAGACCGGCGTTCATGCATATCTGTGCACTCCGACAAGGTTCTACACTTTCTGTATTTTGATATTATGATCTATTCAACATTTTCCAAATTCAAAACAGGAAATTTTCTTACACTAATTCAGCTCGTTAATGATATTTTTTCGACACACATTAGTTTTTTAGAAACACGGCTGACATATCAGTAATGAGAATAAAAGCTAAAAGAAAAATATCCCGGCATAATTGCATTTGAATTCTTGAAGCCGTACCTCCAATTGTACAGGTCTTTAAAACAGTTTGCCAAACGAGGCCCTTACTTGTAGGGTGAATACAACGCGTGACTTGTTGTGAAATGGTTATGGTATGACCATGTTTGTTAACACAATATATATACAAATTAATATCATTTGGGTACAAGAATATAGTTTATGTTATTTGAAAGCTATTTCACTGATTCCCCACCATTCGTCTCCAAAATGATCATACAAATAATTGTTGTGAGTAAGGTCAAGACAGTAAAAAGATAAAAGTTGAATTTCTCCGACATGATCACCATGTCTTCATATGTGTATTCAATATGTTCGTCTATGCTATCATCCTCTGGTTTATCAGTTTCATTTTCAGCCCAAGCGGTGCCTTTACTTTTTGGTAAGTCAATTTTCTCTTGGCTGACAACTTGAGTCTCTTTGATACCATGTACATCTTTTACCTCGGACAAGGCATCACCTCTGGGTCTTCGTCTGAAAACGAGAGCGGATTTAGATTGCAAACAATAATAAAATATTCGTTTGACTGATGCTGTTTTGGTCCTAAAATTGTATTAACGTAATGCTTACCATATAGCATAAGTGATATTTTATATGAAACGTTACATCAACGGTTTACTTCGTGTCCACGATATATGTATTGTTTTCACAACATACGTGTAATATCTTGTTCACAAAATATAATATTCTGTTCCAACGATATAATAACTCGTTTCGACAACAATAATATAGACATGTATCAGAAAATAAAAAAGAAATTCACATGATACCTCGGTAACTTCCTATAATACATGTAATTCACTTTACCCTGACATAATGAATTTCTTTTGTACGGATCACCAATAACCTAAAACAATTTAAATACAATTAAATTGCATCCGCCAATTTCAAACAGAAATCCATTTGCAGGAATTAGTGTGGTCGCTAAGTAAACGATTACTATACACAACAACTATAAATGTTAATAAAAGATAAAACAACTGTCATTGTATTACAAGTATCAACGGATGGAGGGTGATAGTTTACAAGGAGCCTTTGTATTATAGATGAAAAACAATACTTTGGAATTTGTACATTGTACTAAAATATACATTTCCTGCATTGTAATGTTAGAACCAACAACACAAGCATCACTAACGCTAGAACAGAGAGAGATTACTAGTACGAGTATTCTGGAACCAAAACTTAACAACAAAACAAACACAAAACCCTAAAAAACGTCCAGAATGACAAAAAATGAAAAATGTGAAAAGATCGGTTTGATTGAGCCTGTTTATGGACGATATTGGTGCAAGCTACCATCCACGTCCCACCTAGCACGGACTAAAGCAGAATTCACCATTTAAACAAAAACAAAATATGGCGAAAGGGGATCAGAGGATATGAAGTCTGCATATCACAGATAAGACGTCAAAAATGTTATTTAAGAAACATGCAACATATCCTAAGGGTGATTATACAGTATTCAAGTAGGAGGGATACTGGAACATTCCTGCAGTATGACCGATCTTGTTCTGACAGCTTATATTTTACATTTTGATATCGAAATCCCTTATTTTTGTTTAAATAAAAGCTTCAATTTCAAAACAAGACAAATAAATGACATAGATTCAGCGGAAAAAAATGAATACGAACCTGTATTTTGTTAGCTTAGCAAGAAGCCGGACAGTTTTCTTGCATGTTGTACCCATGATGTAAGTCTTATTATGGAGCTCATGAACTCTGCATACAAGCACCGTGACCAGTGTTTGTACAGAACACAGAATAAATGTCATTAATAAATAGACACCTGAAATTAAATATAATTAAATGCTTAATATATATGATAACTTGCATACAAATCATATCGATAAAGTCTGCATTTTCTTATTTGTCGTTTATTTATTGAATGCCGTTCTTCCTCAAATGAAAAGAACTCAGGGTTGCGTTTTATAGAAAGTGTCGTAGGTGTATCCTAAAGTCTAGGACATAAAACCAACTTTAGTACTATCTTAAGACTGTTTCAATAAATGTTTTTATCTTCAGTCAAAGACGGAAGAGGGCGTCCGTGGCCGAGTGGTTAAGGTCGTTGACTTTAAACCACTTGCCCCTCACCACTGTGGGTTCGTATCCCGACAGGGACTTTAGATTCTTTCATGTGAGGAAGCTATCCAGCTAGCTAACGGAACGTCGATGGTTCTACTCAGGTGTTTGTTCGTGCCTGAAATAATGCACGGAAGGGCACCTGAGGTCTTACTCCACCAGTAAAGCTGTAACGTCGCGATATGACCTATACTGTGTCGATGTGACGTAAAACCCAAAAACAAACAAAGACGGAAGACAAAAATTAAATTCATTATAATGCTGATAAAAGTCAAGAAATGCAATGACAGATTTTTATATTAACAAGGTGTTGTTGCTTATCTTTATTGCTATTCAGAAATTAAAAGAGTCATAAAATAAAAGTCTTCTATGAAATGTAAAATTGGCTCACTTTTGGTCTCAAGACTGATTTCAGACTAAGGACTTTCTATTTAACACAGCCAATGTGTGTATTATATACTAGCCAAAGCAATCAATCGCGCTATGATAGGATGATTGAGTACACAATTTTATACCGTGTTTATTATATATGTCATCGTAATTGATGGAGATAAGGCATTACGAGAAGTACATGTAAAAACAAAAATATCTGATAAACAAATGTGTTCATTTCATTTTTATAGTAATTGAATAGAAATAGAAATATATAAAAATAAATTCTTTTTTATCCAGTCCATATCTGTTGATGTTGTACTAAGTTGTAAACATTGGCTGCAAAATGATGTGTTCATCAATATATATGCTTTAGAAATTAAGATTGTTAACACACGTTATTGATGCATATATAACTTACTCAAAACGCAGATATGAGTTGATGTCGGCGGTATATTGTCTGAAACTATTGTCATAACAACCGACAATGACAATAAAATTGTCAGCGCAAAGCTAATCTTTTCTCCGCTTTCTACCGGCAGAATGAAAACAAATGGCGCCATCGTAGCAAGAATTATAACTGGGAGGAGCATGTTCAACAGATAGTATGAATACTTTCTCTTCAGTTCAAGAGTGAAATCTATTGCTGCCAGCTGGTAACCACTGATTGATCTAAAAACAATCAAGTTAAAACAAACATAACAATCGAGTTTAAAAGTCAGTGTATGTTGTCAGTTTCCGGACGCAAAGAAACAAAGTATTGACAAAAGGGGGAAGTAACAAAATATTACCGTTTAGAGATGCTGTATTCATATTTTCATACAGAAAACAAGGATGTTGTTAATCAATACGAGCATTTGCTTGAGTCAATAAAAAACGAAAAGCTAACAATACAAAACTGAAACCAATTGTTTTCATGCATCATATAGTATTAGTATGTTTTAACGATAAATGTATACTTTTTAATTATGTCCAAATGCTGACAGGTCTAAATAATGCTTGCTCGTACATTTACACTAAAATATTACATTTGCGTAGGCAAATGAGGGTACTAAAGGACTGGATGATGAAAACATATAAGAAAGCAAACCTGTAGAAATTTGAAAGACTCAATCACAACAAGTCTTCAATTTCATGGTTTTGCAAAACTCAAGTTACAAAAGTTGTTTTAACATTTCAGGAATATGTCAGTTTACAAAAGCAAATGTTGAGTGCGTGGTGGCAGCTGTTAAATATTGGTTGCTTGACGTTTATCTCAGTGTTCTGATAAATTCCTGGTTCTAAGGAATCATTGACTCCAGTACAAAATTAGTGAAGTATTCAATACAGGTTAAGCTGGTGCTAAAGGTCATGTAAGATGTTTCATTTTTCATTTTGAAACCTGTGCATGTTTATTGTTCATAATTGTCCCATTTTTTTAAAACAGTGATGTTAACACTTTGCTTACCTTGTTCTGTTTGTTACTGATGTCCCAGTGACTTCCCATTCGCCGTGTTCCTCATAAATGTCAAGGTTGATGGTTTGTGACATTGCACCAAGGTCTATCATAAATTCAAGAAACAACCAAGACGAAACCTTCAATAAAAATCATTGTTTTTACAACTTTACTGATTAATATTCAACAGACAAGTTTGTCAGTGTACTTGTGCAGAGACGAACACATTTGAATTGATTGTCTGCAAAATTTCGTTTTCCTTAATTTTATAACGCTATAAGAATTAATGAATGATGTTTCGAGAATTTTGTGAAAAAAACTCGATGCGTGCAACAATTCACTGCTCATTACAATAGCATCAAAATGCTGTATTTACATTTTTCAGTGTCCTGTTTGAATGTGTCATAATTGCTTGTCTAGTTTTTTTGTTTTTGTTTTTTTTTTAATGAGGGGTTAGACCAGTATTTGGGTCCAAAGTTTCAGATCATTCGCTCACTCTGTTTTTTTTTTATTTCAAAATACTGAAGGAAAATATCGCATGACTGTGACATGAATGGTGATACGCCTAAGGCATTGATTGTAGTAAATGTTGTTTTGAAATAATTATTTTTTCAGATAAATATGTTCTTTAAGTGGTGACAATTAATGTCAAAGCAATAGTAGGTGAAAAAAAATCTTACCACTAACTTGCAGCTTTGTGAATCAAATGGATAGTATTTAATGTTGACTGTGCATTGTGCTACAAAACTGGCAGGTGCCATCCATACGACATCCCCTGTTGAAGCCACATATACAGGAGAACTTGCGAAATCAGAATTGTCACCTAGTATCTTTAGTTCGTCAGCTCTGAAATTTGTTTATTTTTTAACAAAATATATACACAAGTTTATTCAGGTTAATGTTTTTAAACGATATAATTTCAAAATGGTATACACACACACACACACACACACACACACACGCACACGCACACGCACACGCACACACACACACACACACACACACACGATACAAACAGTATACGATGAACAAACAAGAATAGAAACTGTAAAGAAAGAAGAACAAAAATATAGTTGAAAATATAAATAAAAACACGAACGTTTAAAATGAGTGTGTGAGCGTTTATTAATATATTAAACTTTTCAGAAACTGGTAATTACATAAAATTAATATCGAATGTACGATTTTATGGTTTAAGAAACAAATGATTGAAAGAAAAATGTGAGGTTGGTTCTAGAAACCTACGCGTTGATAGGACAAGGCGATCTTGATTGTAACTAAAACATAACTTACGCATTACTCAAAACTAATGGCGGGATCCATATGTCAGAAAGTCTAAACATAGAAGCCGTTATATTTCCGTAATTTGAAGGTGTCCATTGCAATCGGTCATCCTTCCAGTCCTGAAAAAAAAACGTTTGAAATTATGTAGAAAAAGAAATATGACAACATAAAATGTGTATGTATGTTTTTTGTTTTATTAATTTACTAAAACTATTACTTAAAATATGATAAACAAGATCAACAAGGAAAGACTTTGTTTGTTTGATTAATCAGTCTTTCTTTTCTATCATAGATATGAGAAATTTAACTAATCTTTCAAGGTCATTGGACTGACTGTGTAACTTTGTTTGGGGATTATACATTTTTCCAACAGTATAAAGCCATGTCAATCCGTTAGTAGCAATTTTTCCGGCCAAAGGCAATCTAAAAATATCAGTTTGACTTCCTGTAATATCTACATAGAAGTAATGAATTTAAGAAGAAAATGTCATGGTATCATTGATAATTTTTACATTTTACATTGCTTTTTACTGCAAATTTACATGTGATTTGGTATCTTTTATTAAGATTCAGTATATTGAATAAGTACGCCGAATTGTGTATTACTTTTTGACGTCTCTTCCAGTAAACAAGTATACCTGGTGAAGAATTCTAGTCGTTTTATAAAACAATTATTATATTTTTAAGTTGAAACTGGAGTTGATTTCTATATTCAAACTTACATTTGTCATTTTAAAAGTATTGGGAGTCCCATTGGCCATTCTGATATAAAATGTAAAGGAAAGCTATTGTTTATTTTGATTATTTTTTATAACATTGAATGCACTGTTTTGAATGCAAAGCACGGCAAATCAATTAAAAATTTTTGCAAACATAAATTTTGCATATTTATGTAATACAACTACATCTTGTTTTGTTTTGTAAGATATATACTAATTTTCCTATATTGTAATTATAGTCACAGTCATATGGTAATTAGTGTATATGAGACATGTATATATTTTTATTGGAGCATTTGATTTGACCAAATGTGAGATAAAAACAGCTAATAGTTTTAAAATATTTATCTACATTGTAAAAATGGTGTAACATTTTTGTTAACTCGTGAAAGGTAAAGGAGACTTTTCTTGCAACCGTTGAACTGACACGTCACGACCCATATTTTCTGTATACATGGATATATGGTTCTTTTTATTTTCAATGAACCAGATAAGTGCCTTTAAATCACAATTGTTTACTTACAATTAAAAGAAACCCCATACTGAATAAACGTTGAGTTACAATGTCCTGAAAATATAGAATGAAATTATGAAATATAAAGTTAACAAACAACATATTTGCATGAAAACTGCCTTTCGATTTTACCAGTCAAACAGATTATAATGAGGCTATTTATACTCTTGTATCAAATTTAACGGACTGAATTTAAATCTCTCCAATGTTTTTTATTTTTATTCTACATAGACATTACAGAGCCCTGTTTTGCTCAGTATGAATAGACGGTTGTATCGAGGCTTTCTGCAAAGAAATACAATGACTGCATTGTCATTGATTCCAACACTTTTAAATGTTTAAAAATTGAGTATTGCTCAAGCCAGTGCTAGGGGGCGTTAGTGATGGTGCACTTTTTCATTGTCCCTCATGTACAAACTCAATCAAACCGAGTCTCAAATTTTCATGTAATTTTGTTGTGATTAATGCTTCCGAGATATCACACTTTATCCCGATAATTTCACAAACTGTATCTTTAATGTTGTCTTCATATTTTGGAGCATCCATTATGCCATAAATCAAACTGTTTTATAGTTAAGATTTTTGTGTTGAAAAATTTCACTTTCAAACACAGATAATATTTGTATATTAGTTAAAACGTGTTACATGTAAATGTAATTATAATTTAACAGCCGCTAGATAAAATATATTTTATCTAAAATGTCTTAATAATTTATTTTTATTCAACTATGATAAGTGTCAACTTTTTGTTAACGTACAAATTTGCTTAAATATCTTACCGACTTGAATGAGTTTTGGCGTTGTATGTTTTTGCATTTTTTGCAATGTCGAATTAATAAAAGAAAAACTGCCAAAGTAAACTTTTGCCATGAACATATTTTTCCTGTTTGCAATGGCAAATACTTCGTGTATGTTTTTGAAAACGATAAAATAAAGATTTGTTCTTTTAATCATTTAATAAAATGTGATAATCGTATTTGCAATTTAATAAAGCATACATGTATACTATTCATATTGATTTTTTTTTTTTTGAAGTTACCAAATTAAATGCAGTATTCTTGCAACGTTTCTTTCATATGCTCTGCAAGATTTATTGAATTATTGAATTATATTTTATAAAACACGAGGTATTACATTCCTCAAATAGTAATATGGAATAGAGCTAAAGAAAGCCAAAAAAATCGACAAAACTGAAACCTACCAGTTCAGTTATATGCAACAGTCCAAATTCCAACAAAAGGTTTGTTTGTGACTGTGGTCTTTGTTTCTTATCGTAATTAGCCAACATGTCTCTTTGTAACGTAGTTGTATCATTTACTGTGTAGACTCTCTGACTGGCTACTTCTTCTTGGAAAATGCTAAGACAACATACTGAAATGAACACATCGTTAACTTATTAAGATATAGAGGATATTTGTTTGTTTGTGTGTAAAGAAATTTAATTTCATCGAGTGGGCTTTAAAAACAGTATTCTCACGAGTGGCGTAGCCACGAGTGAGAATACTGTTTTTAAAATTCACGAGATGAAATAAAAATACATCTTACACAACAAACAAACAAATTTTCTTTTTATTTTATGCTTAACAACATGTAAAAACGAAATTTCCATAATTTTAACGTTGATAATAAAATCTGTTTTCCCGTAATTGCTTTATGGTAAAGTCCGAACAATGTTTAGATATTTAATTCATTTTCTAAACGTTGTCTATTCAGGTCTTTGACACAAAGTTTAAGCTTTTTTGTGAAAAAAAGAGTTGTTATTCTTGATTAATTAGTTATTTATCTTTACTACTGAAACATTTCAAAAGATTCTCTATCTACGAAAAAGATAAATTTGTAGGCAAAGACCAACAGACATGATAAAAAATTATATTTGTAATATAAATGATATTAAAAACTTAAAAAGACTTCATGTGCAGATCTACATGAATATTTGAAAAATTTATTCAATTGAAATGATGTTTTTAAATGTACAAAAATGTAACACATAATAAAGGGCGAATTGTGCACTAGTTGTGAAAAAATAAAACTTAGAACATGGCATATGAAATAAATACGATTCCTTTTAAACCTGGTATTGAGGTTCTGCTTATAAAAATATTGCCGCCAAATGCCGCAGTTATCAAATTTTAAATCAAATATTACACATTAGTATGAAGTGTGAAGATAATCTAAGGAAACATTAATATGGCTGTAAAAGTTGAAAATTACCACAAAACGTTATTTGACCCTGTTAAAGGACGTTCGCTAAAGTTGTCATAAAGTAAACACCTCCGTATAAAAAGACATTTACATTTTGGCGACAATATTGGATTTTTTACTAGCTGAATTCCGGGCTTCAATAAAATGAAAAAAACCTTTACTTTCTGTCTGTTTTTTCACATAAAGTTACCAATGATTTCAAGGATAACAAGTATATTAATCACTAGTATAATCAAAAATGATAAAATGGATGTGGGAACATTCACTTACTTTATTTTTCAACATTGGTTAGGAAACCTGATTTAAAACAAAGAGCTAATTGAATAGTCTTTCCTCAAAAAGAACTAGAAATTAAGCACATGTTTCAGTGCATTTCTTCTACTTTAAGCATATGGTCAAAAATGCACGATTATGTCACGGGTACTGGATTTTGTAAGATTGTTGATCACAGATGGAGTTTACATTAGGCACATAATGAAAAAACGGAGGCAATATATTTTTCGTCGTATTTTCTTAACGCGCCAAAGGCAAATTGTAACAGGAAACTGTTCCCAAGATCATATGTTTTAAGAACATTACGGTGAACAAAATGCCCCCAAAGTTAGTATGATAAAATTAACTGGCCCACAGCCTTAGAGAACGATAAAAATTGCGAATATAAGTGAAATGCTTGTTTGCCAATCCATGTATATTGTGGTGTAAAATGACACATGCTTGTGAATTTGTTAAAAGAAATATATTTAAACTAAAATTTGCGAAAACATGTGGCCGAACATTTCTACTTATCCAATGAACAAGTTTTCGCACTTCAAGTCAAATCGAATCTCTGAATATCAAATACCTAGTCTTATGATCAAACATGCAATCATCTATACTGATAACATTTCATGTTAAATATCAATACATTATATAAACCCTAGAATGTAACCTTTATAGAAATTTACAAACTAGTAATTGTTCTGTAATTGTCAACCAGGGATATTTATTAAACTGGACTTGATTTCTATCACCCCGTCAGGACAAATTATTTTTAATTAAGGACTTTATTTCTGAAAGAAACAAAATCAATTTTCATAATTGTCAATCGTTGTTTTGATAGATTGCATCGCAAATTGTCGGGTATTGCTTGGTGTATCAATAAATTCCGTACTGGTTCGCAAATATTTGCATTGTTTCGTTTCAACGTTTTTAAAAGGTGTTTCATTACAAAATATTGATGATTTCTATAATGCTTTATTAATCATGAAAAGTAAATAATTAATACCTAACTCATTAACTGATAACGGCTATGAAACATTACTCGTTTGTGATTCGTTTATGACATTCAATATTTTTATTGCCCACGTCTTTTATATAAGCAACAATCAATATAAATAATTAGAAAACATATCATCTACGTAGCATGAGTCTATAATGTTCTAAAAAGCTATTCGCTCTCATTATCCTGATAACTACCAATACGTTTTCAATGGAATTTGCAACTAACGTTAATGCTATATTTATCGTTTGAAAAATGTTTTGCATTCCTGTCCAGAAAAAGATAATAATTTATGAATTTATGCTTTAATCGAATCGTCAACGGGGATTTGATTCCTTAATATTATAAAAGAGAAGAATTTACAAAGCGCGCTTTATACAAACAGAGGTTGTCTGACTATAGAACATTTTTGCTTTTCTGAAGGAAGCAGTATAATTTCTCTTACAGTAGAATTAGCCCTTTATATTCTAGTAAAGCGTGATTTTTTATAAACACAGCACTTTTGACCTTAAAATTATATAGTATAAAATTATAGTAACCTTTAATTCAGCCCCAAAAGTTGAATGGACCTTAACTTCTGGCTGATTATTGTGACTAAATTTTGAATAAGAAAATACTTAGTAAGTTATATGTTAACTTTTAGATATGCGTAATTAATTTAATAGTTGAAGAACATATTATCAGGATAGATTAATAATCTTAATATATCCAATTTTAGTAACAAAACCACGCTTAATTGTCTAAATGGATTAGATTATGTTAATAGATTTATAAAAGATTAAAACAGATTAAAACACAGCGATATGGCCGGTATTTTAGATAAATGTAACAAAAACTTTTAATCTAAGGTATTAGGTGCCTTATGCAGAACCTCCTTCTGACAAATATTTATTTTCAGTGAGGATACTGAGTTTACTTGGTGCGTGGGTTCAAGCCTGTATTTGGGACCATGTGTTCTTACATTTCATTTTTGGGTCTTGGTAGATAATGGTTTATTTTTTTAATTCTTTTAAAAAATGTCAAATTAAGAATTTTTTGCAATTTGCTTTATACTTTTTACTGCTAATTGAGTGAAAATAAGGTATCTTCACAACTTTAAAGTGATAATGTCTACAATGGGCACGGCACATTTTACATAATTATTTCAAATATTAATTAAACAGCCAATAGAAATGTATAGTTTGGATATATTTTATGAAATGTTGCTTGAAATAAGATGCCGATAAAGTGCTAAGTGTTATTTATATGATGTTTGCATTGACATTATCATGTCTCAGTCAATCTCAGTTATTAATTCAGATATGATTTTCTTTGGTGTTGGTTGGTTTTATTTGACAACTATGGTTGTTTCTAACATCTTCTATAGTAAGATTGTTTGTGTCGAGAATATGATAAAGTTTAAAAATGTAAGGTTTTAGATGACTTTTGATTCATTGTCAATTATACATCAAATACCTTAACAAATAATAGCCAAGACAAAGAACGGACCTATAAGCCGTCTTTGTATGAATAACCTTTAGTTTGATAATTAAATCATTTCATAAAAATCTATAACATTTTCACAAAATTAATGTTCAGACATTCAAAACTTCGCTCACTGATTGCTGGCTGATTGTCTGATGAAACATATCATTTGTGCTTGTTTATGTCGGATTCATTTTCTTTTAGTATTTTATCAAATTAATTAATTACTATCAAAATGCGGCGACGACAGTTCTAATATATTTATCTATTCATGCTAAAAAAAAGTGGAGACTTACCTACAATGCATGCAATTACACGTATACCCATCTTAAAAGTTGTATAATTCAAGTCCAAATTACGCCGATATTATTTAAACATTTTAACAATCATATACTTATAGCAATAACGTCGTTTCCTTTTTACACTCTCACTGTTTCCATTTCAAGTGTGAAATACAATATCGATTAAATACGCCTGATCAAGTGTCACAAAAAAATATTATTTTATTTAAAATGTGTTTAGTTGTTTACTTGTAAGTGAAATGTTCTACTTAAAGCTATTGAAAGTTAAAGTAATTAATTACTTTACTATACTTTACTTAAGCACTGGATCTGCGCAGACTGACGTCATAATAATTCATTCATTGAAAAAAGACGCGCTTGTTAATTGAAATCGTTATTGGTTTATTCAAGCTTTCGGAAACGATCTTAATTACTTGTTTAAATGCATGTTTTCATTACTTTACATTGTTCAAATGTTCTGAATATTGACTAGATTAAACGAGACTAAGTACACGAAAAATCATGGCATTTTTGTAAAACAGGATTAACTGCGGAATGACAAGATTTATTTTGCCAGCACTTAATAAACATTGAAGTACATTAAAACTTCTGACGTACATTAGTCTGACACTTCGGGGCAGATTTTAAATTTCCTGCTTTGTTGCAAAACGTTTCCTTTTAGATTCTTGCAAACACATGGGAAGTCAAAAATAATAGCTCTGAAACAATTACAATAACAGATTCTTGCAAACACATGGGAAGTCAAAACTAACAGCTCACTTATGTCCTTGAATGAAGTCTTGCAACCCCAGGTTCAGGGTTTGATCCATACAGGGTAACAACAACCATGTCTCCTCATATGTCTTCAGTTTTTGGAAGCAGAAAGTGAATCATGTATAAAACTTGCAAAAACTTGTCTCACAATTAAGTAAAAATACTGTAACATCTGCAACTGCAGTATTCAGCATTTTCAGGGATACTTCTGAAGACATAAATTCTATGAGAATGTAATTCACTTTTGGTATACTGTCAAACATAGACAAGTCATTGACTTCTCACATGCCATCCTGAAATAACAAAAACCTGACTAATTATAAATGAAACAATATAGTGTATATGATGATTTTAATGAACAGAAATGAACTACAATTAAATTGTTATATAGTGTTGCACAGCTATTTGGTGCATATATAGTATTGTTCTTCATGTAAGAACTATGTAAGCAATATATTACAGTCTATATATCATGTACATGTAGCAGTAACATTCATCTTAAACATGACTAAAATAATCTAAATCTACATTATGTGCATGTATTGTGGTGAAGACACCTCACTTTATATTTCCATTATGTGCATGTATTGTGGTGAAGACACCTCTCTTTATATTTCACAAAATAGATTATTTAATATTGAATACTTTAAAATATACATGCTTACCCAATTGAAGTGTTTTTCTATCTTGACCAATACAGTACAGTTGATACAAAGTGATTGTCTTTTTCACTCCATACCCCTGGTGCTCAATAGGGCAAAGATGTCACACGTTGTGCCTCATTTCTAACAATAGTTTAGTATATTCATCAGCAAATAGATGAAATACCTATGTGTTCTGAAAATAATGTATATATACTTTAAGAGCGTAACATTGTTTTCAGTACATTAGACAGAGTATTTGCATAAAACAATACAGATAATAAGATCTCATCTGACATTGTATATAAAATGCTAAATTGCAAATAAGTTACATTGCTTCCAACAGCAATTCAGGAAATTTATCATTATCATTTTTTTTATAAAAAGGGTTGAGAATGGTCAGTTCATGATGATTATTTACATATGTATACAATGATTACAATCATAGTAAATCATTTGATCTTTAAAACAAGTTTCAAAACACACGTACATTTTCTTGTGGTCTTGAAGAATATGGCTATAACATTCTGGATATTATCTGCTTCAAAATTCTTATGAAGATGTTAAATGTATGTTGGCTGTCAGACCTAAAAACTACAACACAAACTATTTCATCATTAAAAAAGAACTGGCTCATAAATGTTAAAAATATCGTGGCAGCGGGGCTTCTGTTAGTGAAAGTTTGGGAGTCATACACTCCTTGATTTTGGCTTCTAAAATAATGCTTTTCCTTCTTTACCTATATTTAAAGTGACTTCCAATTACACACATTTTGCAGTCTTTGACTGCCAATGTTTGGAACTTAATGGAAGCCCTGCTCGTAGAATATGCATTATTGTATTTCAAAAGCAGCATGCAGTAGATCTACAGGGATAATGTTTTCTTTACTAAATTGGATCTTTAATTGTAATAGAAATTCATTTGTCAATAATTACAGTACTGGTACATTACTGTACAGTAGCCTTGTCATATATTGCCTTTAAAATTTACACTGACTTTTTAGAAATATTTTATACAGTATAAATCTACTTGATGTAGATCTATATCAAGCTCTTTCATTGAAAACAAACTGGAAAATATGTTAAAGTTGTGTCCAGTAATATATTTGTCCCAGTGATGTAGAAAAATATAAACAAAAATTAAGTGGCAACTTTTGTTTTATCACTTGTTTAATTTTTTCATTGCAGCCGGGACTTTTATTTATTTTGTAATGTAACCAATGTCTAATTTAGAAAATAAAGTTAACAATAATTTTCTATAAAGACCATGACAAATACAAATCGATTTCAATAAAAAATGTATCCCAAAAAATTGTCGGTCATGACCTGACCTAGATGCCTGCCATATTTATTTATAAACCAGTTCAAGTGTCTTGGTCCCATTTATTTAATTGTTTAAACTGTAAAAATTCGATGATTATTCAAAAATAGCATAAATAATTAAAGATGCACTAAACTTCATAATTATTTAATTAAACCTCCAAATCTGCAGTAAATGGAACTGACGTACATGTATGTAAATGGTAGAGACTCTACATGACTGTGTTTACTCGCTGACCTGACTCCTGATTCTAAATATAGATGTTTGGGTTAACAGTACATGTTTATCGTAGGCTGTTGAAAAATGGGTATACATAAAAATTGACCTAAACACCAATTTGTTGTTAATTTTCCACAAGGTAGAACATTTACACAACGTGTTGGAAGGGCGAACATTTAATTAACAAATATACTAATTAACTAAACCGATGATGAAAAGATAAAGAAATATTCACCGAAAAACAGATAATGAATTTATCAATTGGAAAAACAAACTACAAATAAGAATAACATCGTTTAATCACACAAATGTCAAAAAGCAAAACTCTACTTAGTGTCGGTAAAAAAAGTATATATATATACTTATATATCACTGGCTAAGCAAATTTCCATTTGCTTAAGATTCAAACTGTTATAGCCAAGTATACTAGCCAGTTATCTAGATATAATTATTCATCAATTATACGAATATGTTTATAATAAATCATTTTATAACACGATTGACATTTTGATGTCCAGAAATGTTTCATAAGAATATCCAAGTAATACATTTGTATTGTTTAAATCAATATTTGAAACAAATATTTAAAACATGCCTTTGTAGACTAATCCAATTTAAGTACACTTTGACCCTACATCTCTAAATACATTCACACAAGCAAAGTCTTCCGGGAAAAAATTGTGTTTTCCATCCGTTTTGGTTATGTTGACAGATTTCTTTAATCACATAACCGTATTTTCTGCAAAGCTTATAACTATCATTTTGTGTATAAAAAGTAGGATTTAAAAAACTATATTTTTGAACGCTGTATCCATAAAGGTTTTATTGTCAATCATATAGTTTATAAGCAAAATGCTTATACCATTTCCAAAACACCAGTCAGAAGTAATACGAAATATGTAACCTATAAAACAGCTAAGTAAAGAAGAATATGAATTTCCGACGAATAAGAAAAACTTCCGAACAAAAAAACAAAAACAAAACAAACAAAACTAAAAACATCAAGAATATTTATATCATTAAGTATGCTAATGAGATATAAAAAATGCTTTCTCATAACCCTACCACTATTACATGATATACTTTAGAATGGTAAAAATGGTAAACTTAAACTTTATCGAATATGGCAAACTTGAAAATGTAATATGCCCAACTTCCTGTTCTTAGGCTGCAGTGGGGAATGCATACTGACATCCATGCTGAACATTATTTAGAATAATAATGTTGCATATATGGTATATCATGATTAATGTTGGTACTTGAAAATACTGGTAATTTCTAGTGTAAAATCAACGATATTGCTCTTTGTCATCTAAAGTGCATGCATACCCGAATTGATATGGTTGATTCAGTTTACAGATCTAAATTGCACACATATGCAATGTCATTGTTATGGTTAAATCAGTTTACAACAGGCTGTATAATTATCTCAAAACTCTTCCAATATTATTGGCAGTAGTTGTACAGGTGAATTATATTATATCACAGTAAAATCCTTATAAAAATTTTGCGTGGATATAATAGGATATTGGTAGACTAAGGTAAGGATTTTATTTCGACTTAAGTTCAAGTTTACTTACTGCAGCTACTCTATTCCTAATAAACAGAAATCATATGGAGCGTATACTGTAAACTTTTTTTAAGATTAAACTTTTAACTTACCAAACTTAAACACTTAAAAGTAGAACTAATCGTTTTCATAAGTTGTTTGCCTTCCACGTTGATGATGCTTTTGTTTTATAGAACATTAATTATCACCAGCTGTAACAAAAGCTTTAAGATATTTAAGTTTAAACTTTTAATGACATTGATCTACTTAGTTTGATAGAAAATCTTGACTATTTACACATGCAGAAATATTCTAAATAAAATATGTTTAAACCAAATCTTGACTAAATATTTCACACCCATAATGCATATACATAATACGTATATAGTATGATAATTTCTTGATTAGTTATTAATTTAAATTAATTTTAAAGCTTTTATATCACCTTATAAAATAAAATCCCTCACTTTCTGTTTACATATTTGATCATACAAAGAAGCTGATGACATGAGCCAATAAGCTGAAGACACGGGCAAGTAAGCCAAAAACACGGACCAGTAAAATAAAGACATGGGCAAGTACACTGTTGACTTCGGCAAGGTAGCCAAAGATAGGGAGAAAGTGGCTGAAGTCACGGGCCAGTAAGCTAAATATATTTAGATGTACACAAGGGCGGGTCAGCCGATCACATAGGCCAATAAGCTGAATGGGCAATGGGCCATATAGGCTACGGCGCGTAAACTGAAAAACGGATCTGATGTTACTTTAAGTCACAGATATTAGTCGAAGACATTAAATGCAGAACAAGGTATCAATATTGTGGTAAAAAATGCAATAAAGCAATGATTGACTCTGTCAAGGATTTCTCGTTTGATGTTTTCAATTACCTTTTTTGATTGGATTTTTATGTCGCAGCAACACGGTAATGGTCATATGGCTACCTTTTAGCTTTACTGGTGGATGAAAACCTCAGGTTCCGTCAGTGAATTATTTCATGTACGGACAGGCACCTGTGTAGAACCACCAACGTTCCGTAAGCTAGTTAGATAGTTTTTTGTAACTTTTCAATAACTATCCAGGATATATAAATAAACAATAAAACATTTTGAAAATGAAATGCCCATTTACTGTAAATAAATCATGCAGTAAAACATATAAAAACAATTTACTATGTTGACTAGATTGTACCTAAAAAATCTATGCATTATATATTTTAGTAAAATACACATAAAAGCTTAGTTTACAAAATACCTTAACGTTGTTATTTGTTTTGTTATTTGTGTTATTATATGCTGCGTTAGAAATAAGTTTAGATTGTTATTGAGAATTTGAATATTCACTTTAAATATAAGACATGGATATGCTTTTTAAAATAACAGACTTGTTTTGTACATTTGACGGATCATAATACCCCGTAATCAAAATAATGAAATTACTGAAAATCACGCTTAATTGTATTTGCAATCTGGAAAAGGGGCTGATCCCTTGAAAATGGTACTGTTTGATTGAGTCTGTTCGTGATGATAGAAAGTGCCCAGTTTTCAAATAACTATAAACATGCTAAATAGAGTGTCGTTTTATATATTTTAATAATACGTTTCACTAATAATCTTTTTTATACCCAAAAACTTCCGGTAACATAACTTGATGGCGAAAAAGCTTTAAATTCTTGAATGTATTACTTGAGCTCGTACCATCCTTAAATGATTATATAGTTCTCCCCGCGGGTACCGCGTCCTTTCCCATTCCGGTGTAATCAGAAAATGTTGTTCTTTACACACTTAACTCCACCAGATACTGTTTTTACCATTAAAGTGAAAGTGGAAGAGCTGCTTTTTTTAATTTGGATAGAAATTGTCAGAAATATTTTCATTTCAAATAAATTTCTGTCAATGATAGGAAAATCCAAAGCTGCCCGCATATGTTGAAAATACTTCTTTATTTTACCCCATATTCACCAGTTAAAATGATAACTTCATGTTCTGACAAGTGAAGGTCATCTGCTGAAACTGTAGTGACGTCATATTCAAGCCAAAAAGGGCCATCAACTAACATACCACGGTACCATTGTGCTCTCCGTTTAAGCTCCCACTCAAAACATGGCTGACTGACCATAGATGTTTCTAATTAAATCATTGAGTTACTCTATGTATGACATGTGTATTTTAAAGTCAACTTGCGACAGTTAGACACAATTTAATAAAATAGTAAATACAAGTTCTTTTTATTTGTACAATTTGCTGGAACTAATAAGAACATTGGTACCATAGGGGACCATCCTATACAAAAACCAATACAATAATTATTGAAACCATCAGTTTAACAAGGTAAGTAGCACATTGGGATAGGCATATTATTATCAATGCACTTAATGAAAACCAAACTTTTAAATTTCATAGTTATAAAGGATATATTACAAAAAAACACAGTTGCATAGCAATGGTTCAATAAAATAAATAGCACATTCTTTTTCTTGGTAAAGAAAACATTATTATTGTTATTATCTGAACTGTTATACATCGCCGGGCGCTGAGTGTTTTCTTCTTTCATTTTAGTGAAAATGAACAGCACACAGCCGAGCTTCTTTCAAGTGAACTGAGAAATTGTAAGGCCTGCTTTCTTATAATTAAGTATTGCTGCTTATCATAGAATTGCAACGGCATGTCACATTAAAAATTCCTCAATGACCGCAGTATGAACTCATCTGCGGGCGTTTATAAATCCAGATTTCACTATTCCCCGTTTCAATGTTGAATTATGCCGATGCCAGGAGGTGTGAACGGTAGACTGCACCACTATAGTCCATGAACAGGCTCAATCAAATAAACCCTATAACTTTTTTAACGTTTGCCATTCTTGACGTCCTTTAAGGTTTTCATGTCTTTTATTTGACTCATTGTTAGCCTTGTTGAAAGTTTGGCGACAAACACAAAAATATATGAATGTTATATTTCCAGGTTACATTCTTTGTATACCGATACCAGTTTATTTTTCGGCTTTGATTTGACATTATTGGTGATTTTCCAACGTGGTTTATATTACCAAACACCTACATCCTTTCAGACGACAAAATGAATGTTTTTCTGTCGGTATCTTTAGCACTTGTGATAATTCTACGAAATTTGAACACACGTTGCTTGCGAACGTTTACGCCATCAACGTAAACTGTAAACTTAGGAGACTTTCTTATAATTTCTTTTATTTCACTGAAATCTTTTGTGTCATCCACGGTAACGTTTTCAAGACATACATCAAACTCATGTTGTAAATGCTCTATAGAATCAAAAAGATATCGCAATGCGGTGGTTGACATTGTCATACCTGATAACGTAACCAATCTCACATTTTTTGAACTCAGTCTTATAACTCTACTGCCTAAGTTGATCTCTCGAAAGTTTATATAAGCTATTTGATAAAACTTTGGAAGGGATTTTAGCATTGCACAAATATCGTCATGTCTAAGACAATACAAAGTCTGAAGTTTTACTGATCTTTGGAGATCTGCAAACATCTGAGATAAAATATGAGAAGATAGCTTTCCAATCCAGCACTCCTCTATATTCAGTGCATTCATCTTTAATGTCGTCACTGGTACACGGTCTAATCCAAAAACTTGAAGATAAGTATGGAGTTCCAAATCTAATAAATGACCTTTACAATTATGTTTTCTTTGCTCTCTACATTCGACATAATACAGAACTATCTGCTTCATTTCAGTTTTCCTGCTGAGGAAAAGAAGAAGGAAATCCATATCATCGTGGTCCAAAAGCAATGACGCAAGAGTTATGACTTGCAAGCTTTTCATACGTGATATTATCTTTATATGTTCACGTTCAAATTTTGATTCTCTATTGTGGTATATATAGGATGTTTTTCCAAATTCGAAAGAACACAGGTCTAAGCAACGTAATGTGTCTTTAATCTGTCTCAATAATGTCTGAAGAATAAGAACTGGTGGGATGCTCCTTAACTCTAACTTTTCGAGATGATGTATATTTCTTACACCAAGTCCATTTAATATTCGTTTAGCTTCAACTCCAGAAGCACATTCTCTGATACACAGTGATTTAATATGGTAAACGTATTTTTCGACACAATGTCTTACAACTTCAATGTTTTCATCCGACTTTGTATCAGAGTCGATGATAATGTCTTCAAGTTGAAAAGCTACCTCACCATGACCACACTCCAAGCTTTCATTTAAACACTCAGTTGCAACACATTGATAAAATTTAACAGCTTTGGATTGTTCATCTGCAGATCTTACAACGGAACTCAACTTTCTGAATTTGAAAATGCCATCCTCTGTTTCTGCTGAAATTGATGGTTTAATAATTTTGCACAAAAATGTTTGGTTAAACCCATTTACAAACAGGAAGAAATCAAGCATATCTGAATCATCAGATGTACCGTGGAATCTACGGATGACTGATTGTTTTGTTCCTTTCCATATTCTTTGACCATGTTCCGATTGTGCATAGAGTGCTGCGAAGAACATCTGAAGTGATTTATTGTGAAACGTGAAAACGAATTGCCTAGAAGAATATCGCAATGCAGGTTTTATCTTTATTAATAATCCAAGCTCTAAGCATGTTTCAAGAGTTTCATTTGAGATGTAATTATCTATAATTGCTTTTCCAAATACAGAACTTGAGCTATCGATGAATAATGTTCCAAAAGCTAACTTTCCAATAGAAAGGAGAAGCCCAAAATTTCTCTTACATTCATCATGACACTGTAAACATTGTGGGCACCGTTCTGAAGTACGAAAATTGCAATTCAAATACCTTATCTTATCACGACATCTGGCCAATATCAGACTCATCATGCTGCCGTATTGTTCACATTTAGTTCTGCCTATAGTTATGCCGTCAAACAGCAAACACACAAGCTGCAAAATGATGTATGGATTGAATAGCAAGGTTTTATCAATTTTAGACGAAACTATTTTATTTCTGATTTGTTCTTCTGATTTTTTATTTCTTGTTTTGCTATTCATAAAGGACACAGCTTTTGTAATAAGCTCACTAGATGTGTTTTGATCTAGTTCGCATACGTTCACATGTCTATCAATTTGTGTATCTTTTAAGATCAAAGTGTTGAACTTCCATCGAGAGGAGGTTGTAATTATTGTGCAATAGGGTCGAACTTTCCTCCTTGGAATGAGGTCTGTCTTACACTTTTGGGAACAGTTACATGGATGGATCCATTTGTCTAGCCCGTCAAGCATAATTAGGCATTTGTGATTATGTAAAACCTCTATTAGAAATTTTTCCGAGTAGTGTACGTGTCTTGATAAATAAGGTAAGATCTGCTTTTGAATCATTTCGTCAATGTCACAAATATCGGCGTCACTTTCATCTAATGCCAGCATGAACACAAACTCATAGTGACGCAGTGCATCAACCTTTTCTTTTTCCTGTTCAGTACACTGTTCCTTTGATTGAGACTTGCACCATAGTTGGCAAATTCTTTTCAACAGTATTGTCTTTCCTACAGCAGCGTTTGAAGTGATATAAATGTTTTTACATTGATTGGGTCCATTAAAGAAAATATCTCGAAATGATTTGATATAGGTGTCCGGAGAAGTTTCTTCAAGCTGATTATGATCCGTCGATAAATCTATATGTTGAAGTTTTGGTTCGACATATAAACTTGAAAGTTCTACATTATGATCATTTATAAGGGGTGACAATGTTGCTGAGCAGTACATCGTTCCATAGTGGAGGAGAAGATCGTTCCTAAATTCTGTAAAGAAATAAAAACACCACAAATTATATATTGATGATTGAATTGTTTGAATATCAATTAACGGTATCATAAATTCTTGTGTGAAATATGTTGTAATGTTACATTATTTTTGTGACTGAAAAGTGAAGAGCATTGCGATAAGAGAATATGTATGTATTATACGCACCCTCAAACAGACATCGATATTCGAAATCAAAACTTGTCGGGGACATCATATTTTCTTCAGCTAAAAAACAAGTGAAACCTATTTATCAGAAAGGCGACAAATATATTATTGCAAAAGGTTTATCAAAATTTAATATATGTAAAATACTATTCATGCAAACTAATCAGATGAATTTTTGTGAAAAATGCTTGTTTATATTTATCTAAAAACATATATTCATGTAATTAAAAATGCGACTTAAATCGTTAAACTTAAAATGGCTAAACCAGACATAATTATTATGATTTAAAAAATGTGTTGAAAGTTTTTAACATTACTGTAAACATGGGAAAATGATCTAAAACTCCGAGGTCTTTCTCCTGGGCTTCCGACGCTAATAGTTACTGAATGTCTCGAATGTCCCGTGTACTTAACATCAATACAGGTTATAAACGGCTTTGCAGCTGCATTTATTTTTGTTTCTGTTTCCCTTCCAGCTCTTTCAATTTTGTCCAATACATGATCGGATTTACGTTCTATTTTTTGTACAGCTTTTTTAACGTAATTCTTGAAGTTTGTTTTGGTAGTTTTCAGCAATTTTTGAATCTCTTCCTGTAATGTGCAGAATTGCAATGTGATTTGCTCCTTCATTTTCTCTGTCATTTCAATATTTTCTGCCGCCGAAGTCTTTATAAAACTAGTCAAGGCATCGGCAATTCGTTTATTTTCTTCCTCGTTAAATGGTAAACCTTTTGCTTTCAACTGTAATTGTAAAAAATGCCTTTTTGAATTACAATGAATATATTCCATGTTACGTTTGTTTTTCTTCAATGTCGTATTTATTGTATTTGTTGCCATTTATCGTCTGACTAAAAGTTATAGAATAACAAAACAAACCGAGTGAGAAGTTTACAATTGTTATAAAACTATGAAAAAGTACATATTGCTTTAGTCTTTTAAACTATAGTATATGCATTTATCTGGCGTCTGTATATATGAAACAGATAACCATGTATGTTAACAGTTCAAAGTCTAAAAGTAAATTTGTAATACAGATACAGACATCATGCTAATTTAAAGCAAAGTAACATATTACAGACTTCTAGTATGATTTAACACTCATTTCATTTGTTGTTAGACCCAGCTTATTAGTACAAATGTCATATATTTTGAGCGATTCAATTTGAACTATTTTGCTAAAAACAGCGTGCATTATGATAAATTAAATCATTCTACTTGACTTGTATGTGTCATTTTTATGAACAAAGATAATGATTGACATGTATTGTCCTATGATAATTTCGGGCGAAGTATCAGCAACACATTTTCTCCGGTGTTTTATGCGTGTGTATGGTGATTAAGGTGTGTGATATTCAAACTACACTTTCAGTTTGGAAACAATGTGAAAGAAAGACGAGTTGATGGAGTTTTGAATTGGTTCGTAATCAAGTTTCGAGTTATAGTCTTTTAAAAAACATTTTCTGTGTTTCATTGCGAAATATCTGTGTTTTCTATAAAAATATATTTGTTCTATATATAAAAAGTTTTCGTTTTATTTAACAGAATATAATAAAAAGATAATTTTGTTAGAACATTTAAGTTGTCTTACCCAACTTGTATTAAATATTTTTATGAGCACTAATATTTATTCTTTGAAACCCGCGAGTTGAAATACCCTTTTTTAAGTCGTTTAATATATTATATGTTATTTTGGTTTTGGAGTGATATATGTGGATATATTACCTGCTAAGATTTTATATCACCCGAGCCGTTAGGCGAGGGTGATATTTTATCTTGGCAGGTAATATATCCACATATATCACTCCAAAACCAAAATAATAATTTTATTACCCTTCCCCTGCCGAGTTTAGACGATTTTTTAAAAAAATCATTGCTGTTTCAAATGAAACGTCGAAATAAGATTCCCTTTAAGGTACCTCTTCGTCACAACATGACGTCACATAAATACATGACGTATTTTTCCCGTACCTGACGAACGTAAACAAGAGAAAAGGAGTAGTCTATTGAACGCACTTTTTTGTAATTAATATCAAGCTTTCACAAGGTCATATTTGTTTTCAATACTGATGGTAATATGTATCATTACTCTACTTTGGTAAATATTTATCATTTGACAGTTAAAAAGTGCTTGTAAATCGGAATTTACACCGCGTAAAATCGAACCGTACGCGCATCACCTCAGCGCATGTTGTTTACAACGTTGGGTACCCAACGGGGAAATTTAGTGTGTATATTACCCGTCTGGCTCGGTTATATCAATTTCTTTTGGGTGATCAATATCCAATCAAAAAGACGGAAAAAATCTGGAAGGGTAATAAATATATATATTCTTTTCTATTTTGCTATATTTAAGCGAAATAAATTTGCATATGATCATATTTATTTTGTATTTATTTCATACCAAATAAAGTGTGACTGCTCAAAGTATTCTTCTTCCATATCTTAACCTTTTTATTGTAATTTGTGGATTACAATTGATGTTTCGTATTTGTTGAGAAACTTAAGAATAATCATAATCTTGTCTTTCAATCACCCAAAATATGTATACATTCTACTTGAGTGTTTACTTGATTACTTGTGGTTTTTTTTAAATAACGAGGGAAATAACTGGCATTTATGTTTTACGATAATAGTTGTAAGAGTTGTGCTTGTTTATTGTTGCTCTCATGCAGTAAATTAATTTCTTTAATGTCGTTCCTTTGATCGCCATAATAAAGCTTAGTTACACAAATATCTTTTAGATAAGTTTTTAGTGAACTTGAAACTTAGGGGTAAAATAAGTACACGTACATTTGCACCGTGATGTGCAAACGATTCTACTAATTTAAAGGATAGGGATATGACTGCCGATAACGCAATTAACTTTATTATCACCATCCTTGATTGATATAAAAAAGGTTAGCAAACGAACGGATGTCACAAAAAGGGTGCTTGATTTGTATATTGGGCTACATCAATTTGCATCGGTTCTAAGCAAATTAAGTGTGACTGCATAAACAAAAAAAAATATTTTTTAAACTCACCTTTTGCAATTTGACAACAGCTTCCTTAGCCTTGTTGTCATACAATAAATATTTCGGATCAGAGAGGAGCTGTATCAAAGTGTCGATGTGCTTGGTTAGGTCTATATCAGATACTGAAAGATCGGCTGAATGGCGAATAGCCCGACCTATCTTACGTGCCTAGAATAACGAAAAACATATAATACACATGACTGCGTTAGAATGCCCATTTTAATACAATATTATTTCTTTAGGAAAGATGTGAAAAAGTAAGGCAGATTTTATGTTCAAAAAGTCAATTGATATTCATTTATTTATATTCAGAAGAATTGTTCCATATTATTTTTGATCACAACAATTCAATTAGATATCGTACCCAGTGCTCAATTAAGAATAAAAAACTTACATCTTCAAAGACGTTTTGGTCTTGGAAAAGTTTTGCAGCTAACTTATTCTGGAATATCGTACAGTTGATGGTCACATTGATAATTCCATTAAAGTCAGTCCCTTGTATGGTCTGTATATTTTTGTAACCTTCGGGAGGCATATAACATTTTAAAATCTGAAATGGATTACTACAAAATTTCGTAGCATCGGCATTTGTCCACGATGGTTCATTTTTATTAGGTTGGAAGTATCTATGCTTCCTTCGAATGTTTTCTCTCATATCTTTACAAATATTGTTTACGCATGGGATGTCTGATTTCCGCGCAGGATCTTTCACATTGTGAACTTTACATCTTCCAACGGGTGTACAGTATCCAATGGTCTTACAATGTAACAGATTAGCCGTTGTGCAAGAATTACATGTTGCACCTGGAGATAATTGGTTTTTAAGTGTTATTGCAGTCAGTGTGTCTCTTTTAAACTGTGTGCTCTCCTCCATTACAAAATCTTCAAGGCCCTCTTTTGTGTAACACAAAGCAACACAGCTTTGTATCCAGTTCTGGCGACCTGCATCACTTGTTTGTAGGGAACAAGTAGCCATTCTTGCAGTTTAACCGACAAACCACCTTGAAGCGTACCACCTATATATAAAATAAGAACTTTATATTTATATCAAACAAGTCGAACAAGTATGAATCCTGAACGATTCTTATATCCTGAATATACGGAAACACATGCACACGCACACCACCACCCACGCGCACGCACGCAGCCACCCACCCCCCACACATTTTGACAACAAATGTATATTGTGCTCTATGTAGATTATTTGCGTTTTCTGAGTCCAAATAATCCATATGAAAATCCTTTTATATTTGATCTTATCTAGCCTCGTTTTCATTTTCCGATTCCAAAAGTCTGATATCAAATCGATATTGTACTCGAAATCACCATATCTGTTAAATTATGGAAAACATTAATTGAATAAAAAGCAGAGAATTTATACATTGCTGAGTACCATACAAATAATATTGAACACGTTCACAAATGCACCTCCTATATTGGCCTCGGCAATTTTGTTTTGTTTTATCAGTGTGTCCTTATCCAATTTTGTTTTGCGATGTACTTAACAATTCATAACCCCATTGCATCAATATTTTACTTTCTTGTTCCTATAGAATCGTATTATGCCTGTAATGCAGATAATATTAGAACTTAAAGACGTTTTCGGGAGTTTTCATATAGACATATAGGCAAAATTAAAAGTGTTCAATAGAATTTCTTTAAACTTGGCACTTTGTTAGAATATGATAACAGGAACATTTTAAGCGAAACAAAATTGGGTCACCGTTTTCGTTCTTTTTCAACAGGAAATTTTTAACAACAGAAACTTTCATCTACAGTTTTACATGAGGTATTTTCGGCTTATTGATAGGAATGTAAACACACTGGTGGGTCAGACGAGTTTTTGAAGCAATTCAACAAAATAGTAGATTGATCTCCAAATAAATCAATTAACAATAGCTCTTAATTTATCACAAATGTCAAGTAGCTTTATATCGTTGACTCGCATGATGACGTTGGTGAATTTCATTATACCTGTCTAAAATTCAGGTAACAGTTTCCAATTGTATTGTTAAATAATGTTTCACCATATCAATATGACATGCAATTTTTTTATGATTTTTTTTAATGTATCATTTTTTTTGTTTACTTTACACGCTTAACATCCTAAATTTGGTCACTTTGAAATTCATCCTAAATTTTTCATTTCAGTGTGTGTTCAGTGTGTGTTCTACTTTACGTAACTATCTGGGACTATAATAATAACTACTGTAAGTCCCGGAAACCATTTCTCTTTAAATTTGACATGAAGAAACAAAAAAACAAAAACAACAGGATATATTACTACATTAGTCCCTTTTATACTATTTTTTTTTACTGTTTGTATATTTGTTACAATAATAATGAAATAAAAAAACAGACTATGTTCATTTGACTACTGTTTTGTATGTTCCAAAGAAAATACATTTAATATTCGAAATTCTAGTAAGCCTACCAAAGTTTATGATGAACAATGTCTTTCATATACAATTCTGACAAGTACAAATGTTGCTGCAATTGAGAAGCTCCGCGCAAGAAAGACATTGTTCATCATGAACTTTTGTAGGGATGCTAGAGATTAGAATATTAAATGTATTTTCTCTGGAACATACAAAACAGTAGTCAAATGAACAATGTCTTGGAGGTCTATCTACTATTTTGTTGAATTGCTAAAAAAAACCCTACATTCCTATCAATAAACCAATAACAACTCATGTTAAAACTGCAGACAAAAGTTTCTGTTGTTAAATGTCACAATATTCGGCAAATCAACATTCCACTCACACTACCATAAAAGCAAAATATAGAACAGCAAAAATTCGGGAAATCAGGGTCGACTTCTAGTAGGGTTTAAAGTATACTACTACTAGACCTGTTTACTGTCGCACAACGTCAAAATAAAAGCGACATAAAGTTACGGAAGGCAGAACTAGGTCGATTTAAATATTCACGGTAAAAAATGTCATAAGTGCAATGAGGGACCGGAAATAACCTAGGAAAAGACAATTTTAAAATTATAAAACTATGATATAACAATTCGTTTTCTATAAATTCATAAAGAGTTTATTGTTTGAATATGATTGCATTTCATTTCCTGCATAGTTCTCCAGTTCGTTATATATATCCATAGCGCAACACGAATGGCCGTTTTATTAATTCAGTCTATAAATAGATTTTCGGACTTTCATCTATTTGAAGTTTTCGAATTCATGTACAGCAATAAAACAATTATAACCCACTGTGTACTACAAGATAATCAATATTTTCCTGTAGAAGATACAAATGTAAGAAATAAATTACCGACTTTGAGTTTATTTTTTCTTTTGTCTTTTATACTGCCTTCCCAGCGATGTATGCGTGAAATTTGTTTCCATTCTCATTCATTAATTAGACATGCTGCGATCATAGATAATATAATTATTACTTTTCTTAAAAGAAATCGAAAGGAATTCTTAATTCCGAATTTATTTTCAGCTGTAAATCGAAGGGATTAATTGATAAAAATCGGGTCCATAGACAAAAAGTAGTGAACACAAATAGGTTAAGTTTTACTAATGTGCATGATAAAAGAAAGTTATGATAAAGTGTGTTGATTTTAAAGAAACATATCAGAAAATGATTAATTGTCTAAGAAATTAAAACATTTAGATTTTTTGCCAGCTGCTGTTTTTGAAAAAGGGGAAAAAGAATATTTTGCATTGAGAATGACTTCTCACTCAAAATCTCCGTGTACTCAAATTAAAAAAACGTGCGAGCCATGGGGCTCATAATTGTTATATTTGGTGGCAAGGTTGACGAAGTAATATTTCGTGAAAACGAATTAAGTCTCGGGGAAAAAAGTGTTGAAAATGTCACCTTAGAGGCTTCGTGTATACTTTTACGATTACAATACAATCAGCAAACGAGTCACGCGTGTGTTGTACAGAACACAAAAAATGGTGGCTATAGTCCGTCCCGAAGGGAATTAGTGAAATTATGCATGCATCCTGAAAGCAACAACATCAAGATAACAAAGAAAACTAAAGTTATGTGAAAAATATGTGTTTTAAAGCCAAATTTGAATGAAACCTTTCTTGTATTTTGGTCCTGTAACAGTTATATATCAGAATTATAACAATGCAGTGAATTCACTGTCTCATTAAACGAGTAAACGAACGTTTTTATGTATGAAATAGAAGGACCTATAATTGTGTGTAAAAATGTTGGTTTCCAAATTCAAACATAACCTGTATTCTACGATGTTTCACCTTTTTACCAAAAACATTACTATTCATTACATTGTTGAAAATTATCAGCTAGAAACCATCGATATTGTAAGAAAGAGAAAATTGTCAAATCTGGGTAAAAATTAGTGGTCTCATTTAAACTCTGAACTTGATCAAATGCAATCCCAAGCAAGACCTCTAAATCTACTTGATATATGCCAAGTTTTTGATGACAGTATCTCATTCAAATGCCTTGTTAATGTCCGTAAATCATGTTTCTAATTTTAATAGAGTAGATCAGTGACATTGAACTCGACCCTATGGGGACCAAAAGCAATTTCAAGCGAAGTCTCAACAAAAGCCTTCTTTAAACTATATCTCATTCTTGGCTCTAGCTATCGTCCAAAAACGACTTTTCTATTTTTCAGCTATTTTTCAGTAACAGTGAGATTGACCTCCCCTGTAATGGTCCAAGAACAATCCCAGGTAACCGTTACATTGACATTGAACCGAGGGGGTTTAAAGAAATTCCAAGCAAGGTTTTTACAAAAGATTGCTATATACCAAGAGTTTGATTATAATATCTCATTCCTTACTCCAATCAGAATCTTTCAGATCAGAAATATTTGAAAGACCCTGCTCTAGTTATTGTCTAGAAACCATTTTCTAAGTTACAGTGATTTTAATCTTGACCCATCCTCGGTAACCCAGGCTATTTACCATATACCAGTATCAAATGTAGTATATACGGATTGTGTACCGTTGGTTCCGCTCCCAGGGAATACAAAGTCAGTATCTCAAGTTTCCATAGGTTATGTAGTCTATATGTTATAGACAACTTTAATAAACTTTTAAAGCAGGCAACACAACCCAAATATCCAAGTTGGAATATTGTTACCGTGCAAATTTAAACATCTACAATGTAAGAACGAAATACCACATACAAACTAATAAATGGTCTGAACGATCTTGAAAAAGATAAAGGAACGTTATATGTCTGAATGAATGTGCTAGTACCTGTTTACATTTTACAACAACGTTGATTTTACATTGAAAAAGAGAATAAATGGAAAGCCAAAAAGGTCAATGCACACGGCAATGTCAGAAATTTAATATTCAAAAACGATTTCTATTCACATTTAAATAAATATTTTAATTCAAAATTGAAGAACAAACTGTCTGACAAAAGTTATATATTGATTATTTGCATTGTATTCAAATCTGAAATTGAGAAAACATTAAACAGATTTTTTTGACTGAAATCAATATCTGTCAAAAATGAAAGCCACCCATTCAATGTTTGCAGGCCCACAGACGTTCTGTAAATTTACACCACATATCAAATTCGCTTGATACTTGTTAAACAATAATCTTACAGTATATCCAATGAATTGAACATTTTATAAAAAATTTATGTATAGTTAAATTGAAAAATGTAGACAGACAATAGTCAATAGAATCGAATAGTGGTCTGAATTATAGTGTCATATGAAAGCCAGCGCGTTTTATCTTGAAACGAAAACGATGCAAAGCGGGACAGTACGATGGTGGCAATACAATGACGTAACAAGACGGTACGATGGTGACAGTCCATCGTACTGTCGTATTGTCAATAGCGTACTGTCGCACTGTCACCATCGTTCTTTTTCAATTATTCTGTCATCATCGTACTGTCGTATTATCACCATTATACTATCACCAATGTACTGTCGCGCTTCAACACCGTTCTGACGTTTTCCAGTCAAGCTAGGACAAACATTTCACTCAGCATGGCGTAGATGAAGATAAGTGCCTTTTAAATTATTCTTATGACATGGTCAACGTTTTCTCAAGGTTAAAATTTTATTATGTGCATGCTTAATAGACATTTGCGGCTTATAATGAGGAACAGGGATTGAGGATCGAAGACAAGTTATATAAAGGGATAATCTCAAAATAATATAACATTTTATATTAAACAAGGTTTCTATATAATGGATATTACCAGCATTGTCAACGATAATTTGTGTTTGTATTACGTGATATTGTCTTTGTCCTGAATAATATTATTCCTGCATGTGGCTTTACTTTAGGTGATGATGTCCCATCAATAGCCCTGACCGCCAAATGTACCCGCATTTGTTTAATGAGAACATCGTTTCAAATTAAAACATGGAATTTAAGCCTGGATCCCGTCTTTCACTGACGATACACTTATACCTTTTTTTTCAAAAATGTTCTGACGATAGTGTTTAGTGCCTTTTTGGGATGTTTTATTTAAAGAATAGTGTAAGTGTTCCGGGTATCTCTTAACGTAACTCGAAGAACTTGTATCTATGTGTGCATTTGAAATACATTTCAATTCTGTCACTTCAGTGATAATCATGGTGGGATTATAAGCAAGCAAAAATCCTAGTACCGAAATATTAAGTAAGCATGATTAAGAGAAACGATAAAACGACATAAATCATCATGAATCAGAACTTTACCCTAATCTGCACCAAATTCTTAATATATTTTGACATCGTATATAAAAATAGCTTTCAAACCCTGGTAATTGCAATAAAATTCATCATTGTCTATTTAATTTACTGATGCATTATGCTGATGTATTTTTAATATTCCATATATAATTTATATCCTCCATAAGGCTTTTAGTAGACAGTCTTCTTCGACTGAAAAAGGTTATTAGTTCAAGTCAAGTGATACCAAATACATGAAAAATGGTACTGACAGCTCCTGGCTTGGCGCTCAGCATTGAAATAGAAGTGAATAATGTTTAATATATCGAAGTCAAGCAATAGCCCACCTCTGTTCCATGTGGGAAATTACATCGTGCACTGGTAAGAGAACCTGCTCAGACCGAAAATTGCTATAGACGGACTATCAGTATATGACGGAAAAGTGTTGAAATATCTGGAAAAAGTGATCCCTCGGAAACATTAAAAACAGCAAAATAAATCATGAAAATGCAGACTCGGTTTAACTGGGTTGTACATGATGGAAAATAAACAGTGCAACAACCCTCACACCCCCTAGCATCGACTTAAGCGGGACTCAACTCTCAGCACTTAAAAGTGCTGAACTCAATTATCCTAAAGGACCAGAAAAATATAGTAACACTGAAGTGAAGTACGGGGCACCTTTTTACGACTGCCACACGGCACTTGACACCTGCTGTTTGATGTATAAATATCGCGTTAAACACTGATTCAGTACCTCACTCCATTTCAATTTCACATTTCAATATTTTCAAAATTATTGCCAGCGCTTTAGGCCTACAACGTCTTGATAGACGTCTTTTGAGTTAAGGATTAAGTGCCAAAAAAAACGCAGTTAAGTGCAATCTCTATGGAAAGCCCGGGTATCTAAACCAAGGGCAAGCTTAAGCGGCTCACGTGCAGCAGTCATTGCTAGGTCAAGCTCCGATAAATCTTAACAGATGTATAAATGAGGGCTGACCAGCAGCTTCACTCCCGCCTAGTCACGAGACAACTCGAACACGGACCAGGCCCACGTGAACTGCACAACCGAGGCCGTAGTCAAGACGTCAAGATTTCCGTGCTCAAACTACCAATCGTTATATCATCATCAAAGGACGAAACTATTGATGCACGTCAGCGCACTTGACAAAACAACCGTCAACGTAAACGACCATTGCTGAGCTTATGAGCAAAGTTCCGAATTTATGTAGGGAACTTGGCATCAGTTCGTCTTGCAATTACTTAAATGAAAATTAAGGAAAGAAACGCAGTTAGATATCCTGGCCTTATTTTTAAGTGCTCATAATATGTGTTGAGATAATCCCACAATATTAAACGTAACTGTTCCTCGATAATCGTTCCCGACATTATGTCGCAAATGTCTAATAGGAAGACGACAGTACGGTGGTTACTGTTCGACAGTATGATGGTGCAATACGATAGTAAGATGGTGACAGTACGATGTTGACAGTACAATAGTGACAGTACAACAGTACGATGGTGAAAGTACAATAGCGAGGTGGTGAAAATTCGACAGTACGATGGTAATAGTACGATAGTGACTATCACCATTGGACTTTCACCATTGGACTATCACCATTGGACTATCACCATTGTAATGTCGTGCTTCGCTGTCGTACTGTCTAAATTGTACTGTCATACTGTTACCGTCTTATTATCGCACTTTGCCATCATCCTTCGTGCTTTGCGCTTCATTCTTATAGAAAACTCACTGGTCCTATCAGAACAGCTTACTGAACACTATGACTAAAGAAATTAAAGGAGAGGCAATGCTAAAGTTTGATGACTTAAGTCACTATTTACTGTTTTACATTTTTTTACCTTTGTTTTTTTTACCTTTTACCTATGCTGTTTAACAGAAAACTTTTATTATATTACTCTTGATATGGAGTGAATCCAACTTTGCTATCAAAACATTCTAGCACTAAAGCTGCACGCCTCCAAATGAGCAAAGAAATATTTCAATATAATCAAGTCTGAGAAACACGTACTAAGATTTTAGGAAAAGTAAATAGATTAAAAATGATATTCATAATTTTCTTTTTGTGTGCGATTAATGACCGATTTTCAGTCTTTATAACTATATTTATACTGCGTTACTAACGCAGTGAGGACTGTTTTGGCATATTTTGACATCTTATTTTGGTAATTTACATGGGGTGTAAGTGCCATTGATAATGTGTAAATTGCATTCGATTGGTAACTTCACAATATTATACTGTTAAACACACTTTCAAATTTTCATGAAAATTAGTTTGAGAAATAAAATAAGATTGTATCATAGTTTGGGGACCTTTCTGTTAAAAATGTGTCCGAGTTAAATCGTATACATATACATGCACAGTCCGTTCACAGGAGTGCAGGTATAAGTTACCCGCATTCCTGAAGCATGCCCCCATTTTAATTTTGCCTTATTTCGGGGGTTTTCTTATTGTGGACGGGCAGAGAAAGGGGGGAAAGCGAACAGAAAATATCATATTCCAGGATGTTCCGTTCATTGTTTACATTTTTACCGGGGTTTCATAATTGTGACAAAAGGGGAACGTGCTTTTTATGTATTTGACTATGATACAAAAAGAGAAAGAACACCAAAAACTCGGGGAAATCTGATTAATACTCGGGAGCTACGCCCCCTCTTACAAATCAGATAGCATCGTGTTTCGATGCTCTGTCTATTACTTCTTCCACTCCGGTATATTTTTATTTATTAAGGTTTCCGACAAGACTGGACTGAAAATATTTTTTTCCCAAAATAGATCTTGAAAAAGGGCTCGGGGGCCCAAAATTTTTTTTGTGCACACTTTCCAAAATATTTATGAATAAAAAATTTCCCAAAGACAAACGACCCGGGGCTTTAAAAACACGAAAAAAAAATCAAATCGATTTTCAATTCTGATTATATATTATCTTTCTTATCTTTTGCAAAATTATATATACGTTTCTGGCTTTCCTGTGCCCAAGTTGATACATGTAAGAAGTTCAAAGTTTATGTTTTAGGATTGGAACGAAACTTTTATTTAATTGTGTATCTTAAGAATCCTTTTGACATAGCTTTTCATTTTATTTAAAGATATTTTACAAATGATACACAAAAAAGAAGAAAAAGATTAAACTTTACTTACTGTTAATAATCCTTCATTTTAGTGTGAAGTATGCGTCGAGTGGAAAGAATGCACTAATGCCAAGGTAACAATCATGTGACTTAATTTTTATATATAGAGACATGTTACTTATGCAAATGAATACGTAACCAATACGTTGACAATCTTATTATAACAAAGGAAGTATATCAAAAACATTTTCGATTCTTTTTTTTCTATTCCGATTTAAACAATAAGACGAAAAAAGAATGTGTAATCGAATATATTTCCAAAGCCTTGAGTTTTTATGATTAAATTTTCTATTCAGCTAGATGTGTTAAGCCGGGTCTAAGATTGGTTATGATTTGGTAAAACGTCTTTTCAATTGATCATGTGACTTCATTCTATGTATAGAGATGTATGCAATCAATGAAGAAATGGACTATACGTTGACAAATGTTAACTATGGAAACCTTTAAGCGTCATTTGAATTTTAAGCTTTACTCTTTATGTTTGAACGTTATGATTTCGAAAAGTATTAGGCGAGATTTTATGCTCATCGTAGATGACGAGGAAGACAAAGGCGAGAAAACAAGAAAGAAAATCATTATTTTATAGCTGATGATAAAGGTGTTTCGTAACCATATGTTTGCGTCTGTTTAGGTTGCACCTTTGCCATAAATGTTGTTATTGTACTTTGTGTGGCAGTTAAATTCTACCTGGAAAAATATGGCTTAATTTCATACATGAATTTGAAATATGAAATAATGAGATGTTTATGTTTGTTATTTAGGCAGATGAAATTTAAGCTAAAGTGTAGAATAAAATAAATAAAGACTAAAGAGTACATCCAGGAAATCGAAAGGTTAAAGGTTTATTAAAGAGACCCGGACTGATAAGTTTTAGAAATGCTTTGCCGTATGCGCAGGTGTAACGAAGTAAATATTTATATTTCGTTAATAATATCACACCTCTTTACGAAGTAAAGTGAACTATCTGTAACCATCTTCCGCTCAACCATCTCAGAAAATGAGCACTTTGAGTATGAAGCATGCACTAGCAATATTGAAAATAGTGAGAAATGAAGAATCCCTAAAGAACGCACAAAACGACAAAATTGAAAATATGAAAATATTGCAGACTCGGTTTGATTGAGCCTGTTCATGGACGGTAATGGAAAATGCTAGTTACCGTCCACACCCCCTAGCACCGGCTTAAGCAGTATTCAACATTTAGCATGGACTAGTAAAACTTGGAATTTTGTAACATCTGCTTGATTTGTTCATACGACGGTTATCATGGAACAGTCAATATACCGTAGCATGTTAGTGTCATTCCTTGAAAGTAGAAGAATGAGTGTGACCTAAACGAGAAAACAATGGGCGGAACTTAATAAAATTGAATTTTGAAAGGGGAACAGAAGTTATGAACTTGCATATCACAGATAAAATTTAAAAGAGCAGACCACATATCTTATGGGTCATTTAACAATATTCAAGTGAGGAATATTGGAAACATCCAACTAGAAAATAGCCGAATAGAAAGGACTAAAATACCACAAGCATAACTGTAGTGTAGGTCAATAGAAAGGCCATGAAAATGTCACATTTAGAGGTCATTGAAAAACGCTTGTCCGGAGCAAAACTTTTACATGCATAGCGGGATTTCAGTATATCTTGGAACAAGTGTTCACCGTTTTAAGGCTGAAGAGTGTCGCATGCAAAATTCAGGTCCCTGTGGTCAATGCCAAGGTCACACATTGGGGTTAAAGTTCTGATTAAAATATTAAAATGTGTATTCGGACCATTTAGTCATCACTTATTCAGGGATCAAAAAATAAATGGTCATTATTAGAAAAAAACCGAATAGAAAATACTATAACACCACAAGCACAACTAAAGTGAAGGTCAATGGAAAGGCCATGGAAATATCACACTTATTGGAACAAAACTGTTAAATGCATAGCGGGATTTCAGTATAACTTGGCACAAATGGTCACCGTTGTAAGGCTGATGATTGTCGCATGTAATATTTAGGTCCCTGTGGCCAAGGTCAAGGTCACACATTGGGGTTAAAGTTCAGACAAAAATATCAAAATATGTATTCGGACCATTTAGTGATGATTTATTGAGGGGTTAAAACATAAATAGTCATTATCCTGACTACGGGTGTGAAACATGTCATTTAGGTTAATATATGCAAGGTCAAGTTCACTAAATGTGATAAAATATAGAAATTTTGCCCAGAGCTTATCTCCTACAAATATGGAGGGATACGAATGAAACTTCATAGAAATGTTCACCACTATGAGAAGCAGTGTCATGCGCATAAGCCAGGTCTCTAGGTCAAAGGTCAAGATCACACTTAGAGGTAACTGAAAAACGCTTGTCCGAAGCAAAACTTGCTGCAAAAGCAACAACAGTTTCAAGCTTCCGGTAGATAATAATAAGCTTAAATAAGATGGGGTTTAATATTCTACAGATTTTCTGGGGGGGGGGGGGGTCATTTTTCTTCAGAGGGGGTCAGTATGTTTTAAAAAGGGGTCAAGTTTGTATAGATTATTGACCGGGGTGTTTATTATTCTAAATTGTGGTCACTTTACCCGTTACACCGGATGTCCGTGAAGTACGCGGGCTAACGGGCTAGCAATCTAACAGTATGAACTGAGCGGGCTAGCAGTCTAGCGGGCTAAACAGTGTGAACTGGGCGGGCTAGCAGCCTAGCGGTGTAACAGTGTGAACTGGGCGGGCTAGCAGTTCCTAGCGGGCTAACAGTGTGAACTGGGCGGCTAGCAGTCTAGTTTAGCGGGCTAACAGTGTGAACTGGGCGGGCTAGCAGTCTAGCGGAATGGCAGTGTTGAACTGGGCGGACTGGCGGGCCAGCGGGCTAAAATCTAAAACTTTATTGATTGAACATAAAAATGTTATGATACATTACCTGGCAGTGTGAAGTGGGCGGGCTAACAGTGTAGCGGGCTAGCAGTGTGAACTGGGCGGGCTGGCGGGCCAGCGCGGCTAAAATCTAAAACATAATTGATTGAACATAAAAACGTTTATGATACATTACCTTGCAGTGTGAAGTGGGCGGGCTAGCAGTGTAGCGGGCTAGCAGTGTGAACTGGGCGGGCTGGCGGGCCAGCGGGCTAAAATCTAAAACTTTATTGATTCAACATTAAAACCTCATGATACATTCCTAACAGTGTGAATAGGACGGGCTGACAGTGTAGCGGGCTAGCAGTGTGAACTGGGCGGGCTGGCGGGCCAGCGGGCTAAAATCTTAAACTTTATTGATTGAACATAAAAATGTTATGATACATTACCTGGCAGTGTGAAGTGGTGTGAAGTGGGCGGGCTAACAGTGTAGCGGGATAGCAGTGTGAACAGGGCGGGCTGGCGGGCCAGCGGGCTTAAATCTAAAACTTTATTGATTGAACATTAAAAACCCCATGATACATTTCCTAACAGTGTGAATTGGACGGGCTGACAGTGTAGCGGGCTAAGCAGTGTGAACTGGGCGGGCTGGCGGGCCAGCGGGCTAAAATCTAAAACTTTATTGATTGAACATAAAAAATGTTATGATACATTACCTGGCAGTGTGAAGTGGGCGGCTAACAGTGTAGGCGGGCTAGCAGTGTGAACTTGGCGGGCCAGCGGGCTAAAATCTAAAACTTTATTGATTGAACATAAAACGTTATGATACATTACCTGGCAGTGTGAAGTGGGCGGGCTAGCAGTGTAGCGGGATAGCAGTGTGAACTGGGCGGGCTGGCGGGCCAGCGGGCTAAAATCTAAAACTTTATTGATTCAACATTAAAACCTTATGATACATTTCCTAACAGTATGAATAGGACGGGCTGACAGTGTAGCAGGCTAGCAGTGTGAACTGGGCGGGCTGGCGGGCCAGCGGGCTAAAATTTAAAGGTTTATTGATTGAACATAAAAATGTTATGATACATTACCTGGCAGTGTGAAGTGGGCGGGCTTACAGTGTAGCGGGCTAGCAGTGTGAACTGGGCGGGCTTGCGGGCCAGCGGGTTAAACTCTAAAACTTCACTGATTCAACATGAAAACGTTATGATACAATACCTGGCAGTGTGAAATGGGCTGGCTAACAGTGAAGCGGGCTGGCAGTGTGAACTGGGCGGGCTGGCGGGCCAGCGGGCAAAACTTTAATATTTAATGGAATCACATTAAAAACACATGATACATTTCCTAGCAGTGTGAAGTGGGCGGGCTAATAGTTAAGCGGGCTAGCAGTATGACATGGACGGGCTGGCGGGCAAGCGGGCTAAAATCTAAAACTTAACTACATGTAACTGAACATGAGAACGTTATAATACATTACCGGGCAGTGTGAAGCGGACGGGCTAACAGTGTAGCGGGCTAGCAGTGTGAACTGGGCGGGCTGGCGGGCCAGCGGGATAAACTTAAATACTTAATTGAATCTACATAAAAGCCACATTATTCATTTTCCTAGCAGTGTGAACTGGGCGGGCTAACAGTGTAGCGGGCTTGCAGTGGGTGAACTGGGCGGGCTGGCGGGCCAGCGTGCTAAACTCTAATACTTAATTGAATCAAACATTTAAAACCTCATGATTTACATTTCCTAGCAGTGTGAACTGGAGGGCTAACAGTGTAGCGGGATAGCAGTGTGAACTGGGGCGGGCTGGCGGGCCAGCGGGCTAAACTCTAAAAACTTTACTGAATGAATATGAAAACGTTATAATACATTTCCTAGCAATGTGAACTGGGAGGGCTAACAGTGTAGCGGGCTAGCAGTGTGAACTGGGCGGGCTGGCGGGCCAGCGGGCTAAACTCTAAAACTTTACTGAATGAATATGAAAACGTTATGATACATTACCCGGCAGTGTGAAATGGACGGGCTAACAGTGTGACGGGCTAGCAGTGTGAACTGGGCGGGCTGGCGGGCCAGCGGGCTAAAATCTTAAACTTTATTGATTGAACATAAAAAACGTTATGATACATTACATGGCAGTGTGAAGTGGGCGGGCTAGCAGTGTAGCGGGCTAGCAGTGTGAACTGGGCGGGCTGGCGGGCCAGCGGGCTAAAATCTAAAACTTGCTAGCTTGCTACACTGTCAGCCCGATTGAACATAAAAACCTCATGATACATTTCCTAGCAGTGTGAATTGGACGGGCTGACAGTGTAGCGGGCTAGCAGTGTGAACTGGGCGGGCTTGCGGGCCAGCGGGCTAAAATCTAAAACTTTATTGATTGAACATTGAAAAATCTTGATACATTTTTTAGCAGTGTGAATTAGACGGGCTGACAGTGTAGCGGTGCATTCACACTGCCGGGTAATGTATCATAACGTTTTCATATTCATTCAGTAAAGTTAAAACGGGCTAAAATCTAAAACTTTATTGATTGAACATAAAAACGTTACGATACATTACCTGGCAGTGTGAAGTGGGCGGGCTAACAGTGTAGCGGGCTAGCAGTGTGAACTTGGCGGGCTGGCGGGCCAGCGGGCTAAAATCTTAAACTTTATTGATTGAACATAAAAACGTTATGATGCATTACATGGCAGTGTGAAGTGGGCGGGCTAGCAGTGTAGCGGGCTAGCAGTGTGAACTGGGCGGGCTGGCGGGCCAGCGGGCTAAAATCTAAAACTTTATTGATTCAACATTAAAACCTCACGATACATGTTACACCGGCTTATTTTGGTATGCACTTGTCGCATTAATAGGTTTATTCGCCGCTAGTATGCTAGGAGTGAACTGGAACAAATCACATTAATGCAAGTAAGGTGAAGTCTTATTATTGAAAAAATCTGATTAGAAATTTGATAAAAATACCCACACGGCATGTGTCGTTTCATAGTACCAACCATGTTATCGTAGCCATTTGTAACATATCATAACACTGATGTAATTTCATAGTGTAATACCTATTCTCGCTCTCTGTTCTTAAAATTTCAGAACAAAAATAAGGTATATTTTTCAACTGTGTAAGTAAGTAAGTATGAGTAGCATACGTATGTATTTTAAGTACGCTCCACTTGTTAGATCGTTTTACCGGCGTGTTAAGGTGATTAGGATTGTTTTTCAAGTCATGATTATGTGATTGTTTGACATCTAAAGTTAAAGTCAAAGTTAAATGTTGATGCTGCACATCAAAGAAGCCGCCAAATGATATGAACAGTCATGGGTAATGTACAAAAACAGCCTTGAAAACTGTTTTCTATTACAGTGGAATATCAGAAACACTAAACTATTTTCTTGGTATGCTATTGCTGTTTAATAAGTTGCATATTTTTGTAAAAAGTAGAACCTAATGCATAAATTCACAAAATAATGCCATGTCTGAAATTCCGAATAATGATGGCGACATCACGTATGGCAATACGTAACTTTAATTACTTTAACCTGTAGCAGGATAGACTAACCCCGTGGCGACAGATTGCAAAGCTATCACAACCTGGCTTCGCAAGTTTCTCTCCTTTTTATGCTACTTATATATGTAGAGCTGAAGCTTGGACTCACTTAGTTTTCCTTTATTATAATGTGTATCAAGTAATTATACAAAGTAACTACCAAACTCTATCAACAAATTTACTGTAATAATTATAGTTTATATATACTTTTAATAAAAATGACTTGATCAATAGATGAGAGATTGAGTCGTAGCATGGCTTTGTATCCTTTGCTACCAGATATGCCTAAATCTAATCGTTTATATAAATTTTCTTACAGTTTCAGAACAACCAATATTATAACATATTATTTCAAACATGTGGTAATTAAGAAAAAATGTCAAAACCAACTTAATTGAATTCTGTTACCTAACATCTCCTCAATAATGACAAATATAGTAGTAAATAATATGCTGAAAATAAACTGTGTTTCAAAATGTAACAAATCATATTTTCTTGCATCAATAAAAAAGAGGAATAAGAAAATCATAACCTAAGCGGTTAGAAATTAGAACATCAACATAATACACAAAAAGGGAAACAACCTGCCCTACTACAATCATTGGAATATAGACTGACTCTTTGACACGATATTTATTAGGTAAAAAAAGATTAAAATAAAAAGAATATGATATTTAAACATGGAACTATTACTTGAGTTGAATGTTTATTTTAATTCCCTAAAACTCGGTGACATTTTGAACTGAACATCAGAAAAACTATTTTTACCAGAAACTCTGAAAACAGTGTAATAATTGTTGAAACAACAAAAAAAGCAAGATCAAAATGTTCCCAATTGCTGAATTGACGAATGCATATCTACTGGGACGGAAGATATCTTTCTGTCCCAGATATCTACTAGCCGCTGCGTGCACGTGACGTCTAATAATGATCAATAACCTAAGCGACGTTCACAGAATGCAGCTATAAGTCTCGAAATGCTAAGTCAAACAATTCGAATACTTGGATTTCCAACATATTTTGTAAACGATATATTATGCAATCACTGGTATTCACTAAGATGTTCTTAAAATTTGCTTTAAGAAACATCGTGCATTTCTCTGTTAAATTTTGTTATGATTCCTCCTTGTACAAATTTCAGTTAACAAATTTTGCTTAATACCAGTTTTATCCTTCATTTTATGATACATTCTCAGCAGCAAACTTGTATGGAAAAGAATCGTGTTTTACATCCCGGTTTTGTTATGTTCACAGATTTCTCTGAAGGCTCCAATTTCATCAAGGAAGCTTATTATTATTACATTTTGTTAAAACAAAACAATTAGCACGTTAAAGGCTTAACCGTTTCACTTTTATTCTCAATCATATAGTTTATATTATGATCTGTAAAAACGGTCACTCGTGGTACTAAATAGGCTACATATAAAAGTGTATAATAATGCTGAGCATGACTTTAATAGTGTCGTGTCTTAAATACTGCTTTAGCCGGTGCTAAGGGGCGTGAACGGTAGCTTGCTCGTTCAAGTACCGTCCATGAACAGGCTCAATCGTACCGCGCCTGCAACATTTTCAACGGTGTCGTTTTTAGTTTTTTTGGTTTCCTTTTCTATCTGTTTTGGTATCTAATTTCCAAAGATTACATCAGGATCTCTCATTTTACCACTTGTTTAATTTGATATGTTAATGAGATATAGAATATTATGTTACGTCCCTCATATCCCTGTCATTATTACATGATAACATTTAAAATGGGAAAAATGGTAACATTAAACATGGCAGGCTTTTTGCGGGAGTGGTGCATGCATAATGACGTCCATGTTGAATTCAACATTTGATGATGGTAATTAAGTAAATGTGTATTACTTATTATATGGTATCATATCCTGAATTGTGAAACATGATAAAACTTATTATTTTTAGACATACTATTTTTAAATGTAAAATAAACTTCTTTTGAGTACAGACATAGAAGATATTGTGATGTTTAAACTGTAGGTAAACACAATATTAATACATAGTGTCAGCTTTTTAAAGAAGAAACAAAACAAATTAACTTGAACAGTTATATAGGAAATGTAGATCCAATAGTTAGTTTGTGCATGCTCTTAATCTAAGTAGACAGATCAGATGCAGCAAGAATTGTGTACATTTCAATAATGTTTTGCAATAAAAATATTTAACCTAAAGTTGAGCATAGTATATCTTTAAGTACTCGTATTTATATAGTATTTTTAAGGTTATACATTATTGTTCTTTATCATCTCATCTTACATGCATGAATACCCAATATTATGGTTATGGTTGAGTAAGATTACAACAAGTTGTATAGTTAGCACAAAATTACTGCTATTGTCAGCTATTGTAGCGGTGTATTATTTTACAACGCAGTAAAATCTTCATAAAATACATGTAATTTTGTGTATATTATAGGATATTATTAAACTGAGGTAAGGATTTCATTTCTACTTTAGTTGAAAGTTACTTCCTGTAGCTACTCTATTCCTAATTAATAGAAAACATATGGTGCATATTTTGTAAACTTTGTAAGATACAACTTTTTAACTTCAGTCTATCAGTCATTAAAATTTTAGAGTTTCTTTACTTTTGCCTTCTACGTTGACGATGCTTTTGTTTTAAGACCAATAATAATCATCAGCTTTAAAAAAATCTATTAGATATTTAAGTAAAACTTCTTATTGACAATTATTCTTTATTTTGATGGAAAATCTTGACTTAATAATTTACACCCATAAGACAGATTATGATAATGTCTTTGTTAGTTATCAGACGGAAATTTCACCCGTTTCTTCGTTGTTTGGGACCACCCTTGTGCATTTCCCCTCCGTTAACCATGTTACGCGCTCTTTTTGTAAAGCTAATATTCTATTTTTAATGTTCCTTTCTATGATCATGTTCTTAATTCTTTATGTTCTAGTATCTGTGCAAGGTTACCTGCGTTCTAGATGTTTGTAACCACTCAACTTGATATTTGTTAATAATCGATAAACCTTAGTTCTCACATAAATATATACTATTTACTGCCATAGTCTATGTAATAGTTTATGATTTATATCATAATATGATATGGTTAATTATGTTTATCCGATTACTAGAGCTAAGATTTAAATTCGTGTTATTGTAATCTTCAGACCATAGACCAACTAATAGTGTACATGTGTTTATGTAAAATAGTATATATACTCTTATTTATAATATTGTTTTGCTTTGCTTTGTTTAATTCATTCCCAGCTTATTTCACTGATTTATCAAACGTTTTTTCTTCTCTTTATGGCTTCATTTTTAAAATTTACATTAAGGCTTTTTTCAGGTATAATTCGACAAAGATATTTACAAAATAAGCAGGAATCTTTTATTCAAGTAAATAAATAGTTCATTTTATTACAGTGCTTAATTTCTGAAGGAGAAAAGTTACCAAACAAAATGGCATCGGAAGGAAAATTATATCCAACAGCAGCAAAGGTCAGAATTATATTGTATCATATAAATGTCTCATTTACGAGGAAGTAAATAAGATTTTTATATGACCTAAATGTAGTTGCAATAGCAGTCTATAAAATCGTGTAGTATCATATTCACTGGCTGAAATGGATTTTCCCAAACTAAAAATAGATTGAGACTCATTTTCAATGACTGTTAATTACGTGTGCACATAAAAAGAAATTTTTGCGGTTTTTTTGGGCATATTTCTCTCATAAAATGTCATTACTTTACTATATTAGCTAAGTGTTAAAATGCAATTATGCGTATAAACTGGAATAACTTTTGTTTCGCACTTGACGTCATATTGTTTAAGTGCATCCTTTTTCACTTTTTGCCCTTCAATGAAACAGGCAAAAGTTGTATGAAGCTATACTTTTTGTGATCGCCTCGGTCAATACATGTATGTCATCTGCCGGCAAATATCACATCAAATTTAATGCCTTCTAGTTATTTTATAATAATGCTGATATTTGCATATTTTATTTTAGTTGTGAATACTATACACTTATTTACTCAATAATTGTATAGTATTCACAACGAAAATAAAATATGCAAGTATATCGGTATTATTATAAAATTACTAATTTTTACTCTTTTTTTTTAAATGTTTCATCGACCTATATTATCAACAAATTAACATTAATTAACATAGTTGTTTTTCGGCCGAATGCCGTCTAAAATAAGTTTGACTTCCTGTAAAATTTCCAGGGAAGAACTTAATATCAGTAGAATTTCTATTGGTAATTTTAAAATGACAATCTTAAATCCAGGAATCTCAGTGGCTATTCTAAAATAGGTAAATCTCTGTGGTGTTTAGTCTTTCAGATAATTAAGTCCTGTTAAACCATGTTTCCTCCAACAAATTATCTTACATTGCTTTTAAAACCTCATTATTGAATTATAAACATTTTCAAGAATAACGAGACACTAATAACGTGCTTGACCACATAAACTCATGCGCATGAAAATATCGAAAAACACACACATAAAAACAACGACTTTTTACAATACTCTTAGATATGTTAAATAAGTGATTGATGTCCAATTAATATAATCTTCAAAATTTTCAAATACTTTTGCATAATTATAAAATTTTTATATAACCGCCCACAATTCAATGGTTGCCAATTGTAATTGCTTTTCAAAAGTGTTTTAGATTACACAGTTAGTTTACTTGCGTACTTTTTGGATTTTATGTCTTTCAGTATTTCCACCGGTGTTGCATATATGTTGCATCTAGTAACGACATTTACAAACTTTCTGTTATAACTGCGATTTGATTATACTGCAGTTGCTGAAGTAATTCTCTTTAAATCTAAGTATGCATATTGGTAAATATGTTCTGATTCAATCTTAACCAACATGTATAATAAAAAAACGATATACACCCAGATAAAAATTAATTGAAGTGAATATTTCGAAGATCGAATATTTCGAAGACAGAATCACAACTTTAAATTTGCATCTGTAATTACTCGCCATTATAAAATCATTTAACATGCACTGCTAAAATTTCTTAATCATTGCAAAAACCCTAAATGAATTTTACAAGTAAAAGCAGATTTATCTTGACCAAGTATCTTTTTTAAATGCATATTGTAAGAACACTCCCTGTATGGTTGCATTTGGTCTGTTTTGGTAGTCAAATAATTTTAAGAGGTAATAGCTTAAAAATACGTGCTAAATTTCCTTAAACTCGACTATTTCTTCATGTTAAACATTTATTTACGGATTTAATAATTAGTAATAATAACCAAGAGTTGTATAAATGTAAGGTTGATCATGTTACACAATTTTAGGTCTTTCCAGGGTGTTATTATTTATTAGTAAAGGGATATTTAACTGAAATGTGATACCATGTAGTAAGAAAATGAGATATCATTGAAGATTTAGTATAACGATTGCATTTTTCTACATGACCACGCATTCGGATGAACTTCACTTCAGATCATAAAAGGTCATCAGTACTAAAAATAATTCTGTGATAACACATATGTACAGATCATCCGATAAATCACAATATTAATCAGTTTTGAACCAGACCAAATATTTTTACAAACTTGTATTTTCGTTGTCAATAAACATTTTCTTCAACATATTAAATATTAATTTTATTTAACATTCCGTTTAAAAAACAGCTATATATGACATAATATTATAACGAGAGTTGTTGGTATTTTTAAAATTTGAAGTTGGCAAATTACACGCTTTGGTTTTCTTTTTCCAACTTAGTATGAGCCTATCAAAGTGGAGGGATTGAAGGAAGGTGATACAAAGTATTGGTGCAGATGTGGACTTAGTAAGAATCAGCCTTGGTGTGATGGTATGTAGAATTGTTCACATTGTAAACAACAATATTCTGATGTTCTGTCTAATGATCCACGAATTCAAAAGTGTGTTGTCCATAACCGTCCAATTCATGAAATAATGGAGATGTAAAATATTTTCACGATCTAAGACTATACACTTAAACATGCATAAGCACTGGTACCGTGACAAACAAAGCTCCGAGTCAGTGCGTTTATTGCTGTATCATGTGAAAAAATAAGATGACGAATTTCAATAATGTTTGAAAGGATTTCAATTTTTGAAACTTTTTATTTATCGAACAGAAGATATGCAAGCGACTGTGTTGCTCAGTCTGTAGTATTGCAGAACGATGATGTATAATTATAAGACTTGTCTTTCATCGTTTTCCATTCTTACCTTGATATTCTGGCTTCATTGTAAACAAATTGTAAATCGGAAATAAATGCAGTCATAAAAAACAAATAAATGAAGCCGTTTTATTGTACGGCACACTTTCTGGGAGATGGAACGTTTTCGAATTTTATTATTCATATCCTATTTGGAGAATATCATAAAGTTCTTGAAGAACATATAATAACTTCTAGAATGCTTATATTTTCTAGCACTCATCGTATACATTAGCAGAAAAATTGAAACTTGTAATCATATTTACTTACTACTTTCTAAACCTTATTCGAGCAATATCACTTATTTGTTGAGTGGTTTTTAGAGGATTTGTCAGAACCTTTAAAAATCTTAACATATTTTTAAAAACATTCTCAGACGATATAAGAAAAGTTTAAATTGAAATTTTATTTTTGTGACATATCACTAATGATATACTGAGTCTGTTGATATTATAAAAGTCGAATTATTTTCGGTTTATTTTGAAACCATAGGGTCACACAAAGGAACAGCGATAACTCCGATGAAGTGGACAGTTCCAAAAACACAAGATGCTTACTATCTGTGTGCATGTAAACAAACAAAGAATGAACCACTATGTGATGGTAACCATAAGAACGCAAAGGAGATTCTTGGTGAACAGGCTGTGAAGTGCGAGGATAAGAACAACCACAATAAAAACTGTGCACTTTGCACACGCTGTGGTTGGAACCCAAATCTTGAGTTTTAAATCATATATTCAAAGTATTTAGTATATTCCATATATTTCTAGAGAGCTATTTTTTGTAATAGTAATGCATTCTACATTTAACTAAAATGTGTCCTAATTAATTGTGTTTGTTTTATATAAGTATGATAAAAATTGTTATAGTAATAAACCTTACAAATGTAAATAATGTTGCTTTAATATTAGTTTCATATCAAAATCCTTTGAAACTTTCACGGTGATTTGTCTTGTTCATAGGTTTATGACAAAAATAGTAGCTTATTTATCAAACTGATTTAGTTGTATTGTAGTATTAAACAGTCTGCTTAACATATTTGGGAATGCAGATTTCACAAGGGCAATGACAAAAATAAATACCAAAATAACGAATAATTGGACTTGACTTGGTATTATTGATGAAAATGTTACACTCACTAGCATCGGCTGAGGTATTAAATCCTAAACACTAAAATCGATGACTCTAAAGAACTCTTTTAATGTAGCATATTTCAAAAATCTGAGGTACCCGTTACAGCATGGTAGTTGACTCTCCACCTATATAAAATGACTGAACAATACACATGCATTACATAATATGTATCATGACACGTGCTCGAAGTTTGCAACGTGTGTTCGTTGGTATTGCATCCCTGGTTCTGACCCAATTATATCTTGCATTATCAACAGAGCCTATTCAAGCTTGAGAACATCAGTGCTGTTAAAAGTTGAGTGTTGTAAATTTTTAACATTAATACAGAACAAAATTACAACCGCTGTTGTGATGATAAATAACACGATAGTGGATTGGACATTTCACATTTTATCATTTACCACAAAATATATTATAAAGCTTTGACATCACCTTATAAGATAAAATCTCTCATTTTCTGTAAACATATTTGGTCATACAATGAAGCTGATGAAATGAGTCAGAAAACTGATGTCCTGAGCCAATTAAATGAAGGCACGGGTCAGTAAGCCGGAAACGAAAGCATGGCCTGTAACATAAGAAATGTGCAATTCGGCTGACGACTTGGGCAAGGAAGCTTTAGACGGGGGGAAGGGGGCGATTACGGGCCTGTAAGCTAAAGACACGGGCCAGTAAGATGAAGACATAGACCAGTTAAATGTTGATAGGGACGTGTAAGCCAATGACAAAGGTCAATATGCTGAAGACATAGAAGCTGATGTAATTAGCCAATTAGCTAAAGATATTTAGCAGGTAGCTGAAAACACGGATCCGGTAGCTGATGAAACTGATCTGGACGATGAAGATACAGTCCCGGTAGCTGTAGATACGGATCGGGTAGCTGAATGCATTGGCCAGTAAGCTGAAGTGTTGCGCTGAAGAGACGGATCAGATAGCTGAAGTCTACGCAAGTGAAATGCTAATACATGCAACGTTTTTTTGTACATATACATTGCACGGACGTTGCACATACAAAAAAAAATATTCTACCAAACCGATAACCGGCATCTATATATATAATTATATCATATAAAAACCTTTTTCTAAATTTTGATCAGCATGCTTCTCTTATTTCTTGATTTATTTGAATTTCAACTCTCCAAGTGTCAGTTATCAAGTTTTTTTTACAGCAGCCTATTTTTTTTAGATATTTGCCTCTTAAACTATGTTTTAATGTTCGAATAAATACCAATTAAAGATATGTTCTGCCATAGTTATCCATAAATTATATAATAATATAATTTTATAATAAAATATAATGCAACCCAGTTTGCTTTGAAACATGATGTTTATTGATACATATTTTGCTTAATGGACAATGTAGAAATGTGCAAACTATTTATGAAATGCAAATATTTGAAAATAAAATTCTTGATTAATACGCATATAAAAATTTGAAGATAAAATTCTTGATTAATACGCATATTTTTTTTATTAACTTGTGAAAATAAGTAAATTAAGCAAAAGCGAAACAACAGGGCCAAGATGGCCCTAGATCGCTCACCTGACCCATCATTACATTATAGTTCAAGCGATATCAAAAATATCAGATGTATATCAGCTGATATCAACAATCAATTTAGCATCAAGAATTACACCCCTGGTCCAAAGTTCAAATCTGTATGTCAAAAACAACAACAAGAAAGTAGGTCAAATGCTATCAAAAATAAAAAAAAATTCAGATAATCGGCATCAGAAATTAACCCTTGGTCCAAATTCTATGACTAATGTCAAAAAGCAAGAAAATATATCTAATGATATCAATTATATCAAATGTACGTCAGCAAATATAAAAATTCAATTTGGCATCAAAAATTAAAATTATCACTATGGTCCAAATTTTAAGTCTGTACGTCAAAAAATAAAAGAGTAGGTCAAGTTAAAATTATCAAAGTATAGAAATATAAAAAAGTAGACCAGCATACTTTTCTGCGTCAGAAATTACACCCCTAGTTGAAATTCAAGTCTGTACTTAAAAGACACGTGTAACTAAGTCAAACGACATAATAAATATCGAAAGTAGGTCATTTGATATTAAAGTTAAATTCTGCATCACAAATTACATTTATGGTCCAAATTTCAAGTCAGTTTGATGACGATTGAGTCAAAAGTGTGACCAATAGAGTGATAAAAGGTTTTTCAATATTTGGACGGTGTGACCTAATTTTAGACCCCAGGTGACCCATATTTGAACTTGAACTGGATATCATTTAAACAATCTTTCAGATCAGGATATTTGGATCAAAGCAACTGCCACTAGTGTTAACAACATTTTTTCCATTTTAAGCTCCGGTGACCAGGTTTGTAATCCAAAATGACCCATGTTCGTACTGATCTATGCAATTGCCTACACAAGCATCCTGACAAAGTTTGATGACAATTGAGTGAACATATGTTTAATTGAGTGTTTACAAGGTTTTTCCATATTAAGGTAGTGTGACCTTGTTTTTGACCCTAGGAGACCCATATTCGAACTTGACCTAGAAATCATAAAAAAACTGTCGGATCAATTTCCAGGATCAAAACAGTAGCCACTAGAGTGCTAACACGATTTTACTTTTTGAGCTCCTGTTACCTAGTTTTTCATCATGTTCGACCTCATCCCATCCGAGCAATTACCTAGAGAAGCATCCTGACAAAGTTTGATGATGATTGAGGCAAAAAATGGGACCAATAGAGTTTTACCGAACAAATGTGGACGGACGACAGGCGATGGACGACGGACATTCGACGATCCTAAAATCTCACCCTGAGCTAACTCAGGTGAGCTAAAAAGTATTAATATGTATACATGAATTTATAATTATTTTGAAAATAGCAATAACAAGTGAATTTATCTGTTCCTGATTTTTACATTTTGGTCGTGTATATATACGTTTAAAAGATATTTATATTAATAATATCAGTCTCAGCGGTGTTTATCGGCTATTTAACAACGGTGGTTTGTATTCTTTTACGATGGTTAATTCCTCGACTCAAAAACGACATTTATGTGATTACTCCACGATATATGCCCCTCAGTCCGATCGATAGTATTTCGATTCTAAAAACACACAATAAGGGAGATCTTCTACGCTACCATTTAGATAAAGAATAAAATTTCCGCTGCTGATTTCCGTATTCGGCTGTTTTATTCTACACTATATCCACGTATACATCATAGTGAAACTTTTAAGAAAAAACTTTCATTTTAGTATAAACTCCCAAAGTTTTAAACAATATAACTTACATATCAGATCGTGTTATATAGTGTTAAACCCGATACAAGCAAAATCATCTTCAATTCACATCCATTTAATCTTTAATATGACGCCATATTATTGTGTGCTTTGGCTGACGTCATTTTGTTGGTTATGAATGGTGTAGGATTCTTGAAATAAATTCAGTGAAAGAAAGATAATATGCAAAAAAAAAAAAATATGCAAAACTTGCCACCGAAGTTTCAGTGAGATTTTATATTAGCATGGAATGAAAATTAAACATAACAAAAACGGAAAATATCAATAAATTGCTTAACTGATATTGCTAAAGTTTATCAATGTAATCGGAGGGGGTAAATGAATATAAAATTTAGTCACAGTAACATGTAGTCCCTAAGCGGCGTTTATTGGTTAAGTCATAACCCGGTTAAAACACATCCAAGATACAATGTAACTCAAAATAAGGTCATTCAGTTTTGGACTTAAATGTAATTCATTTATAAAGCCCGATTTATACATATTCGAGTATCTTAAATGGAGCTACATTGAGGTTTCAATACATTAAACATAAAATTTCATTTTTTACATAAATCATTTGGTGCACATGAAATGGACAAAGATGAAAAAGGCAAGGAAAAGATATACTCAGAATCTAAAGTCGATTTTTTTGGTGGCTGTAGGGGTGATTAATAGTATGACTCGTTTACACCTTTAAGGCCGTTAAAATAACATTAATTTATTATTGTGAAAAAAACAAATGAGCCAATGATCTGAAATAGTACATACAAACCTTAATGAAGTAGTACACTTTTCTCATAAAATAATATTGCCAATCCCTTCATGTCTGAAAACTTAAACGAGATCCCTTTAAACCATCTTGTGAAATTTCAACGTTATGAGAAAGTTTTAAGGTCGTTTAGATAAAAAATTATTGCGTGAAAAACAAAATGTGCAAATGATCTGAAATAATGCACATAAGTTACTAGTGCAGACTTTAATGAAATGGTTCACATTTCTTATAAAATAATATTTCTAGTATCTTATGTCTAAAAACCTAAACGGAGTGCCTTTAAAAACACATGTTGTGAAAGTTCAAATTTACGAAATGTTTCTAAATATTTTGTAAACAAAACAAAAAATCAAACAAAACACTTGTTCGTTCATAGTAATTGTAGTAAAATGGGTAATTCATGATGATTGATATTTTTCGGTACAGCAAGTCAATCTGCATATTAAATTCTATATTTTTGATTTAGTAATCTCATCATCCCGAACCTTAAAATATCATATTTACATTTTGTAAAACAAGTTTTATACAAATATCGACATCATAGTACTGACAACAAAATTTTCCATTTTAAATAAAAAGTACTACACTGGCGGAGACAAAGGTAAGTGTTAGCGGTTAGCAATGAAATGAAGTGAGTATTAGTACAATATTTATCAGACAGTGTTATGACAAATGATTACAATCCAAAGCGTCTTTAGTATAACAGTAAAACCAAAGACAGTAAGCAAAACACTATAAGATACATGCTTGCCCTTTCCAAAATGGTAAAAAGTTTTGATGGCTAAATGACCTTTAACAAAATAAATCTCTACGTTACAATTGACACTATTTAACTCATCATAATTTGTTTCACTTGCAGCAACAACCTGTTTCTCGTCAAGCTGCAAGCTAGCGAAATATTTGTAACAAATAAACAAAATATTAATAAAGTTCAAATAAACAAAGATTATCCTTATTTCAAGTGTTTTTTTTCGCTCTTATATCTAGAACCTGTTGTCATTTTTGTCATTAGTGCTGTATGTTGGTCTAGCATGGGATCCATAATACGGCTGGCTGTACTGCAACAAGTGAAACATATTTCTTTTATTAAGCATTTTGCGTAAATCCCTATTATCTGAACTTATGTATAACGTAAAATGTTATGCCACGTAAATTTACCCTAATAAATTGACGTTTGTCAGTACTAAGTGTATGATAAATATATATTAAGGGAAAAAGTAATATTCGTAGTTTCAATTTCATTGATTTCATTCTTACAAAATGTTTTGCAATTAAAACAAAGAAAATTTTAATATAAAGATATATTTCGATATGTCGTAAAAAATAAAACATCACAGTTTCAAAAAGAAGTCGACGTTATAAAATATAACTAGCTCAATAATAATCGTATTTTTAATAAAAAGATTTTGTTACTTACGGCAGATTCGTTTTCGCCATGTCTAAACATCGCAGGTCCTGTGGAAAGGTCCCTCCAATTACGCGGTGTCCATCTTTTGGGGAATGTATCCGAAGCCAGACCTATTTAGTAGATATAAACCAATTTAGTAGATATGCAATAGACAAATATGTGTGTTTGTATATTTTGTGTTAAAGTAGCACGCCTCCAGAGTCATGCTTATTTTTCATGAAACTTATGAAAATGTGTTATTAAAAGTAAAAAAGTGTTAAGTGAACCACATTGCAAAAAGCACTTACAACTAAATTAAAATGTAAATTACCAAAAAATAGGCCAAAATAGCTTTAACTGCGTAAGTAACGCGGTAGAAAAAATTGGTCATAATTATCACATAACATGGAAATTATTATTTCTATCTAGAGTCTAATTACTTTTCTCAAAATCTCAATATTTTTCTCAAGTTTGTATTTTTTTAATATTTTGGATTACCTAGAGGCATGAAATCTAAAAATATGAATTATCTCAGGTCAGGTGCATATAAAGGTTTTAAAATATATAATATAATTATTTCTAATTTTTTATTACCTGAAATGTAATCCCTTAAAAAATTAATGGCAGTTCTTTACACGAAAAGTATTTTCGAATCTATTAATATAGCTTTATGCTTAGTGTTAAAATTATAAGTATATAATGTTACCTTCGCGCCACCGACGCACCTTGTCCATATCTGAGACATTTCCATGTGTATCACGATAATTGGCAGCTCTTTTCGACCTTAATAACAGTAAATATTATATAACTGAACAAAAATGTATCATAGCATCAACACATGAATAAATTTCACCAATTCAGCAAGATTATCGTCTAGTTTTTCTGTTTAAGTATCGCATATCTTAATATGTTATGATATCCTTACAAAATCGTACAAAAGGTCTATGGTTATTTTTAACAAGATATAGATTAATAGGATTCAAGATGAAAACAAAACAAAAGATAACATGTTACCTTCGGATGTCCTGTTTCCTCATTTTATGTTTCCTTGACAGATGGCGCACGAACACAACGGTAATGACAACCATGATAACAACAAATATTCCAACAGCAGATAATCCAATGATAACTGACCAGTTAACTTTTGATTTAAAAGTGAGAGATAAAAAAGTTATAAATTCAATATTTCCAGAGTATTTACATACAAATATAAACAATAATTACAGAAAAGTATCTTGTCCGGTACTTGAAAATAAACAACGTAAAGTAAACATCGTCTTTGTTCATTATCAGTTGATAGTTTATTAAAAAATGCAACATAATTTAATGTCACAAATGTAGAATTATTATAATATGGCAGATAAAAATATGTGACTTGTTAATACAGTATAGACTCTAGTATGATTAAACTTTCCATCCCGTATTGTCTGAATAATAAACTTAAACAAATAATTTACAAAAGAAAAGCTGTATTTACTAGAATATATTTACTTACCCTCATTGTCTTCATATTCTAGTCTGTAAGTGAATATATGATTTCTTATCTATTTGATTTATATTCAGTGTATAGTTTTAAAAAACCTTTTTACTAATTTATTTCAGTTCTTTGAGTTTGTAATTTTAACCCTTGTTAAAATCCCCTTACCCTTTTTTTGAAAACCCAGAAAATTAACCCCAAAATGAGGTAAAATTTTTTGCTACTTAAAAAAGCGGTTTGCCCGTGACGGATTTTTTAAACTCCCCCAGAGTAACCCTTTAAAGATTTCAGTTCAAAACCATTTAGGCCTTTCCCCCAAAGGGTTTATCTATATTTCATTTCCAGTTAAAAAATTTGAATTAAGTTACTTTTCAGTTTAAAAATTTTAGGGAAAAAACAACCTTTACTTTGGAAAAGGGAAAACAAAAATGTTATTTTTTTATGAAAAACTTTTTTAAAATTTGTAATCTTAAATGTTTAAATATAATTAAAAGTTTTTTTAAACAGCATTAAACCCTACCTGAAAATGGGAAATTTTTTTTCTCAACTCTGCACCGGTAGCCTTGTTTACAACTGCCGACAGTTGCTTTGTACAATTCACATGGTTTCAGGTCCTTATACATCGCTTTAGAAACAATAAAAAAGCTGTGATTTTAACTGAGTAGAATCGATACATGTATGTTTATACATAAAATCATAAATGATACATTTCGACATATAGAAATGTTGTTTTTCATCAGACAAAATTCGTTTACGTTAAAGATGTATTCAGAAAAGGTATTTTGCAGTATTAACATCGATATTTGGTATGACTTGTTCATATTTCTCGTACACATGCGTTTCTGTTTTTTTTTCATTATGTGGTTCTTAGGTGAGGGACCATATCACACAAAACATTGTCTCCTTATCCATACACTGTTAATTGAGTACGTTGTTATAGCTTATCAAGGAAACTTACCTGATGTAACACTGACTTTTGTCCGTACACAGTTAATTGTGTTACCCTGGTTCTAAAAATCAAAGGACAGCTTTTTTTAAATTTGCAGCATCGTCCTCGTTCAGTTCCCCGTACACAACAGTTTAATAATCCGCAATTGATACTTCCAATCCTTAAAAGAGAGCACATGATTCAAATTATATACCAAATTCATCTTTATCAAAAAACTCAATACTTTCAGTTGTTTCAATCGATGAACAGTTAGACGTGACCTGAGTAAAAAATGGAATCCCATAACTTAAAAGTGGGAAGGAGAACAGCATGCATATCTCATATTGCTACAAAAGCAACATTAGGCTAGTGCAATTATGAGAACCAAATCACAATAAAATATTTGCTAACTGTTAAAATCATAAAATACTGTTAAAATCATAAAATACTGTTAAAATCAAATGGACAAGAACATTATATATATATATATATATATATATATATATATATATATATATATATATTATAGAGAGAGAGAGAGAGAGAGAGAGAGAGAGAGAGATACACACCACATTGAAATGCAATATTGACGATATATATACAATTAGGGATTGTATAGTGAGTATTAAATGTTTTAAACTAGTGAACGAAGAGGAAAAGCAAGGACTGAGAGAATAAACGGATGTATCTTTAAGGATTTTTTTTAAATTGGTCATTTATTCAATTTCCTATGGTATATTTTATAAAATTACCATCTGAGCAAAAACACATAGAACTGTAAATACAACTGTAAAGATCCGAAAAAAAACCACACACATCTATATGATGGATTGTTTACAAATCAACATATGCAATAATAGGTAGTGTACGTAGGAATTACTCAAACATTTCATTGAGGAGTGTAGAAAATTAGCTTGTGAAGTAACTAGGTAACAAAAAGAATGACGTGGCTACAGTCTGAACAAGAGTAAAGTGGTGGATTGAAGAAAGTACTCACAAATGGACGGTACAGAATGTTAGTACAATTTTAGATCAAAAGTGATCAGTTAGACACATGACTATTTTACTTTCTTAAAAATCTTTTTAGCTCTTAATTTCACCTCACCTTTTTTATTTTAATTAATAAAAATGATGTTTTTTGTTTGTTTGTTATTTTATCAACAGGAAATAAATTAGAAAACACGATATCCTCATAGGTTTGTAAGCTTAAAGCAATCCTGGATGCAATTCATGTATTGGAATTCTGTTTGTTAATATGGAAAAAGAAATGAATATTGTTTAAACCACATGGCAACTAAAGTAATAGAATTTTATCGGAAATATGTATTTAAAACTTAAAATTACATTTTGTTTGAATATTAAATACAAACAAAATAGATTCAACAAATATCTTAATTGATGATATGATGGTTAAGAGAGTCGTTGTACAAGTATGTTAAATATATCATTGCAAAGTTACCTTATATCATTTATTACTATTTCAATCAAGCCAGCAATATATGTCTTGTAGAAGTCCAACAGCTGAAGCAGATGAAGAGTTAATACATAAACTACTAACATATAAATCATTTACAAATTATTTTACTATTTTTTTTACTATTTTTTTCCTATATTTATCAAATATTTCAATAATGCGTGACTATATATCTTTTTTGTGACTGTTATAAAGTATATAAAAACGTGTCATATTCTCATCTTCATTTTGTCTTTACTGTAACTTTCTTCTAAATAACTTAACATGACGTTAAGAAAAAATAAATTTTGGATTGACACGTCCCACTATACAACAATGTTAAATGTATTGAATGTAACGATAGCTAAATTGACACAATAAAGCTGAGAAAATGCGACGATTTTAAATTAAAACAACTAACTGTAGAAAGTATTTCATTTTTTATTTCGTTGTATATGTCAGCGGCTTGAAGATTGGTATCAGCTGGGAGGTCGTAGTCTAATATGAGTGAATGCCTAAAAACGAACTGCCTATAATGATATAGTTAGACAGAGACAACATATAAGTATAATATTACTGTGATTTTTTCTGATATAATGTACAGTTTGAGCCAAAAATCAATAATCATATAAAACCTTTTTTTTTTTAAATTAAATTTTTATATTCACAACAAATTACAAATACAATTTACGTGCTACCAAAGAAACATAAATGTTAGAAACAATAAGAAATTAAAAATGCTTCTATAACAATTGAATTATTATAGAATATTTCACATTGTTTTATAAGTATATGTTAACGAAATATGAGTACAACCTAAGTATATGTTAACGAAAAACAACCTTTACAGGAACTGCAGTTGTCGTTAAACTCTCTGAAAACAAAAACGGAAATTTAATTAGATTTTGAGAGTTGCAATCAATAAGATACTTACTTTCGTACCGATCAACCATCACTTATAATATGAAAGAAAAGTTACAGTAGCAGTATTAGAGTGAAGTTGAGATAAATATACCATTGTTTATACCTTACAAAAATATATTTCGAGATTATGTGAATGTACCGTAGAGTAAAAGAGGCAAATACATTTGTAGTTTTCTAATATCTTAATTAAATTGTGTAAATATTTGTAAAAAAAAACAAGTAGTAAATAAACTTTGTAAAGGTAGCTGATACGTTTACCTTTTATACAGGCACCGTCAAACGATTTCGTAAAACCCCTTAGGCAGTAACAAAGAAAAGAACCAAATGTGTTAACACACGTTGTATCACTGACAGTTGAACAGGTTCTACTATCTTCACATTCATTTACATCATCATTACAGCTGTCACCATACCAACCGGCTTTACATTTGCATTGTCCCGTCATTATGTCACATGCTTGGTTTTCACTTAATGAATTAGTTATGTTGCAGCCACACATGTCTGAGCAGTTTTTACCATATGTGTTCCCAGTGCATTCTAAAACATGCAAATTTAACATAACAAACCATGTTCATAACACAATAACATAATGAAAGTCGATAGAAAACAGATTTACAATTATGAATACATTATAACATTAGATATGAAATTATTAAATAACCATTTTTAATCTTAAACAATTTTAGCTAAAGTTTAATAGAAAAAATATATATTTAAACGTCATACCTTCACATTCTTTATACCCAATATCCTGGAATCCTGTCTTGCATATGCACATATATGAACCGATAGTGTTGTTGCAGGTAGAGTTTGTCTTTCCATCGCATAGACTGCTGTTGGTCAAGCATTCATTTACATCAACTGTACAGTTCTCGCCAGTCCATTCCTTAGTCATAGAAAATATAAGGATTTGTATAATGATTAAGAATTGGAATTTCTTTTGACATTTCTAATGCGCATCGCAAATTATTTTTAAGTTAGTTGCAGTATTAAACTTTAAAGCATTGTTGTCGTAGAGTCTACGTAAAGGGAATGATTTGAATGTCTTTATCAAAGAAGGTTCATTGGTTTGAAATGTAAACTCATATTTTTCATACGACATTCAGAAATATTGAATAAATAAACATTTGAATTTAAATAATTTTATGACGATATGAGCTAAAAGATAGAAGATATACGTTTTGAGAAACTATGAAATACCTTCAAACAAGTGCAATCACCAGTAACATGATTACAAATGTCGGTGTTATCTTTAATACATGCGCAATCCATGCTACAGTTATTACCAAAGTGCCACATGTTACATTCTGTAATATATAATGCAATATAATATATTATGCTTTTAAAATGAATTTGTTAACGCCAAAATCAATTGTTTATATATTCGAATAGTTTCTCCTACCTTTGATGCAATTAGACTTTTAAAATTAGTTACTTGTACATAACGTGACAACAACTATTACATAGCATTATAATATTACGAATATGTTTATTCAAACCCATAACATATCATTTTCATAAAACTGTTCATTATGCTATAAGAATAAATGCGCGGGTAAAGCAATATTTGAAATGTTTATCAAGTATAAACAATATATTTTGCAATGGTCGAATACTTAATCACATTGCTGAAAAAAATTACAACTATTATACATAAGCTATGACATAGAAATACAAATTAACAAATCTACCTTCACATTTGTTTTTTCCATCGTCCTTAAATCCTGTATCACATACACATTTATATGAACCGATGGTATTGTTGCAGGTAGAGTTTGTCTTTATATCACAAAGATTTTTGTTGTTTAAACATTCATCTACATCTGTATCGCAGTTTTCCTCTGTCCATTCCTAAGTCAAAGTCGAAAATACAGGCAACATAATGGTTTGTATATGCATTTAAGTAACTGAAACTTTGATTATTTACGTCAACTTTGTCAGTTGGATATAAAAATATGTACAAATTTATATTGTTTTTTTTTTTGACAAGATGGATTAAATTCTCTCCATTATGGAATGTTTTCTGTTTCAAATTGTTTAAATGAATATATTTCCGATTCATACACTTACTACTATCGATAGGAAAAAGATTGAAAATACTTTGAATTGATTACGAGTGTCACGTTACGAATAAATAATTTGCGGTTCGGGGCAAAAAAAAATCATAATAATGATCGGCACTCTGTAAATACACGTGCACAATGACAAAAATCATGTCTCTGCAGATGTGAATACACAGAATAGGTACCTTTAAACAAGAGCAAGCACCAGTAATATGGTCACATGTATCGGTGTTGTCCTTATCGCACGTGCACTCTGTGCTACACTCATTCCCGAAGTACCATTTGCTACATTCTAAGGCATATATACTATTTGTTGAATTTCCTTGTAATAGTTAGATGAATTAATTTAATTTAAGAACTTTTTAAAACCTTTATTCATTTGTAAACACATTCCTTTATTTCTGCATAATATGTACAATTATGAACGGCATAATTTTAATTATCGCATGATATTATCCAATATATTCTTTAGAAAACGTCTAACTGAATTATTTAAAAATATGTGATCTGCAAATATTTGTTATGTTTTCTGTATAACAATAATTAATAAGATATGCATAAAAAATGTCTAGCTATTGTTAAATTCTTTTTTAAAATTTTTAAATGTCTAAGCTTAATATGCAGAAAAAATGTTTTGGGTTTTAAATTTCCTTACCTTTCCCCATTTGGGTTTTTTCCATAGTCCTTAAGCCCCCGTATTTTCCCAAAAAAAAATACCCAACCAGCACTTTCGTTGCATTAGAGTTTTCCTTTTCACACAAAGGGCTGTATTTTTAGAATTTTATCTAAAATCCAATCACAGTTATCAACCCGGGCCAAACCCTTCCGGGAAAAAATAAGGGGGAAGGGAAAGCTTAGAATTCAAAGTGAATAAGCAAATAGAAATTTTAAAGTTTTTTAAAAAAAAACATAAAGGTTACCCCTTTTTTTAAAACTTTTAAAATTTGGGGTTTAAATTTTAAGTTTTTTAAAATTTAGGTAAAAAAATTTTATATATATTTTAAGAACAGATAACATGTATATTTGACAAAATCATTCCAAGAGAGTATCAATACGAATAAGATACAAACATACAAACATTTAATAAAGATTATTTGTTTTGATTGATAAAGTTTCACTAATTCAGTATAATAATATCCATTTGTGATATATAAAAACAGAAAAGATTAACATGTACCTTTGAACAAGTGCATTTACCAGTAACAAGATCGCACGACTCGGTGTTGTCTTTATCGCATGTGCACTCTGTGCTACACTCATTTCCAAAGAACCATTTGTTACATTCTACAACATTAACTGTTTGTTTTAATTTTCTGCTTATAATTAGTGCAATTCATTTAATTTAGAAGTTTTAAAACCGTCACTCATTCTTACTTCGTAAACAAATCACATTTCATTTGCTACATAAGAAGTGCAATTTTGAAAGACATGAATTTTTTTACCATATGCCGTTGATAATTATATCTTTATTAAGCATGTATAAAGACAAGTCCATATGAAAGCATGACTTAAGAAATGATAAATAAAGTTTTGTTGTGTTTTCTGTATGAGAATAAACAACGGCAGTGGTTAATAAGTAGAAAGATATACATCACAATTTTAAGTTATTAATTTTACAATAACTTAAGCATAATTGTATGTTTATCGTGACATTGTTTTAACTACCTTTTCAACTTTTTTTTGTAAAGTTATGAAGTAAAACAAATAGATCCAAGAATATTACCTTTGCATTTGTTACTTCCATCGTCTTTGAAGCCAGTATTGCATACACATGAATAAGAACCGATGGTATTGTTGCATGTAGAGTTTGCCATTTCATCACAAAGATGGTCATTGTTCAAACATTCGTCTACGTCCATATTACAGTTGTCACCAGTCCATCCCTTCGTTACAAATAAGGGCAATAAAAGTATTTAATTCCATTTAGACAAAGAAACATTCCATGTTTGTCAAACCAGCCTTTCCATAACTTAATTTGAGGATTAAGCGTGTGTTTTTAAATATTTATGTATTATATATGATTTCATATAAATTTTTACAATTGATTAAATATAAATGCCAATAACATGTTAAGGGTAAGATGCGCATACACAAAATAAATATAGATTATTTGTATAAATAGATACAACTTTACATTATATTAAATATAGCTATATCCATCTGAGATATAAATGCAGAAGAAAAAGTAATAAAAGTACCTTTGAACAAGTGCATTTACCAGTTACATGATCACATATGTCAGTGTTATCTTTATTACACGAACATTCTTTACTGCAATTATCTCCAAAGAACCAGCTGCTACATTCTATCAAATACCAAATATCACACATACATTTATTTTATTTGACTGAAAGAAGTCAACCGAAAAAAAGGTAGCACAATAAGATTGTTATGTTATTATGTTTTAAATGACTCTTTACTCGTATCATAGTGTGTGTCCGAACAGTGACTGAAAAAATATTTCAATAACATATTTTGTATATATTTGTCATGCGGTACAGTATGAATGAGACCGATTTTGGTTTGGTTTTAAGTCACATTGACACCGTAAATGTCCCCCCGACTAGAACCAATTATCACCCAAAAGCTTGATGGAAAAGATAGCAGATAGCTTTATTACAAAATATAATATAATGTCCCTGGCAGGTATAGGCGCCAATGTGTTAGAGGTCAAAGTCGACAAAGTCATCTTCTCATTTCTATTCATATGATCGCTATACACACAAATCTGATATACGAATTAGTAAGTAATTTGAAATCAATCAAATGCACTTTTTCTTTTATTGCAGTGCAAGACATGACTCTTAGCTTATAAGCAAATTTCATTTATGTCAATAATATGTTTGTATTATAAAAAATAATTTTTCTTGTTTCAGTTTAACCATACCAGAGCATTCTCCATTATTTGCCTCAATGTATCCTGTATTACAGTCACATCCAAAACTTCCGACCGTATTGTTACACACAGAGTTACTCTGACAAATATTGTCGATTTCACATTCATTCACATCATCCTTGCAGATAGTACCCTTCCAACCTGGCTTACACCTACATAATCCAGTGACCGGGTTACAGTGCTCAGTGTTTGTCGTATGACATGAACACACTGATTCGCAATTTGCTCCAAATTTCCAGATATCGCATTCTGTAAATGTGAACAGCATGACATAGAAATGCAGAAATACATTCGAATACAAGTGTTTCATTAGACCGATCTAAAAACATCATCATAATATTACATGTATACATAATTATAGATACACAATAAGTTTAAGGTAAAAACATTTCAAGAAAAAAGTAAATTCGTTAAGATATCATGCAAAACTAAGCAAAACCTGTGCATATATCATCCTCGTCTCTAAGGCCGTCGTTACACAAACACTTGTATGAACCATTTTCGTTCTTGCAGGTAGAATTGTCCTTATATTCACATATTGTTTTATTTTCTTCACATTCGTCTATGTCGACATTACACAACACGCCGGTCCAGCCCTTAGAAAACAAATAACTCTATATACAACCAATGAATGGATGATTAAGTTACGGATTAAAATCTTATGCATTGAACTTTCACAATTGTATCTTGTACTCACTTCTAAATAAAAGTGAAGCTTTGATTTAACCCTTTCAGACACCATGTTATTTAGTGGATATATATATACGTTCAATCATATTCGTTTCGTACATAGAACTAGTATTGGTTGATTTAAAGATACTTTAAGATTTTATTTATCATATAAAAGAACAAATATTTCATAACGTATAGAATCGATACAAAAAAGGAGATTGGAAGTTACATTAACTTATTGAAGTATTTAAAATTAGAACTGGCGATAATATGCACACTGATAATTAGTTTTGGAGGTGATGTAAGCAAAACAGGTAAAGAACTAAACCGAATCCATTTTGTTTTGTTTAGATGATGTATATACAGTGTGCTTATATAGTGTTTGGCATAGCAATTTGTTTAAACCCATTTTAAATCTGTTTCTGGTATGAAAACAATTTTTGTAAGAATGGCTTAATATCATTTCAATAAAATTTACATAATCAACTTTCATTAATTTTTTTGATTTAACTTCTCACCTGGCTGCAAGTACAACTACCATTTACATGATTACACTCAAGTGTTCCTTTAGGGATGCAGTCGCATACCTTGCTGCAGTTTTCCCCATAATACGGATTGTCGCAGTCTGAAGGTATGTTATAACATATATTAACTCATAGAATATATTAACTTCATATGGTCTAACAAAAACTATAAAATGATATTTATATGGGGAAATTATTCCCAAAATTATATGATTTTCGAAATTATTTTTGTTGTCTTTCTAAAATGGTTTAAGATTTTATGTCGTACCTTTGCATATGTTGCCGTTAATCAATTGGTATCCAATGTCACATAAACAGTCGAAACTTCCATAAGAGTTTTCACAATATGAATTTTCCTGGCATATTCCTTCATCGATACATTCATCAACATCTTCGGTGCATTCAGAGCCCTTCCATTCCTTGGCGCATATGCAATCACCAGTTCTGGAATCACATCTCTCAGAATTCGGCACATGACAAGAACAATTATGTGCACATTCAAATCCGTATGTCCATTCTCCACAGGCTGTAAAGCATATAATACTCAGTAAAATGCTCGGACATTTTTTTTCAAATTGTTAAAAGTCAAACATTAAGGACCTCTATTTTATATATTGTAATGTCAAAAAGAAAGCTGTTTTACTCACCAACGCAAGATTTCCGATCAGTTACGTTTAGATAAAATCCGGGCTCACATGAACAGATGAAACCTCCGTATGTGTTATTACAATTGTGATCACATGTGTTGTTCTTCTTGCATTCATCAACGTCTGTAAGAAGGAATAAATGGAGCATTTTAGTCCTGGACCCGATATGATTTAAAGCTAATATCCTACACACTGAAGTTTGGGCTTTTTAAACTAAACTAACTGTCATCAAAAGATAAAATTTCACCACAGGCTCGTTCATTTATATAGAACTAGATTATAAATACATGTCTTTACTGACAAATAAATATTTTTGTAAAGTATTTGCAATGTTTAACACGCCGTTATTTTAAATGTGCAATAACTTGGCTAAACAATCAACAATCAACAATCGACATTCAATGTCTAGCTAGACAATCAACATTCAGCTCAACATTTGATCTATAATAATAATCAAAGAATTCTCAAAGTGAATGTTGAGCTAGACAATCAACAATCAGCTAGACATTCGAAAATTTCTTATGTCGAGCTAGACAATCGACATTCAGCTCAACATTCGACATTTAATAATTATCAAAGTATTCTTAAAAAGAATGTTTAGCTAGACAATCAACAATCAGCTAGACATTCGAAAATTTCTTATGTCGAGCTAGACAATCGACATTCAGCTCAACATTCGACCTGTAATAATTATCAAAGTATCCTCAAAGTGAATGTTGAGCTAGACAATCAACAATCAGCTAGACTTTCGATAATTTCTTATGTCGAGCTAGACAATCGACATTCAGCTCAACATTCGACCTGTAATAATTATCAAAGTATTCTTAAAGTGAATGTTGAGCTAGACAATCAACAATCAGCTAGACATTCGAATTTTTTTATGTCGAGCTAGACAATCGACATTCAGCCCAACATTCACTTGAAGAATTGTTTAATTATTATTATAGATCGAATGTTGACCTGAATGCCGATTGTCTAGCTCGACATAAGAAATTTTCGAATGTCTAGCTGATTGTTGATTGTCTAGCTCAATATTCACTTTAAGAATACTTTGATAATTATTACAGGTCGAATGTTGAGCTGAATGTCGATTGTCAAGCTCGACATATGAATTTTTCGAATGTCTAGCTGATTGTTGATTGTTTTGCTCAATATTTACTTTGATAATTTTTTGATTATCATTATTGATCGAATGTTGAGCTGAATGTTGATTGTCTAGCTCAACATTCACTTTGAGAATTCTTTGATTATTATTATAGAACGAATGTTGAGCTGAATGTTGATTGTCTAGCTCGACATAAGAAATTATCGAATGTCTAGCTGATTGTTGATTGTCTAGCTCAACATTCACTTTAAGGATACTTTGATAATTATTACACGTCGAATGTTGAGCTGAATGACGATTGTCTAGCTCGACATAAGCAATTTTCGAATGTCTAGCTGATTGTTGATTGTCTAGCTAAACATTCACTTTTAGAAAACCTCGATCATTATTATAGATCGAATGTTGAGCTAAATGTCGATTGTCTAGCTCGACATAAGAAATTTTCGAATGTCTAGCTGATTGTTGATTGTCTAGCTCAACATTCACTTTAAGGAAACTTCGATCATTTTTTTGATCGAATGTTGAGCTGAATGTCGATTGTCTACCTCGACATAAGAAATTTTCGAATGTCTAGCTGATTGTTGATTGTCTAGCTCAACATTCACTTTAAGGGTACTTTGATAATTATTACAGGTCGAATGTTGAGCTGAATGTCGATTGTCTAGCTCGAGTTAAGCAATTTTTGAATGTCTAGCTGATTGTTGATTGTCTAGCTAAACATTCATTGTAAGAATACTTCGATAATTAATATAGATCGAATGTTGAGCTGAATGTCAATTGTCTAGATCGACATAAGAAATTTTCAAAAGTCTAGCTGATTGTTGAATATCTAGCTCAACATTCACTTTAAGAAAACTTCGATCATTTTTTTGATCGAATGTTGAGCTGAATGCTGATTGTCTAGCTCGACATAAGAAATTTTCGAATGTCTAGCTGATTGTTGATTGTCTAGCTCAACGTTCACTTTAAGAATACTTTGATAATTATTAAAAGTCGAATGTTGAGCTGAATGTCGATTGTTTAGCTCGACATATGAATTTTTCGAATGTCTAGCTGATTGTTGATTGTCTAGCTCAATATTCAATTTGAGAATTTTTTGATTATCATTATAGATCGAAAGTTGAGCTGAATGTTGATTGTCTAGCTCGACATTAGAACTTTTCGAATGTCTAGCTGATTGTTGATTGTCTAGCTCAACATTCTCTTTGAGAATTCTTTGATTATCATTATAGATCGAATGTTGAGCTGAATGTTGATTGTCTAGCTCGACATTAGAAATTATCGAATGTCTAGCTGATTGTTGATTGTCTAACTCAACATTCACTTTAAGGATACTTTGATAATTATTACACGTCGAATGTTGAGCTGATGGTCGATTGTCTAGCTCGACATAAGCAATTTTCGAATGTCTAGCTGATTGTTGATTGTCTAGCTAAACATTCACTTTTAGAAAACCTCGATCATTATTATAGATCGAATGTTGAGCTAAATGTCGATTGTCTAGCTCGACATAAGAAATTTTCGAATGTCTAGCTGATTGTTGATTGACTAGCTCAACATTCACTTTAATAAAACCTCGATCATTTTTTTTGATCGAATGTTAAGCTGAATGACGATTGTCTAGCTCGACATAAGAAATTTTCGAATGTCTAGCTGATTGTTGATTGTCTATCTCAACATTCACTTTAAGGATACTTTGATTATTATTACAGGTCGAATGTTGAGCTGAATGTTGATTGTCTAGCTCGATATAAGAAATTTTCGAATGTCTAGCTGATTGTTGATTGTCTAGCTAAACATTCATTTTAAGATTACTTCGATAATTATTACAGGTTGAATGTTGAGCTGAATGTCGATTGTCTAGCTCGACATAAGAAATTTTCGAATGTCTAGCTGATTGTTGATTAACTGGCTCAACATTCACTTTAAGAATACTTTGATAATTATTAAAAGTCGAATGTTGAGCTGAATGTCGATTGTCTAGCTCGACATAAGAAATTTTCGAATGTCTAGCAGATTGTTGATTTTCTAGCTCAACATTCACTTTGAGAATTATTTGATCATTATTAGAGATCGAATGTCTAGCTGATTGTTGATTTTCTATCTCAACATTCACTTGAAGGATACTTTGATAATTATTACAGGTCGAATGTTGAGCTGAATGTCGATTTTCTAGCTTGACATAAGAAATTTTCGAATGTCTAGCTGACTGTTAATTGTCTAGCTAAACATTCATTTTAAGAAAACTTCGATAATTATTACCGGTCGTATGTTGAGCTGAATGTCGATTGTCTAGCTCGATATAAGAAATTTTCGAATGTCTAGCTGATTGTTGATTGTCTAGCTCAACATTCATTTTAAGAATACTTTAATAATTATTACAAGTCGAATGTTGAGCTGAATGTCGATTGTCTAGCTCGACATAAGAAATTATCGAAAGTCTAGCTGATTGTTGATTGTCTAGCTCAACATTCACTTTAAGGATACCTTGATAATTATTACAAGTCGAATGTTGAGCTGAATGTCGATTGTCTAGCTCGACATAAGAAATTTTCGAATGTCTAGCTGATTGTTGATTGTCTTGCTCAACATTCATTTTAAGAAAACCTCGATGATTATTATAGATCGAATGTTGAGCTGAATGTCGATTGTCTAGCTCGACATAAGAAAGTTTCGAGTGTCTAGCTGTTTGTTGATTGTCTAGCTCAACATTCACTTTAAGTATACTTTGATAATTATTACACGTCGAATGTTGAGCTGATGGTCGATTGTCTAGCTCGACATAAGCAATTTTCGAATGTCTAGCTGATTGTTGATTGTCTAGCTAAACATTCACTTTTAGAAAACCTCGATCATTATTATAGATCGAATGTTGAGCTAAATGTCGATTGTCTAGCTCGACATAAAAAATTTTCGAATGTCTAGCTGATTGTTGATTGACTAGCTCAACATTCACTTTAATAAAACCTCGATCATTTTTTTGATCGAATGTTAAGCTGAATGTTGATTGTCTAGCTCGACATAAGAAATTTTCGAATGTCTAGCTGATTGTTGATTGTCTATCTCAACATTCACTTTAAGGATACTTTGATTATTATTACAGGTCGATTGTTGAGCTGAATGTTGATTGTCTAGCTCGACATAAGAAATTTTCGAATGTCTAGCTGATTGTTGATTAACTTGCTCAACATTCACTTTAAGAATACTTTTATAATTATTAAAAGTCGAATGTTGAGCTTAATGTCGATTGTCTAGCTCGACATAAGAAATTTTCGAATGTCTAGCAGATTGTTGATTGTCTAGCTCAACATTCACTTTGAGAATTATTTGATCATTACTAGAGATCGAATGTCTAGCTGATTGTTGATTTTCTATCTCAACATTCACTTTAAGGATACTTTGATAATTATTACACGTCGAATGTTGAGCTGAATGTCGATTTTCTAGCTTGACATAAGCAATTTTCGAATGTCTAGCTGATTGTTGATTGTCTAGCTAAACATTCACTTTTAGAAAACCTCGATCATTATTATAGATCGAATGTTGAGCTAAATGTCGATTGTCTAGCTCGACATAAGAAATTTTCGAATGTCTAGCTGATTGTTGATTGACTAGCTCAACATTCACTTTAATAAAACCTCGATCACTTTTTTGATCGAATGTTAAGCTGAATGTCGATTGTCTAGCTCGACATAAGAAATTTTCGAATGTCTAGCTGATTGTTGATTGTCTATCTCAACATTCACTTTAAGGATACTTTGATTATTATTACAGGTCGATTGTTGAGCTGAATGTTGATTGTCTAGCTCGACATAAGAAATTTTCGAATGTCTAGCTGATTGTTGATTAACTTGCTCAACATTCACTTTAAGAATACTTTTATAATTATTAAAAGTCGAATGTTGAGCTGAATGTCGATTGTCTAGCTCGACATAAGAAATTTTCGAATGTCTAGCAGATTGTTGATTGTCTAGCTCAACATTCACTTTGAGAATTATTTGATCATTACTAGAGATCGAATGTCTAGCTGATTGTTGATTTTCTATCTCAACATTCACTTTAAGGATACTTTGATAATTATTACAGGTCGAATGTTGAGCTGAATGTCGATTTTCTAGCTTGACATAAGAAATTTTCGAATGTCTAGCTGACTGTTAATTGTCTAGCTAAACATTCATTTTAAGAATACTTCGATAATTATTACAGGTCGTATGTTGAGCTGAATGTCGATTGTCTAGCTCGATATAAGAAGTTTTCGAATGTCTAGCTGATTGTCTAGCTCAACATTCACTTTAAGGATACTTTGATAATTATTACAAGTCGAATGTTGAGCTGAATGTCGATTGTCTAGCTCGACATAAGAAATTTTCGAATGTCTAGCTGATTGTTGATGGTCTAGCTCAACATTCACTTTGAGAATTGTTTGATTATTATTATAGACCGAATGTTGAGCTGAATGTTGATTGTCTAGCTCGACATAAGAACTTTTCGAATGTCTAGCTGATTGTTGATTGTCTTGCTCAACATTCATTTTAAGAAAACCTCGATGATTATTATAGATCGAATGTTGAGCTGAATGTCGATTGTCTAGCTCGACATAAGAAAGTTTCGAGTGTCTAGCTGTTGTTGATTGTCTAGCTCAACATTTACTTAATGAATACTTTGATAATTATTACAGGTCAAATGTTGAGCTGAATGTCGATTGTCTAGCTCGACATAAGAAATTATCGAATGCATTGTCTAGCTCAACATTCACTTTAAGGATACTTTGATAATTATTACAGGTCGAATGTTGAGCTGAATGTCGATTGCCTAGCTCGACATAAGAAATTTTCGAATGTCTAGCTTAATGATGATTGTCTAGCTCAACATTCACTTTAAGGATACTTTGATAATTATTACAGGTCGAATGTTGAGCTGTATGTCGATTGCCTAGCTCGACATAAGGAATTTTCGAATGTCTAGCTAGCTTAATGATGATTGTCTAGCTAAACATTCATTTTAAGAATACTTTGATAATTATTACAAGTCGAATGTTGAGCTGAATGTCGATTGTCTAGCTCGACATAAGAACTTTTCGAATGTCTACTTGATTGTTGATTGTCTAGCTCAACATTCACTTTGAGAATTCTTTGATTATTATTATAGATCGAATGTTGAGCTGAATGTTGATTGTCTAGCTAGACATTTGTCGATTGTTGATTGTTGATTGTTTAGCCAAGTTATTAAACATACGTTGCAACGTTTAATTATTTCGATATTGACTTAAATGATCAACACAACCGTAACCTGGTTGCAAGTAGGTCAGTTGGTTGCTGATAGAACTATTGTACGCTTGGTAATGTTTTTATCCTGCAGTCGATTGCTGCACAATGCATCATAGAAAAATATGTCTATAAAAATGTTGAACTGCATATATTATTTTGTTATGAAAGAAAATATCAACGAAGGTGAGCGATGTTTACTAAACGCAGACCCGAGCAAACCAAAATGTGCTTCACTGGCATAATAGAACATTATTATTATAGAATAATAGTGGCAGTACGAGTATTCTAGTAATACCTTGGCAATCTCCTCCCGACATGTAGAAACCAGAAAAACATGCACATTCGTAGCTACCGGGTAAATTCAAACATTTCTGTCCGCAACTATTTTTCTCATTATCTAAGCACTCATTGAAATCTACAACAACAAAAAAATCAACAACATTAAAATATAAAAAAACACTTGATCTGACAATGAACTAATCTGTAATATGTCTTCACATTCATTGCACGATTTAATATTTTTCATGTGTTATCATTTAAATTATATTTAGTGGATTACCAGTGCAAATCCCACTTTGTTCCAGAAAACCATCTTTACAGATGCACTCATATGAACCGATATTGTTTCGACAAATTGAGTTAGCCTTAAAATCACAAATACTGCTGTTGCTTGAACACTCATTTACATCTTCCAAACAATCTTGTCCCTGCCATCTCTAAATTAGACAACAACAAAGTTAAGTTAGTTGTATATAGCATGCAATGAAAAACATGACGTAGCTTTGCAAAAGGAGTAGAATAAGTCGATAATGCTTTACGGTCCTCAAATATGTAACGAATATATGCCAAGTTCTAATGCTTGTCAGTTATTCATCAAATATTACGAGGCAAGTAGACGCATTCTCAACAAGAAAGACATTCCCTTTTAAGAAAATGACTGTTGAATAACAATTTAACATGGAATCAAGTAAGTATATATTTTAACATAACTCAACAATAGTCTAGTGTTTTTAATGACATGACGGTTATTTATTCAATTAATTAAAAATGCATTGACCTTTTATAAAAATGTTAAGGAATGTAATGTTAAACGTTTATACAAATAAATAACATTAGCAAAATACCTGATTACAAGTACATGAGCCTGTCTCATGATTACAATCTTCAGTGTTTTCAATATTGCAAGTACATTCGCGAGCGCAGTCTTCTCCAAAATGACGACTATCACATTCTTAAAAATAAACATGTAATGGTTGATATAGGTATCCGTGAGGTCATAATGTATTTTGACAAAGAAAACTAATACAGGTGTAACGCTGTCAAATTGTTGCATATTTTAAATTATATCGGTCTTCCAAAGGATTTAAAAACATTTATTCATGTTGGAGTAGCTCACATTTCAATACTTATTTGCTTTCTCATCGCATTATTTCTTTCAAGAAATAATACATTTCAGACAAACACAAAATAATACAACTATAACAAACCTTCGCATCGTTTAGCTCCTGTCTTTACATACCCGGCGTTACATTTGCACATGTAACTCCCGTCTGAGTTCAGACATGCTGACTTAGTTGGACAAGCAGTATTATTTAAGCATTCATCTACGTCATCTTCACAACTTGCACCCTCCCAACCGGATTTACATACACACGTCCCAGTTGCAGGGTCACACCGTTCAGAGTTTGATTCGTCACAAGAACAATCTGATTGGCAATCAAAGCCATACTTCCATGCTTCACACTCTATGAATAAAGGTTTTAATACTGGTGTATATCCACAATATTGCGGTTTGGGAAATCTACGCAAGTTTCAAGCAAAAGCTAACATCTATCTAGTATTAGATATTTGAAATTATATTTTTGATCATAATAAAAAATTTCTAAGGCATAGTAAAAAACCTATAAGATAAACTAAAATTAGTTTGAAAGTATCTTAGAAAGTTATATCATTTAAAATTTTGGTTGTTACGATACCTTTGCATGTAATGTTATCATCTCGTAACTGGAACCCAGTTTTACAACTACATACAAAACTGCCGGCAGTATTATTGCATAGACTGTCACATGGCTGAACACTTGGCAGGCATTCGTCAACATCTAGTATAAGATTTAATAGTTACAATACAATAAACAATTTATTATGTAATGAACAAAGCAAGAAAGTACATATTTTAAATTCGAAGCTCAAAGTATCATTATAATATTACTTACTATATCAATCTATATAAAACAATAAATTTCAGTTGGTATGACGCCTTTATGGCGTTTATTATCAAATGTAATAACATGACATACAGTTTTATTAAGATAAAGCAAATAAACCGGTTCGTAATATTTAACATGATAGAAAACGTTTATAATTCCAATCTTTTTCTATAATTTTCAGTCTTGAAAAAATTCTGTCTGTCGGACCATGTTACTTGTCCACATAAAATATTGTATACATATTAATAAAATCAAATCAGATTTTGTCTTTTTAAATATATATAAGACAATAATATTGCATGAATCTTGTCATGGTGCACTCAAATGTACCATTACTCATCTAGTAACCAGCATATTTGTGTACATGATTAGATTAAATCAGCGAGTTTAACTTTAAATAGATTTAAAAAATATATATTCTATTGCAAGAAACAACGTTTCATCAACCATTCTTTCATATAGATTAGTAAAATAGCAGGTTATAAATCTAACGAAAAGGAAAAACAGATATTACAATTGATAATAATCGATGATAAAAAGCCATATGTAGTTAATAAAAACGTTGTAAAAAAGTACAAAATATTGTAATATCATTTTTGACAGAATTTTGTATTTTTCCTTCTCAAACACTATTTATTTTTCTCAATTTACAATCAAACAAACGTATTGTTCTAACTTCATGTTTAACGTTATATGTTTTGGTGATAAGCCAGAAAAACATGACTGCGTTCGTAACTAATGAAAACGCCTATTTAAAAGTTGTTTGTTACATATTACCTTCGCAACTATCTCCACTCGGTTCAAATCCTCTCGAACATGTACAACTTACTGTCCCATTATTTATGTAACATGACGCATGCGCGGGACATGTCTTGCTTTGGTCTTCATTACATTCAGACTCCGCTAGAAACAAATATAGACTATTATATTCATATATTCAAAATGTATTTTGCAAATTGTTTGCTCTTTTTCCTCTTTTTTGTCCGATTTAAAATGATAATTTATTCTGTTTCAAAATGTTATGGCTTTGTGGAATAACTTTATATAACTTCAATATAAACTGCAAGTTGTATCATGCGTCTGTTAAATAGTTTTGTGTTAAATGTATATAATCAATTTTTTGAAATACATGTAAATCAATGTTGAATTCATTGTTTTCCTCATACTTGTTTGAAACATACTTCATGTGTTATACATATATATTAAATATTTTGTAATGAAATGCGTTTGTTTTGTTATTTCTATTTTTTCATTTTTGTAAGAACTGAATCATAATAGGCTTACAGAAAGCAGATACACATTTTTAATTATCTAAGTTCCGCAAATGATTTTATTTTTAAGCCCTGACATCATACACAATGTAGCTTTGACCGTCGTGATCTCGTAACGTTACTTGTAATGACAATTTGCTCGTTTGCAAGACGATAAATCATAATCTCGATTTAAAATAAGAACTTACGTCTACAAGTTTTTCTATCAGACAACTGAAGCTTGAAGCCTTCCTCACATGAACATAAATAACTGCCAACGGTGTTTTCACAAATTTGACCACACCCATGTCTACTTGTACATTCATTGACATCTGGTATAATTAATTCATTTTGATTATCTCATTCTTAACACTCAAATAGAATATTACTAATCTTAAAATTTGTTTGCGAAACATTTGCCAACATAATTGAATACTATAATACAGCATAATAATAAATAAGAAATAAATATGACTGTGCAGTTATAATACTATTTTTAACAGTTAATTATTAATAGAATGTTAATAATTGATAATTTACTTATTTCACAAACTCAAATAGATTATTGGTTTGTGACGTTACCTATACATTTTCCATTTCTAAATTGAAAACCTTTGTGGCAGCTACATCTGAAGCTACCGTTTGTATTCATACATTGTTGGTCACATGAGTTCAGCTGTAAATCAGAGCATTCATCGATATCTGGAATTATTGAAAGAAAAATTACAACGAGTTCTTATATTTTTCTTTTTGAATAAATAACGAATTCTATTTACGACACTTAAACAGAAATTTAAAAATGCTTGCGCGTGAAACAAACGTTTCTTTTTATCTAAACTACCATTCAATAAAGCAACATAAGTTATTGTTTTAGTTTATAACAATATTTGCATCATCTGCATTTTTATTAACGATAACATAAAAACACACATTAAATTACCCAAGCATTTCCCGGTGCTATTTTCATATCCGGTTTGACATAAGCATGTAGCACTCCCCAGAAGGTTTACACACATGGTATTTTGGGCAGGACAATAGATTTGTTCTGTTTCACATTCGTTGATATCGATGTCACATTTATCACCAACCCATCCGTGTTGACACACACAACCTTAATACATAGTGCAAAACATTTTGTTTTTGTTAAAAACGAAAATCGTGTAGAAAATGGATATCATGTCTTACTTAAATTCTAATGAATGAACACTGTTATTTTTTAACTTAACTATTTAATATTTATGAAAAACTTAAATTCCAGTTTTACATAAACTATTTAAAAAATGTTCAGTTTATAGATGAATCACACGACCAATGTCCGCAATGTACAGTGCATCGGGAAAATTCATTGAAATATTTATTGATAAGATCAATTTGTATTTTTGTTTACAGTTAATATCTCAAAAGCGCATAACTTACCCTTTATTTTATCACAAAATCCATTAAGACAGCTGCATTCATGCAAACAGTTCTTGCCATAGTGATAGTCATCACATTCTATTATTAAAGAGATTTATTGATAATATTTACGTTTCTTATTTATATTAACTGACTTTTTTACCAAATGATAATTCAAAATACTCACTGATAATTTGAGACAAATTATTTGTATGTAATTTATACTGTCATGTTGTTTTAGAGTCAGGTAAATGTTTCAAAAATAAACACTATATATATTCAGGGGATTGATTTATTTTCTTTTGATATTAGATAATTGTCAAAGCTACAGACAACCGCATTTTATATATCACTTTGGCTTTTAAAATCAATTCATATTCCAATTGAATATAATATCTGATATGGATATTAAAAGTCGCCTAGTACATTCGATCAGAGATGATCGTTCAGCAAGACATTATTGATGTGTTTGTGGTATTTCTAAGTTTCAACATTTTGGCATTATCTAGTTGTGTGGTTCCAAAATTCCTATTTGAATTATGTTGAATCACCCTTAGGATATGTTGCCTGCTTTCCTTTAACATATTCTCTGTGAAATGCAGGCTTCATAACAACTCATCACCTTTCAAAATTCCATTTTCTTTAGTTCCGCCCATTGTTTTCTCGTTTAGGACACATGCTTTCTATTAATTTGGGACCATATGCCGCATTTTATGGAAAGACACGGAAGTGTAACATTAAAAGTTCCACGATAACCGCCGTATGAACACATCTGCTGATGTTTCTTAGTTAAAAATTTTACCATTTCATGTATAAATGTTGAAGTCTGCTTAAGTCGGTGCTAGGAGGCACGAGCGGTAGTTTGCACTCGAAAGCACCGTTCATTGACAGGCTCAATCAAACCGAGTCAGCATCATTTTTATATTTTACCGTTTGGACTTTCTTTATGGATTCTTATTTTGTCTATTTTAGACAATGATATTTTCTTCTTTTTTTTTTTACTTTTTAAGTAAAATATTATTATAACAATCATAATAATTCAATTGTTTTTTTATTATTTTTTTGAAAAAGAGAATTCATATAAAATGTTTACTGAGGCAATTGTTAATAAATAAAAAGAAAAGTGGAATACCTGAACAAGTCCTGCCGTCATTTTCAAGTTGTGTACCTACTGGACACTCGCAATTATAAGATCCAGCCGTATTTATACACGTAGCATTGATATGGCATTTATTGTCTGCATCATTCTCACACTCATTTATATCTGAAATACCAAGTGAGTGAAATTATAATGAAAAAAAATTAAATGTTGATACTGCACATCAAAGACGCCGCCCAATGATGTGAACAGTCAGTCAGCATTGAAAATCGTTTTCTATTACAGTTGAATATCCGAAGTACAAATCAATTTTTCTCCATGTTCTTGGTATGTGCTCGTTGTTTAATTATAAAGTTGCCCTGGTTCCCTTCCGCCCCGTCAACGAAGACTAAATGCTAGCACACAGAGCATCATATTAAATTTGGCGACAATTTAAAGCGCAGCCGAACTTCAACAGAGTCGGAGCAAATGAAGTAAGTGACACTGCCTCAGTCGTTACCTCTCTCAACGGTTAAGTTTAGAGCGATCGACTATAGACTGGCTCAATGGCACGTTATTCATTATGTAGATAAAAATTAGATAATGATAAAAATCATACGATGTACGGACAAGAAAAATGAAAACTGTTCTATGCAAAGATTTCATTTCAAAAGAAAAGTCCCAACTGAAATTATTTAGTAAAAGTGACAGTTATAAAACAGAAAAACTGAAAACAGTCTTAAAATATACTTTTCATTTCTTATGGAATTCAAACATAATTTTGTGATAAACTTAAACTTTTAAATTCACTTGCCTAGTGTTTTTGTTATACATTTGACTAATGGAATTTACAGGAGTTACAGCCTGATTGAAATAAATATGACCCGAAGCGCTAGCCGATGATTATATTTATGTCCGCAAGGCTATATTTACCACATATATCCCGACAACAAATTGTATTACGAATATATTACTATTTTAAGAAGTGCGGGAAAGGCGGAGGTAAATAAGATGATGTAGCCATTTAACGCTACGGGAGTGTTGCACACTATCAGGGGAACGCACCCATGAAGTATAAATACATTGACTTTTCATGATATATACGGCATCATAATTCAATTGTATTGCTTAAAGTGACATTATGTTCAAGTGAAAATGATAAGTACACATTTGAAAGACTAAATAATCTTAAATTTTGCCATAATTGAGTTCAATTTTACTTGGCAAAAAATAATATAGAATCCAAACGACCCCCGGAAATGTCTATAAATATCGTTCATTTTTTTAAAGAGTGGGGCAGTCTTTTAATAATTGAAGTACATTTTTGTTATATCATTAACATTTCATTATCAAATTTTGTCATTCATCATTATAACCATTTCAATCCAACTTGTCACCGACAAAAATGAGCATAATGTCACTTTAATACAGAATTTGAATATTACATATTTAAGTGCGGTATAATTGTTGTACCTGAACACGTTTCATTATCAGGATCCAAATTGAAACCTTTCATACAAGCACACGATGCATCTTCACTTGCCAACACACAGAAATGTGAGCACGTCAGGTTATTGATACTCAAGCATGCATCAGACACTGGAAATATTATTAGAAAGATAAGTAAAACTACATCTGATAAACAACCGAATTTTGATGTAACTCAAAATATGAATCATTTAGCATGTTGAAACAAATTATTGTCCTAAATAATCATTGCTACTTTAAAGAGCGTCTGGAACATTTTATCAAACAGTTTTTGATTTAAAGTGTAAATGTTATCCAGTCAGACAAGGATCCGACAGCGGCGAATCTAGTATAGATTCAGGGCTTTGATTCCTTCATAAAGATATAAACAAATAGTAATTGCAATAATTATGCTACTATCAAGCGCCCGAAATTGAACATACATATATGTATTGACACTTGTACAAATAGAATCGAATCAATACAACAGTGCAATGGACATATACGAAACATAGATAAAAGCTCCGATAAAATGTATGTCCAGCAGTTTCCTTTGTTTTAAATTTAGATACATTGTGAATAAAAACGTCAATTACATTTAGCACAAGTACGTCTATCATCATTGAGAGAGTACCCAAAATGACAGAGGCAGGAATAAAAGCCCGGATTATTTATACATCTTTGCTCACACTTGTCCAAACCCAATTCACATTCGTCTACATCTACAATATAAACAATATGAAAATATAAGAAATGTGCCCATATTAAACTATAACATGATCACACAGGGATCACTTTTTATCCACTTAGATATTTATCCGTACCGCAGTAACCATTAGAAAAAGAACACAGTTTGTGTCAGCACAACCATATCTTTATTACTAGAAATAGTAATTTACAGCGTATTACTACAAATGACAACTGTCAGATAATCGGTTTTTGGCTCGACGTCTAGGTGGTGATGCTTTTATTTACTTGTAAGCAAGTGGTACAGAGATCAAATCGAAGGAAAAACAGGATGTCTTTAGAAACATTTGTGTTTTTCTGTTTGAGTTTGAATGGTTCAAAAGGAAGGCTGGATACATACAATTGCAGTTGATATTTTTCAAAACAATAGATAAATTCGATGGCCTTTAAAGTTCGCTTATTTGTTCATTTATAAATGTAATTGTTCCTCAGATTTTATACAAACATTGAAAACAGATATTATACGTCTTCAATAATAATCATTTTGTTATAAATATTTTCTCTTGACCGAGTAAAATCAAACAACTGTACTAAATATACAAACAATATCATACAACGTATTATGTTACGACAAAACGAGGACATTTTCAATTTCGACCTGGTTGTTTTACATGATAGACTTAGAAAAAACTAATGACCAAGTTAACATGACGAATAAATTGAAAATATGGTAAAGTCAGTTTGCTTTCCAGCTTCTCATATATGCATTTCAATTGATTAGACTAATAATAAAATTCAAATACTCTAAGCGTAAATTCTGTAGAAAGTACCTGTGCAGGATGTTCCATTTAGCCTGGTATATCCGTCTCTGCATTTGCAGGAATAACTTCCCACAGAGTTTGTACAATTCTGCTCACAATCATTGAGCTGTGGATCAGTGCATTCGTCTATGTCTAAGAAAAAATGTTTTTTGTAAATTTGATACAATATCCGTCACAAACATTGTTTAGAAGAAAGTAGTTGAACTGCAGATAGAAGTTGTACTACTTTGAAATGAGAAAAAAGCTCTTGTCTTTTCTATATTGCATATTTGGATTTTGAAGTTTTTAAATATAATAATAGTTAAATGGGTTAAGGTAGAAACAACAGTAAAAAGTTTGTCATAACAGACAGTGTTTCATTTTCAGTATAATATTCTGATCAGTGTTATAGGATTACTGTGGTTACAAACACTATGCTTTTAAATATCTTACAGTAAACATACCTTCACATTTTTGGTCATCTGTCAGTTGATATCCAGACCGACAGATGCACGTATAAGAGCCTAGACTATTGACACAAGTTTTCAATGGATCATCACATTGATCTAGCGTTGCAACACATTCATTAATGTCATTATCACATTTGTCTCCCTGCCAACCAGGTTTGCATATACAACCTTTAATTGGGTCGCATCTATCTGCACCACGACCTGTACAAACACATTTGTTTGCACAGTTTTCTCCCCAATAAGGAACAACACAAGCTTCAATAATAATTGATAAATATGTCTGATTGGATAGAAGTCATATTGATTTTAAGAAAATCAATTAAGAGGGTTTTTCTATCATGCAGTTAGTAAAGACTATTTCTACAAATAAAGATAACACCAATAAACCTCTTAATATATCATTCCATAACACAATGCATACAAAACTATGTGGTCCTTTTATTGTAAGCCAAAGCAAATCGGGGCATGGCGAATGCTCAACAAAAATAATGGAATCGTAAATATAAATTAACTAAAAAACCAGTAATGACAAAATGTATTTATGTATTTATTGGAAAAAGTTTGAGATAGAAAACCACAAACAAACGAAATTTTGTTATTAGCTATTGTAAAATACAAATTTCATACCTTTACATGTAGTTGAACCGTAAAGCTTATATCCGATGAAACAAACACACTCAAAACTTCCATTAGTATTAACACAGTCATGTGGACAAACACCTCTGTTGCATTCATCTATGTCTTAATAGGAAAAATATCTCAATTGATTAATTAAAGTTTTGTTCATTCATAAATGAAATAGTATTACATAAATCAGGATCTAATAGTGAAATAACACATTTTATTTTGTAATACAATTAAAGCTAGAAGTCATTGATTCAATGACTGTACGATGCTTAATGCAAACCTTTTTTATACCTCTATTGATTGTTAGACGTTTCTTTAAAATGTGATGCAGGATAGAATTTGATTTCTGGACGCTGATTACCCTCTGATTGCTCTCTATCACTATAATATCCTTAAATCGTTTCAACATATTCTCAGAAAAGCATTAGTTACTACTTTAAAGGGCGATATTTAAAATATAAGTAACGGAGAGTGATTGTTTTAACTTCCTTCAATGATCGTTACAACTGTATGGAGTTTCAAATAAGATTAAAGATACTTAAGAAGTTATACTCAGGGCAAGCTTTGATAATTATTAAAAGGTATTGTAACGGGAGATGCATAAGTTAAGCAAGGCAAAACTATGTCTCCGGTACTCTGCACACCCTTCCACTCATCTCTACACTGTCTTAGGTTTCAATCAGTTTCATTTCATACTTTTTAAGCTTTTCTCCGACAACTAGTGTAACTAGATCAGTTTGCTTCCAGATTTTTATATAATTTTGTTGATCCACAATAGGATGTACAGAAAGAAGGCCTTAACTTCATGATATATTGATGTATGCAGTACGAAATATAGTTAAAAGTATTTTCTAATTATATAAGCGACTTAAATACTGTTAAAGACTACACACGAAGACGGACAATAATACACTTATACTGATATAAGTTTTTAGTAACAAAAATTAACACAGGCTACGACCTTTGTATTTGTAGTACCCTTTATGACTTTTGAAACATTAACTTCCGTCTATATCAGTAGAAAAGAATTTAACCCATAATCATTAAATAAGGTGTAAGGCAACTTCTGTGACTATCACAGGAAGAATCAACCCAACTTTATCATAATTATTAGACAACTTTTATATTTGTTTATGATAAATATCTAATTCTTCCAGTCCAGAAACTTATCTTATATCTTTAAGTTCTTTACAGATTTACAAAAGTTACTAAATGTCAACACAGGTGTAATAAATATACCTTTGCAAATTGTTTTAGTTTCATCGAGTTCAAACCCGTCAGTACAGAAACATTCGGCTATTCCATCAATTTTCCTACAGCCACTTGAGCCAGTACAGACTATCTTTTCTGAGTCAGTGCAACTTCCTTCATCTATATTATGCATTTATAAGTGTTCATAAATATTATCAATTTAATTCCATGTTTACGTTTATGGACTGTGTAAACAAGTCTGTTGTATTAATATAATTTAATGAATACTGACAAAAAAATATTTGAAGCGAGGATACTTATGATTTTATAACGTAAGTAATAAGATATTTGACTGCGCATTCTTGAAAGCGACTACTTTGGTATAACATTCCAAATAAAGCATCACTTTACAGATTCTGAGAGGACCAAAACTTTAAATATTTTGTTTATGATTGATGGATTTCGTGTGTATTTGACTATATCCGCTTATATTGCAGTAACCATTTTTTTCTCAATACACTTTACAATATAAATGTAACTTCAAGCTGTTAAATAATCCAAAAGACAATACATAAACATTTTTACCTGAAGTTTCTGTACATGTCCATGTAGAAAAATCAAATTTGAACCCCGTAAAACATTGACACGAGAATCCTCCTTCGTTGTTCACACATTCATGCGTGCAATTATGTAAGGCTACGTCACATTCATTGATGTCTGAAAAACATGTTTTGTTATAAATATATTATTTCAACAATACATGTATATTGCTGATAACAAATCTCTTCAAGCTGAATTTTATTAACACAATTAAAAAACTGTTTGTTCAAGGATTTATGAAACATATATTCATTTATTTTACTTTAACAATGCGTCTTGGTAAACTATGAATTTCTGATAATGAATATATAAGTTTATTTCTCGAAACATTTATTTTATTAATATTTGTTTTATCATTTGCCTATAGTTTAATTGTATCATACTCGAGAATCTGCGAGTTAATGAACTTCTTCTCAGTACCTTTACACTTGCTTTTGTTTTCACTATCCACCTTATAACCACCTCTGCACGAGCACTCAAAGCTTCCTTCTGTATTAGTGCAGACTTGATCACAAATATTTCCATTATCTGCACATTCGTCAACATCTTAAAGAGAGTATTTAAGATTAAAATAAAATAACCAATTTTGTAAAAACTATGACATTATTTTTTCATTTGTCGAAGTTTTTGTGCACCAAAGAAAAAGATATCCAACAGGTGTTCTTTAGGACAAACTATACAATATATGAAAAATTAGTAAATGAATACAATACGTAGATGTCAATTTGAGCCAAGACTCCTTCAATCCCCTGTTTTAAAAAATAAAAATTAGGTATAAGTAACAAATAATGGAAAAATGGAAAATCAACACACCTAAAATTCAACTGATTAAATAGGCTATTTTGAGAAAGGCTGTATAAATGTCCGTACTTACTTATCTCGATAGTGTCCAAAATTTTTTAGTTTCTCTCTTTTTAGCAATTTTGTTATTCTAGCAAAGCGGCACCACTCTATTAATTACAGGCCAAACATAGTTTTCAAATTTCCTCTAATTATTCATATTGTCTCTTCTCAGCTTATTGTTAAGCTGCCTATGCTTGTATATCATATAAAAGGTTTCAATTATGTTATTTTAATTCGACAATCAGTTCAAACAAACAAATAAGCATGTTCGCTCACTGAGTCACTTAATGTTTTAGATATAGTTTTTAATATATTTAGTGCTAAATAACCTTGAATATTGAATATTGGTATTTTACACATTGTTATATAAGTAACACGATTACAATTCGACTTAAATTTGTAGCAAATCTAAAATAGGAGGTCAAGTTTCAGAAGGAAGAGAATTTCAGTATTAGATTGAAGTAGAATTTCAGTACAAGCGAATATAGCAAACATTAGATAATCGCGAAAAAAACCCCAAAAAAAACCCCATAATATATAGTATATTTTTAATAAATATTACATGTATAATCATTTTTTGTTGAAGGCAAATTCAAAATTAATAATAATGAAAATCTACATTGATTTTCCTTTATGTATTGTTAAAAAAGTCTGCAAATGTGCACAAGGGTGATATATACAAAAGATACCTATGCATTCGTTTTCGGTATCTGCTTTATAACCAGTTGGGCACGGTCCACAAGTATATGTCCGATTTTGTTTCTTCTGCTCGTTAGCTGTAAGCGACTGACAAGTTCTTTGTAGTGAACATGGATTTGCTGCGCATCCGTCAAAATCATTCTCACAATCGTCTCCTGTGAAATAATTCAGACAATGGTAACTTTTGTTAAGTAAGTGGTGCTTTTAGTAATAAGAAGACTTAACCAATTATAAAAGCACAGCACTAATTATATGAAATAAAAAAGACCATGAAGGTTATAAAATAACAAGATGATTAGTTTTAATATTTCAGTGCAAAGTGCTAAAGAAATTATATTTTTCGATCTTAGTTTGTGGCTAGATTATATTTTCCACTACAAAAATTCTCACCTTGATATTGCGGCTCACATATACATTTGGCATATTTAAAATTGTCTCCACCAAATTTATCCTCACGTGTTTCATTGCTGCACACGCCATGACCATTACACAGTGTACAAAGAACGATATTTAACACGAAACTTGGTGATGAGCGACCATTTTTGTTTCTCGTTGCAATGCTGCATTATAAGAAAGTGTTTATAAAATGTGTGAAACAATATTGTTTGTAAAAGTTCTAAAGTTGATGTTTCTTGTAAAATGGGTCACCACTAAAGAAATAATTAACATTTATAAAAGTATATTAAGAGAGAATACACATATATATATCCCTTGTGTTCCAATAATTTACTTTAACGGGCAAAATTTTACCAGTTAGATCATTAAGATAATATCATGAATCATGAAGAAAAAAGTTTACCGAATTTAATGGTTATGGAGATCGTAAAATATTAACTGTAAATATCATTGGTACGTACATGTATATTAATAGGGTTTCTGATGCATAAATGAAACAGATATATGAAACATACAAATGCTATGCATAATACGTACCGAATCTTCACAGGGTCATCGTTTGTTTGGATGTATGTGACTGATGAAGATGAAATATTTATCTTTGCATCAACACTGTTTTCTATGAAGTAGACTTCATCATCAAAACCAAAATTGATGCGGCAGCTTACATTTTGACCTTTCGTAGCATATATGTCCTCACATCCAGAAAGCGTAGGCACTGTAATTTCTGGAATTATATTTACGTTTAATAAAAGAAAAGAAAATTAATAACTTTGAAATATGTACTACTTTTGCTTACCATTATGGAGATACCTATTTCAAATAAAATAGTCATTTGTCAATAAAATGAAAGTAGAAAGTGAAAATCGATCATAATACCGAGTTCAGCCGTAGTAGAGTCTGATTCCCCTCTGATGATGCTGGTTTGGTTAGCTATTTCCATTTTCTCAGTAAATACGAGGTCGAAAATACATTCGATATTTTGTGAGCCGTTACAGGCTTTTTCCGCTTCCAATATTTTGTCAGGATCAGCTTCATCAAGAAACCGTGGAATATAAGAGTCATTATGGAAATCAAAATGCGACTTGCCGTCTTCATAAATAAATGCGGAGTCATTTGCATTGATCGACCCTTAAATAAACAAATGTCTTGAATCATAAATGAAGATAAAAATAAGTCTAATATGCTTTTACAATTTCTTAAAACATATTCAAATAATAGATTTACACCTTATCATGTATAAATTTCATTTTGCTATAGAAAAGTCATAGGACAATGGGGTTCACGAGTTAGCAATGGACGATTTCTAACTCTCCCATGCACCATCTAAGTATTTTTATTCTCAAGACTAAATTATCGGGAACATGACCACGGAAAATCAAGGAACATTCCAACATCGAGACGAGCTATATGGCAACTATTTAGTTGCTGAACAACACGTAACATCTCCAGCATTAGTTTGTAAAAGCTTCTATGAAAAGTAAGAACGTCAAAATATTCACAATAGACAATCATTTAGATTATAACAAAGCGAATACAATGTTCATCTTATGTGCAATGACTACATTTAATTTATACTAATTTTGGACATACATGTCTTTCCGTATTCAAAAACTTCCCGTTCTGTAAGATTTCCTCTCAGGACAGTTCCATTTGGCATTGCAAAGTCATTCTCAGGATTACCATCATAGTTTCCCAATAATCCAGTTGTCAGCCCATGTAATACCTTTGGCACCCCGGTGTTAAGAGAAAGCATTTCTACGCTAACGGATATATTGAGAGATATACCTGCAATTTCAATTATTTAACAAGAAACATATTTTCAATCTCAGAAGTCACATGGCCGCTCGATTAAAACAAATGGTTTTAATTCGTGTTGATTTTTAAAGATAAACTTTGGTCTATATATCAAAACAAATGATATGTCTAGAAATATGTACAACTGTCAGAAAACAGGCACTACACTGATTTGTCAAACCAACTATCAATTTAAAGCTCAAATACTTACAAATTATTGGAAATAAAACGTATCTTTAACATAATTAAAGTACACTGGACAGTTCAGAGATGTAAATTAAAGGATTTGTCAAATGAGACGATAGTCAAATTCTTTACCACTTGTTGGAAATAAAATGCTTAGAATATCATCTCTTTTTGAAATAATCAAAGTCCCTCCTCCGGACGGTTCCTCAGGAATATAAACAAATGGATTTTCTGGATCAGTACTTGCATAGAACTGGCTGGTGATGTCAGCTTTGTTGGCGTAAATAATCATACCTAATAAAGAATAAAGCAATATAATGCATTTAATGAGGATTGTACGAACATATAACATTAATGGATTCGTAATCTCTGTATTACTATGATTCAAAAAGAGTGCATTTGCAATGGTCAATCATAAGATACATTTTATTGACAAATTACCTTTTCAAAGCATGCCACATGGTTGTTATGATTGCTTTAAGACTACTTTATTATTCAATATTTTGATTAACTATTTTGAAGACTATTCTAATATAGCTGAAAGGATATCGAAAGCTTAAAAAGATAATCAAGTATATATAGCTATATTTTGGCAAAATTTTGTCAAAAGTCAGATTTAAACATTTGTCACAACACGGCAGCAATCAGCCAATTTGTTAGAATTCTAGGTTTTCTTATGAATCTGATAAGAAAATGGATGTTTCTAATAAAAGAGTATGTTCATTACTGTTGAATATAAATAGAAAGTTCTTGCATGTTCGAAATTCAATACGAATAATCGCAATTTGTAAAAAAATATAAATTGTTGAATACAACCTTAATGATTTATTCAATTGTTGTTTTTTTTATTCTAAGGCAATTACCTTTGACAATTAACTTTAATGAAGATAAGGTAAAAATGTTTGAGATATTTTTATAACTACACTCTTTTATTCTATTTACTATTTCTTTACAGCAGAAACGTCATAATGAAGTGCTCAATCTGCCGTAAATGCCGTGTAATTCAAGATCGGATCAATCAGATATCTCATGCGCTGTGGCATATACTCATCATTAACATTGCTTGGAATATTACACTACACAGTGTTGTACTAGCGTTATAAGTTAACGACCTAAAATGTTGACTGATTCATTTTAATAATATTAAAAACAAATCGTTAATGCTTCAAAGCAAAAAACAGCCACTCGGTTAACAGCTGTGTAATTATTATAAAAAGCATGCTTTTTTCGGTTAACATGTAATTATTCAGGTTGCAAACCGTGTAACGTTTTCTGAAATTTTCATTTGAATTAATATAATTGAAATATTTATGAAATGTTGTAATATTGAATTTAAAGTTTTTACGTACTTTATACGAGTATAGATTAGATAAAATAATTATTGTTAGAATTTAAAAAAATACCTCCAATATGGCTGTACCCTAAGAAGTAAATGACAAATGTTCAAACTGATTGCTAAGCGGTTAAATTTCTTTGGAAAACAGTAAAATAACATATGACAGTTTGTTCATGAACGTTTAATTCTGTTCATGTATATCAAATAACAAATACATTCTAGTTACCACCCCATTGGGAATATAACTTTTAATTACAAAGTCATTTTACTGTTAATAATGTTTTGGTTTTTTACACATTTAACTCACACTATGCAATATTTTTAGTGTCGTGTAAGTCCATTTTACAAATTATATCCAAATGAGATTTAACATAGGTTTAACAGAATTTGAAAAAAAATGTTAGAAATGTGTTGAAAAATATAATAACTATATATAATGCCAAACTTCATTTAGATGTTTAGAAACTTTCAGTCTTTATAAGTTTACTATATTCCAGTCTGAACAGTTTTCAGATTATTTTTTTTTTCAAACCATGTCTTTAATTTTCAAAGAAAATTGTTGGTTCTATTGGCTCTAAAATGTAACCCTTTTCCAGTTTTTTATACTGTTTATTATTCTTATTTATCTAAGTTAGGTGAATTTAATAAAGCTGTTAATAGCATTAAGTAGTTAATACCATACCGCGAAATGTCAATTTATTTATATACCAAATACTGTTTTTGTCAGTTCATTAATTTCTCCTGTTGTAGTAATAATATTAGAAAACTTTTTAGTTCAGTAGATAAAGAAGCAAAGTAAACATTTCGAGGGGACACCATAGCTTTATTTAGCCAATTTAATGCAAGTTTATTGTGAATCAAAATATACTAGAATTCACTCATTTTACTCACTCTTTTGTCTATGAAAATCAAAATAAAGATCGTAAACGTACGCTTTGAGTAAATGTTTGTAACATACTGTTAAAATAACATAACCTGTGTCATATAAACGTGATAAGAAAAATTACCTGTTTTCGCTTTATTAAGCTCAACATGGAGGGAAGCATTTGAGGATTCTTTCACGGCAAATGCGCTAAATACTGTTGCATCTGATAGTTTACCATCCTGTTTAAGTGCCCTTTCAGTTCTTGCTTGGATGTCGAGAGTAAAGTTATCGGTGTCAACATGTAATAACGTATACTCGCCAAGACCGTTGAATGTAAAATTCTTTCTATCTAAAGTTATAAAGTGTGGATCGCCCCAAAATATACCTAAAATAATAAAACGATTTGTTATTAAAGGAACACGGAACTGTTGCTATATGGTTATAATGTATGCACTGTTCAAGCAAACCGGTCCCTACCTTCCTACCTAGACACTACTTTCCCTTTTAAGTGTTTTCTACATCGTCATAAAAGAATGCAAATTAAATAGTAATATATACCTTCACATGTTTTTTTCATTTCATTATTTAAATAGAATCATATATAAATAATAGTCTTACAAAAATAATCACTTGCACGTGTGCGCACACACATACATACATACATACATACACACATACATACATACATACATACATACCAAAGTTATATGGAGAGGAAGCATAGCACGACCCTGTTGGTCTAAGCTCATAAAATAAGTTGCAATGATTCGAGAAAACACAGCATTTCGTCTTGTAGATAACATCATTCAAAATATGTTGTAATGGATAGCGTGGGTGGTAAAGTTGAAATCCCCCAGCAAAGGGACGTTCATATACCCAAAGCCATGTCTTAACGTCGTAACAACACGACTGAAAATGAATTTTGTATAATATAAGATTAGAAAAGATAATTAAATTTAACACAGAAAGTATTATGTCAGACCTTTTAATACTTAATATATATACTGAATATTGCGTTGCAATTAAGTATTTGATATTATTATACCGTCAGTTATTCAGTTTATTCTTCTTCACAACTTACTTTTCCATACTGTCTAAAATTTCCAGCATGAAGCATATCCACACAGATATGATTCACATCCCGCCGCCATCTTTGTAAACCTATTTTCCAAAACCAAGGGTCGAAACGAGACAGCCATATATCACATGGACATTCTGGCATAAGACTTGCAAGGTAATCTAGGTTCTTCTTGTTGTCATAATTTTCGTTATACCAATTAATACAATCAACAGCATCGTTTTGATGATTCATGTTGAGTTGATGCAAGGGTTTAAAGACAAGTCCAGCAACATCTAAAGGTAATAAAAGTGTCAGTTTATTGTTTTTGTACTATAGACTCAAACAAAATATTTAATATGGCCATAGAAGGTTAACATATTTCAGGTGTATTCATGTATAAGTTTTATCATTATGGTCTTTATCAGTTTATGTTATACTAATAGTGTTAAACAAAGAAAGGCGATGATGTTTAAATGGTACCGTCTTCTGTTGATGACACCTCCGGCTGTGAGTCTAGTTGTAGCGCTTGAGAGGTGAATGAATAGGGATGTATAAATGATATTCCCGAATCAACATTTTGAACATTATGGCCAACCCATATTGGTACGCTTGATGCGAACTCCGAGTCATTTGGTCCCCAATTCATTAAGCCATGCCCATAAATATAAAACACGTACGTTGACTTCCCGTCTGATACTAAAACTGCCTGGAATGTGGATTTCTAAAAAAGAATTATAAATGTTGAACCATGTGATGTGAAAGTAAACAAAATGTGTCCTTAATCCGTGTTACACTTCAACCTCAACGAGTCAGTTATACTTTTATTTTGGTCGTATTTTAAAATATATAGCGTGTATCTCATCAGCACTGTCAATCCTTAATCGGTTAATGACATTGTTGTTACTGATTTAAAAGCTTATAGATACGATTTTGTCATAAAAGCGATTATTTAAGAATAAAAACCGGAAACAAAACAAAAAGAAGAACAAAAACAAAGAACAAAATATTTCTAAAGCAGACGGCGCAAATATGCATTTTTATTCCATACACATTGACTGCCTTAAATGAGAAAATATTTCAATCTGTTAAGGGAAATAATAAAACACGACTGGATTTATTTGGCAAGATGCAAAAGGAATAAAAAAATAAAAAATGTATTTTTTTAATTATTTTTTCCAAATATTTTATATAGTAACATATATTTTCTGATGAAACATTTGTAACTAAGTCATATTTGACACATTAGCCAGTAAAAATGCAATCAATCAGTGTGAAAAATTCAGGAGACATCTATTCTAATTCACGTCCCAGTTCAAAACTGTACCTCATATATGTAATCATATTTATATTAAAATGCACGCACCTTTGTAGAATCAAATCCTGCAACTGTTGTCTTAGCTTCATGCCAGGTAGCTATCATTACAAAGCTTGCATCAAATGTTTCCTTATCCCCAAACTTTATCACAATATTCTCTATGTAAGATATCAATTCTTCGTCCTCTTTCATTTTGTCATACGAGTTCAAGATATCATATGATCTAAAGTAAACAGGGCCTGATGTTCTTTTATCAATGGGACCATAGAATGGTGCTATGATGGTTTCTTCGCCGTTTGTCACAATACTGTTTGCATTTTCTGGCGGGGTCGGGTTTGTATATTTGTTATCAAAGCTTACAAAGCCATAGGAACACACCTTCAAAAACAGCGATGCATAATGCGGATAATTGATTTAAAACAATAAACTATAAAATATCCAAAGTTAAAGATTTCTTATATGGTAAAAACTTAATATATTCTGTAGTAGTCTAACCATATTCCATCTCATTTAAAAACAACAAAACATACTTTTCAATATCAATTACACAACAGCACAAGATAAATAGAAGCAAAAATAAAACTTTAAAATACAGGCCCGCCTGTGATGAAATCTACAGTAACTCAATACAAGCATTACGAGGGGTGTTCAATTTCATATGAAACAGTTTTAAAACCTGCCTAATTATTTACTCTTATGTGTTTTATTGCAATAGATACTCAATCTAAGATCCATTGTTAATCATTCTTCATCTTTTTTACCAGCTTTAAAAGTCTGGTGTATGCATGACTGCTCAAATTTATTCCATTCGTCTGTGAGCCTAAGACAGGACATGATATAAATCTTGCGATTATGTAGCCTACGTTCATTATATCCTAGACACCAAAGTCAATGGAGCTGCATCTCTGGGCTTTGTGGCAAAGCCAGGTACAAATGCATCTAATTTTACAAACTTTACTTCGTTTGGTTCAAACGTAGCAAACACGACGTCAACCTTAAATACAGCCCACATAAAACATAGCCTCATCTGTGGTGACAACGTTTTTACATTTTCCACAGTTAAGTCGGAGATATAGACGCCATGATCGAGTATGTCGTTACTAAGCTGTCATTTCTCTTTGTGTAGGAGGATTTACAACATAATGATATAACATAATTTACGTACGACGTCAGCAGGAGCTGCTGTGCGACGTTTAGTAAAATAACCACTTTTACCTGTTTGGGGTATGTTTTTTTTAATAGCACCTTGATCATGTCGAATGCAATGCACAGTAACAGTAGAAACATTATGTCCCATCTATTTATTGATAACATGTCTTACAATGATTCTGTTTGGACATTTGTGTTTGCTTAAAAGGTAATAATGCCCTCAACTACATCAATTATTTTTGGTCTTACAACATTTAATTTTCAACTCCAATGTGAGATGGGTATATGTATAATACACTACTTAACATGAATAAATCGTTTTGTATGAGTTTTTGTAAGCTATAAGATCTTAAAACGTGTTTTGATTGTGTTTCATAATAAATTTAACGCATGTCGTATTTTTCTTTTTTATCTCGTGTCAAATTGCCACGTTTTTAATCAAATCATTGAATCATTTTAAACGTTCTGTGTTTCTTATTTTCTGAAATGATTATCTTTAAAAAATAGAATACTTTTTTTAAAACAATAGTCAGTATTATCATTTTATTGCTTACAATATAAAGAATGTTTACTTTTGTCTAATAATGTCAGTACGTCAATTGCATACTTACAAACAAATGTTTACGCATTGAACCAGACACGGGCATTCCGGGTAGGAAAGATATATCAGGTCCACAAACTTCAGTGTCTGATATAAAGTGATCCCCTTCATCAGTCCCGTAAGGTAACAGCGGCACTTATGAAATGTAAAAAACAAAAACATCAAATGACAATAGAATATGACTTTAAGTCAAGTCAATGTTTGAATAGTACGAATTCGTCAGGGTTTATTTTTTTGTTTAAAACTCTAAACTGCACTGATTTCCCTCGTATTCACCGGCAGATTCGATAAGAAATTATAAGATTATTAATAAGGTTTTAAAATATAAGAAATATCGACATGGAGTTTCTTACTGGTAAATATCATTAGTATTTGCTTAAAAGTCACTATTTGTATAAGTTTAGATAAATTCGTAAGATCACCATTCGTTATTACTTAATACTTAAATGGGCTTTCAAATGGGATTATATCTCTTGATGAATATAACGGACATGGTATTGCACGATAAATAATATTATGTGTTAATATGTTTACTATGTTTAAATATCTAAATATACGAATAGATATACCATACACACTCGGAATATCCGTAAACTAAATACTTCTATCCTATATTAAGAGCTTACTTTTATCACATATCTTTGATTTGCTGTCAAATATTCCTGTGAGGCATTTACATGCTGAGTTAATACACAATGAATCGGCCATCAAACAATATTCTTTACTAAGGCAAGGTCCTCCAACGTCGGCTGAAAACAAAAGTATAAGTATCAAAGGACTTCGTTACTACATATGAAAGTGTAAACGTTTGTAATGCAAGAAAACGTTTAGAAAAAAACAAAAGTGCAAACTTCTTATCGGAAATAATAAGACAGTTGCAAAATAATTTGCTTTTGTTCGGTTTTCTCAGGAACAAACATTTGAACTTAAATGTTTTAATATGGTAAGGTAACAACAAACTTGTTTTGTCATATTATTGACTGGAATATGATGCAATATTTGCCTAAAAGTCTAGATTTGTATGCTTGAACATATTAGATGATAAATATTAATGAAACCATTGCAAATAATGGAAATGACATATATCCTCACTCACATTTTATCACGCAGGTTGGAGACTCACTACTCCACTTGCCATCGTCTCCACAAGTACTAGTTTTTTCTCCAACCAAAAGATATCCCTCATTACAGCTGAATGTCACTGCGGAGTTATACTCATTACCGACAGAATCATCCATGGTACCATGTAGAGGCACATTATGCTTTTCACAAACTGTCATTCGATAATGTGTTAATTCACAAACATAATATAATGCTGTCATGTATACATGTTTTTTTGTTCTCCTTAAAACCGATTGAAATTATTTTAACGATGAGCTTTTATCATATTTACTGTTTCACAAATGCTTGATATCTAATCATTTTAAAGATCCTGTAACTCAATTCTTTAATGTTTTATATCATAAATATAATACTCAAATGAAGATTTATCAATATTGTAAGTTCCAAAAAGCATTATTTGTAAAGATATTACCGAATTTACATTTTCCTATAAAGTCTCAGTCAATGTTTCATTAAGAAATGAACACATATCTTTTAATTTGATTACATGTAATGTGGACAGATATTTGCAGTACCTATTATACATATTCTTCGATGTTTGAAAAATGTTTTAGAAGCATATCTTCATGTATATACATATATAAAATTTCACTTAAGTGTGGTAACAACCTTAATTACAACATACAGGATCTTTAACAATTCTTTTAATCGATGACTAGCATGCTTTAAATATTACGTCAAACAACATTTACCAATTAAAGGACATTTCGGTGATGCACTCCAATTCCCTCCATTTATACACGTGATAAAACTGTCACCTTCTATGTTGTATCCGGTATTACATTCTATCTTTACATAATTGCCAAAAACAAACTCGTCATCTCCATCAGTGTCAGTGATTTTACCATTGTCCGGGGAAGGATCATGGCATACTTTAACATATTGTTAAATGGTATTAATAGTCAGCATTACGAAAAATAATTATATTGTAGCCAATGATTAAAATCTTAAGATATAATAGCACAGGCGTTACTTCATTAAAGGTAAACATCAATTATTAATAACAGGAAACTATTACATATTTTTCTAATTTACAAGAAACTCCATACACTTAGCAAGGAACAACTTAAGATGTGTTTACATGTTTACAAATACCTACTTTAAAGGCTTAAATTTAAATATCGTATCTTTTATACAAATGCTATCATGAATTGTAGTGCATCTGCTTGCACGAGTCACAAGTAAAGAAAGATATTATTTTTATTGATTTTATATATGTTTATTTGAAATCACATAAAGAGAAAAAGTTTTTTATTCGTATACGAGGTCTGATAAAAAAAATCCGACCCGATATACTTCTAGCCACTACAATGACAGTTAAACACGAGCATGCAGTGCACCCCTCCAGAGAAATTCAAAAGGGTGCCATCAGCAGAGAAGATGATGGCTTCAATTTTTTGGGATAGTCATGATTGACTATTTCGTGCAAGGTCGTATCATAAACCGTACGTACTATGCAGACAAATTGAGACGTATGCGCCAATAAATCGCACGAAAAAGGAGGGACAAACTGACTCAAGTTGCGACGGCTGCTGCAACTGACTGCGGCTTTGAAATTCTTCCCCATCCCACATATTTTCCGGACTTGGTCCCCTCCGACTTTTACCTGTTTCCGAAACTGAAAACCAAGCTTCGTGAATCAATGAAGGTGTAATGGATGCGGTCAATGAGTTCTTTGAGGCCCAAAATAGTGACTTCAATTTTAAGGTCTAAACAAGTTGGAGTCCAGGTGGGCAAAGTGCCATTAGTTGGGTTCTCTGACTACCGGAAGTTTATTGGGCTGAGAACGTTTTGATCTATCCTCGTATAGACGTTGTTTCATTGAATAGTAAGATGTAAACATGTATCTGTAATAAGTACCTTGTATTTGACATGATACTGTTTCGTTCCATCCAGTTTTTGTACAATTAATTTCTGAAGAACCTTGTAAATCATAGCCTTCATCACACTTGACAGTAGCTAATGATCCAATACTTGTACCAAGTGATGTATTCACTTCACCATTCACTATTGGGAACTGTCCACAATCTAAACATGGTAGATAACGTTAACATACTTTCATTATTTAATCGTTTTTAATAATTAGTATATATGCATAAAACTTAACGGATGAATTTGATAATCATCTGTTTTACCTGATGTATCGCATACTGGATAATCTGTCCATGTTTCATTTTCTTGGCATTTGACGACTGATGATCCTGTAAGGTTATATCCAGGCTCACATGTTATCTCTAACACTGTATTATATGTTGTATTTGTGCTATTTGCAGAGCCCTTGTCAGGAACAGGATTACCACAATCTGGTTAAAAAATGAATAAAAAACAAAACTTTTTATTGCATACAAAGTTACGTGACAATTTTAATACATTTAGATTGAGAAAAGAGTATAAACTTAGAAAATACAATTATTCCATAGTTTTAAAATATATGTGAAATATAAAAAAAGTTGTAAAAACTAAAAAAAGGGTACTAGGTTCTAAAACTCTCTTTTTTCATTTCATTTCTTTTGAATCATTACCTTTATTTAATACTTAGCCAATCAAAAGTTTAAGATTATCTAGGGTTAATCTACTTACAGACTGTTCATTGAAATTCTAGAATAACATTTAAATTTAGAATTCTTTAATTTCTTACCAACAATTTCGCAGTCATTCCACTTTTCCCATGAGCCATTGGATAGACACATAACATTTGAATTCACTTTTGGGTTATAACCTGTCCAACAACTTATACTCGCTGATTCACCAAATGTAGTTTTGTTTCCAATCAATGTCACAATGGCATTATTTGGCTTTGGTACTTTACAATCTAAAAATGTGTTAAACAACTATTACAATAATAACATTTCGTATATCAATTGACATGTGGCTTTATAATACAGATTCTTATCATAAGTTTTGAAAAGTATCAATGTTAACTTTATAATGTAGATTCGTACCGTTTAAGCTAATGAAGATTCAGTAAGAAGTTTTAAATGGATAAATGCATTTTCTGTTTTCGTATATTATTATAGTTAATTAAATATACCCGATTTAAGCGCCATGCATCTCTTAATAGACAAATACAATTGTGTAATTCCACATCATCGAATATATTAAAACCTATGTTTACATACAATAAAGCATATTTTATCGCAATCAGAATGAAATAAAAGCATATTGATATTTTTGTTAATGATTTAATGATACCAAATGTACTGTAAAGTTATAGAAAAGAAAAATAGTTCCATAGACAATGTTTTTATAACATGAGGTTTCTACCAACGATGTCACAGGCTGGGTTTTGTGTCCAAGTTCCATTGGATTGACATGTTATAACTGCTCGACCTGATAATGTATAACCATTGTCACATGATATCAAAGCAACAGTTCCGTTTGTACTTTCTGTCGTGTTAACTTTCCCATTGTCAGGTGTTGGATCACCACAATCTAATTATTGATACAATAAAACCTTTGAGGTAAAGTTTTAAATGAAGCTATTATATCTATCTAAAACACATAGATCAAACAGCCACAGTATATTAAATTAAAATGATTACGTTATGCTCTAAAAAGGTTATGAGCGAATGATATCTACAATTTTACAAAAAATGGTTACAACAGTGATAACAATGTATAGTTATAATACTAAACATTTGTTTTTTATGATAACAATACATTGTAAAACTTCGTACGTTAATTATGTAATCGTTCATAAAACACGATTTTATTTGTTCAGTATGTAAATTTCATTTTCACATGACTAAATGAAAGTTATCTTGAGCTCCTATGTGTCATATTTATATGTTTTGATACTGATTTATATTTGTTATGATATCTAGTTACCAATTAGTTTACAGCTAGGTTTATTCGACCACTCTCCATTTATCTGACATATGATATCACTGTTACCATCCAGCATGTAATCTTCATCACAAGAGACATGGACTGCAGCACCATAATTAGTCTTTGATGAGTTTGTAAAACCATTGCCTGGTGTTGGATCACCACAATCTTCAGAAAAAATGTATAGCATATTGTAACAAGTGTATAAGCTACAACTTTCAATTGTTATTAAAGTTGTTATGATAATAAGGAGTCTAGAATACTGAATGTTTTAAATGAGGTTTCTATTTCAAGTATTCTAAAGAAATCTATTCTAAGGGAAGAATACATTATATATCAAATTGAATACATCCCTCATATCATTGTTCAGTTCTTACAATGTGCAATGTTTGAATAACGATGAGTACGTCTTTATGGTGGAATCCGCCCGTGTCGCTCAATAGGGAGAGCATTAGATTTAAAACCCAGAGGCAAATATCTACTTAACGAATGATTTTGGACATTTAGTCGAATGGTTATTTGTCTCTCATCTCTGATTGAATTATCATTTGAGATTCGATGAATTGTTTATTATTGGACAGGATTATGAACTGACCGCCTAGAAATTCAGACAAATGTGTTGAAATCGGCGTAAAACAAAGAAATAAAACAAACAAATTGTTTATGAAAAAAATAAATTTCAGTTATAACATGTGTACTCGAAATGTACGTAATCATACAAACCTGTGCATACAACAGCTATATCGTCATCATGGTTACAATTATCATATGTTTCGTACGTGCAGTTGTTTAAATGTTTGGAATCTTCTTGACAACTTAGATCATCAATAAATATTGGCCCTTTACCTGCTCCAAAATGTGCGCTAGCGTAAAATCCCATAGCTGGCCTGCAAATTAATTACTTTTTAATGAATCAAACATGTTCATTTCATAAAAGACTAGAGACTAATTTCATCACATATGATTAATTTGACAGTGCGTTAATTATAAATGATGTTTACGCTAATAATCTTTCAATGGTTATGTTTTATTATAGTTTTATGACGACAATAAATTTCTGCATACATCGTCTTCATTAGAATTCCGTTAAGAAAAGTAAACACCAAGCGACTGTTCTAATTTTCAGCATTTACCTCAAATGTATCTTTTAGATAGTACACCATTTCATGTAATTGCTAAATGATACAAATTGTTATAAGAACACTCTTATGACGGTCTAAAAGGAAATATGCCGCTTACGGGTATCCGAGCATTTGACATATAACATTAGCTTCTTTCATTCCGAAAGAATCATCACAAACTGTTCCCCACGTATCCAAAGACTTGATCTCGACCCTACCAGCTGTTGAATTTGGTCCGTTAACAAGCCGTATGTCTGTGAGATCCAGTGGATAATCTGTATAAAACTTGCATATTACAAAGCCGTAAGAGAATAGCTGCTCGACCACAAGTATCTTTTGAATAGCGTTTCTTGCATTTACTTATCATATTTTACAATTTCAATTCTTTTTTTCATTTTGCACTTTATCACCTCAATTAGTATTTCTTCCACATTGTGTTTAAAAGTTATTTTGATAACATATATCTTAATATATTTTCACTACAATTGCTTGGGCATTCCTTTGCTGTGGTATATATAAAGGCTGAATTGCAATATATAAATTACAAAGTTAAATAATGTAAAATCTTACGTAATGAAATTGTTAAATTAATAACTCCAGAATTTACTTTTATACGCGTCATATAATTTCAATTATACATACTGTACTCTTGACACTCCCCCTCTGTAACCCACTCTTGTGTTTGATTATTACAGGTTAGTTTTAGTTTTCCAACGTAAGTCTTGTAGTATGAGCAATCCGCAAACAAACTCGTGTCATTATAGGTGAAAAAATCAACGCCCCAGAAAAATATATCCGGTTGTCCACATTCTGATAGAAAATAAACAATTCATTGCCAAAATATAAAATTTCTGAATAGAAAATACGAAAGAATAATTGAATGTTTTTAAAAGAATATGTATTTAAATAGGGAAAAGTAAGAGAAGTTCGGCAAATCAATATTGTTATTGCATTAAATGAGCAGAATAACAGATAACATATGTGTCTGTGTAAATTGAAAAAATGCAGGTTATTAATATCATTGTGGAGCGTTTAAACGAAAGGGAATATATTGTAAGTTAAAAACTTTCAACAAATCCGTTTGAAGATCTGCTACAATCAAATTTAATATTCAATGCATTGAATAGTTTTGGAGTAAAGCCTTAGGCAAAAAAAAGTTGTAAAAAAGTTATGTTATTTTATGTTTAGACCATTTGAAATACTTCAACAATACACAATTTTGTATTATCATTTATTAAAATTTCAAGGTTATGGTCAGACTTTTGAGTCCTTTTCGACTTATCTCCCTGTCAAATAAAATTCAAACATAGAAAGAGATACTTAAAAGACATTCTCGATATATTTTATGTTCTTTTTACTCTGTTTCTATTTACCATTTTAAGTGTCACCACATCAATAGTTTGTAAAGCTCCAGACAAATAAAAGTATGTATGAAAAGGAAAGCTTAGAAATCGACCAGTTAGCATGGTGTTTAATTCTGTATTTTCGTCAACACCATGTACCTATGTTTCAAGCTGTAGATCAATACCTTGAATTATTTTGGAGTAATATACCCTGAACAACAAAAAATAAATGTAACGGACAATCCGAACAATTGACCATATGGTGACTAATATTTGTTTGTCGGCTGTTAAAAGTTATACAAATGAACATAAACAATGACATACCGTTGCAAACAACTGAGATATCTCTTGAATGACTGCATTCATTCAGAAACAAATATTTACAATCACTCAGTGTATAACCGTTACTGTCGCAAAATAGCTGATCAATAAACACAGGACCACTGCCTTCTCCATATATTGCACCTGTAAAATACTGGGCTGCCCTGCAAAATTTAGAGAGTGGACCATTGCTAGACTCTTAAGCTAAATAGATTAGAATTTATGATAAGATAAAACAAACGCTTTTCTAATAGCTTTTATTTTTTTTATAAAAATCAATCAAAAATGTGATTACTATTTTTTAATGAATCTGTTTAGCACAAGACAATCGAATTATCGTATATACATTGCAAATTCATTGAATCAGGGAAGCCTTTGAACAGCAGTTTTTTGATTTGTCAAGCACAATGCTTAGTTTCCTTTCAAAAAGTGTTTTATCATGTGTAATGCCTTCTCAATTCATGTTAGGAGACTTTTACAGCTGCAACTTACTTTTTTAATAAAGTACACGGTATAATAAAAAGCAAATTTCAGTAAATTGATAAAATGTATGTATTGGTGAAGAATAAGAATGTTTACAAATGATATTTTAAATACCTTAGACCAAGAAGCCGGCAAAATAAATCTGCAGCAAGGATGTTGAAATTTTCGTCGCAAATTGTGCCCCAAATATCGTTTACTTTGATTTCTGCACGTCCATCATTTACACTTGTACCATTTACTAGTCTAGCATCTGTTATATTTAATTTTGGTCCTGTAAACGTTTAATTTATGTATATTATATACTGTTGAAATAATAGGGGCTATTTCGATGATCTAAATTTCTTATACAAAGATTTATAACTTTAATCTGTAAATCATGACTTCACACATTTAAATTTGTAGATACTGCAGAATATTTCCCTAACTTAGACGTGCTACGAGGGATGATCCGAAATAATGTACTAGACTTTTGCTGTAAAAAGTTTTTGTTGAATTTGCCGTATGCAAAAAATACACCATCATGAATTGAAACATGTTAAGTATATACTTTGAAAATATAAGATAAAAAAAATCAGCTATTGAAACCTAAATATAAAAACTGGTTTCAATTGTATGCCGTCGATTTCGTTTTGCGCTTCATTAAGTCACAACATGTGTACCAGACGACTTTGTGTTCATATTTGTATACAAATTTATTTCACTCGATTACGATGAGTTTATTGTAGGAAAATGCCTGTTAACAATTGTAAGTTTATGCAACACTCTTACTTGTAGCAGCACGTTGACCTTAAAAGGGCCAGAACCGCAAATCCGTAAGTTGTTTCATCGTGGATTATAAACTGGATCCATGTCAAGAGAATACGGATTAATATATGTTTTATTTATCTCTGATTAATTTTCAAATTGTCTGTAGGTGCCTAAAAGCTCGACCTGGGGTTAGTATCTCGAAGCTATCGTTATATTTGCGTTTACGAACGTGCTGACGATTGACGGAAGGTTGGTGAACGAGAGACTAGCGCGGGTATCTCGAAAGCGATAGTTAAGCAATCGTTCGTTCCTTACTCGTTAGTTATTAACGATTGAATTATGTAAACATTTGAATACCGCGAACAGTGTGTTAAAGCAGGAAGGAATGGTCGTAACAAAACGTTAACCAAGAACAAGATTGCATTTGAGAAAAATGCTATGCCACCGCATGATTCAAATTTCATAGCTGTACATCAAAGGACAAGAAAGTAGGTCAAATCATCAAAATCTAGGTCAAAGTTCAATTTTACAACTAAAACTGTGCACATGGTCAAAATGTCATTGCTGTACATCAAAGGATAAGAAAGTAGGTCACTGTCCCCTTGGGCAAGGCATAATTTTAAACCAAGGGTTTAATAACAATCTTGATACAGGTCCACCAAACAACATTTCAAGTCAAATATCTAAGCTATAGCTTTCTCCCATTCAGAAAACATTTGTTTTATTTTCTGTTTTTACTACGTGTACATAATGAGAATCACTGCCCCCGGGCAGGGCCAATTTTTGACATTTGAACAACTTTGGTAGAGGACCTATAGATGATATTATATATCAAAGCTCTATGCGTTGAACCTTCAGACAAAAATATTTTTTTTTACTATATGTACATAATGAAAATCAATGACCCCCGGGGCGGAACCAATTTTGACCCCAGGGCTATAATTTGAACAATCTTGCTAGAGGTTCACTACACAATGTTTCATGCAAAATATCTTAACTCTATCCTTTGTAAATTTAGAGAAGATGATTTTTTAAGTTTTAACTATATACATATAAGATAAACCTCTGGCTCCCAGGGGTTGGGCTAATTTTGACACAAGAGGCAAAATTTGAACAACTTTGATAGAGTACCTTTAGATGATATTATTTAACAAATATTAAAGCTCTAGGCATTGTACCTTCAGGCAATAAGATTTTTTTATTTTTTACTATATGTATGTATTGAAATCAATGACCCCAGGGCTATAATTTGAACAATCTTGCTAGAGATTTACAACTCAATGTTTCATGCAAAATATCTAACCTCAAGCATTTGTCAATTGCTAGAAGAATTTTTTTAAAGTTTTTACTATATACACATAAGGAAAACCAATGACCCCAGGGGCGGGGCCGATTTTGACCCCAGGGCTATAATTTGAACAATCTACCAGCCAATGCCTTATGCAAAATATCTAAGCTCTAGGCCTTTTGGGTCTTTACAAGAAGGTGTTTTAAGTTTTTACTATATGTACATATAGCGAAAACCAATGACCCTGGGGCTGGGCCGACTTTGACCCAAGGGCTATAGTTTGAACAATCTTGGTAAGGGTCTACCAGATGATGTCTTATGCAAAATATCTAAGCTCTAGGCCTTTTGGGTTTTTACAAGAAGGTTTTTTTAAGTTTTTACTATATGTACATAGTGAAAATCAATGACCCCCGGGGCGGGGCCAATTTTGACCCAAGGGCTATAATTTGAACACTCTTGTTAGAGGTCTACCAGACAATGCCTTATGCAAAATATCTAAGCTCTAGGCCTTTTGGGTCTTTACAAGAAGATTTTTTAAATTTATTCTTATAATTCCTTTTGGTTGCCATGGCAAGCAGATTTCTGCATGGAATGAAATTCTTTGAACAACTTTGGAAGCCCTTCACCCAAGGAACAATCCTGCCAAGTTTGGTTGAAATTGGACTAGTGGTTTTTCACAAGAAGATTTTTTAAGTTCACTATATAATCTATATAACACGCACACGCACACGCACACGCACACGCACGCACACACACACACACACACACACACACACACACACACACAGGTGAATCGCTATATGCCACCGCATCGCGATGCTGCGGTGGCATAAAAATTGCAAATGTTGAAAATGAAACTGACGTGATTACTATTGAAAGGTAAAAACTTAAAATAGCAACAGCAAGACTAGTAACTAAGGGAAAACGACTGTAGACTGACGATTGTGCAGTAAAGGCTGCAAGTGGAAATCAGACATTTTAAACACTTTACTAAGTCAAAACAAATATTCTGGCCGAGCTTCTTCTCAATACCCTCCCTCATTTTTTTCAGGCTACAGCAATTAACATGTTTCAGGGTGTAAGTATACTCTCAAGATTCAAACTTGAAAAATGTTGCTTTCATGGATGAAATATTGGAATTGCAAATATCTAAATGAATGTAAATAGCGAACATTCAGTCGTCATAATGTCTATTTTGAATACTAGTAGTCTGTTTATTTAAACACATATCAGGACAATAAATTAAGATTCAAGTTAGTCCATAAATCGGCTTAGTATACAATGTAAACGCTTTATCTCACCATAATTAATCTAGAATTCTTTTTTCTTATGTAAGTTAAAAAAACGATCGTGATATACCAGTGACAATGCTTATTTCTATGATAATGATGATGCTACAACGTCGACAGCGAGGATGGGTTAAGTTTTAAAGAAATATTAAGATATTTTTCGTTTGAGTGAAATATAGAATATGTTCACGAAACATGATAAATTTCCATATATTTTCATGAGCTGGAAATCTTAATTTTACTCTTTAAAAAGAACTTCCGATTTCGAAGCTTTATAAATTCGTTATAAATATTCCTGACAAGTTATATGGCCGTATATAAACGGTTGTTTGCAATATAAACCTCGCCTGACGGCTCGGGTTATATTTACAAACAACCGTTTATATAAGGTCACGCAACCTGTCTAATATTAAAAAATATTATTTTCAGTGGATATTCACTAAGTTCACTTCAGTGTTGTTATATTTTTCTGGTCCTTCGGGATCATTGATGCCAGCAGTATTAAGTGTTGAGAATTGAGTATCGCTCAAGCCAGTGCTAGGGGGCGTCAGGGATGTTGCACGTATTCATTATCCCTCATGTACAGACTCAATCAAACCGAGTCAGCAGTTCTCTTGTAATTTTGTTGTGATTAATGCTTCCAAGGTATCACTTTGTTTCCAGATTTTTATATAATCTTCTGTTAATTTATTGATAAATTTTCATTTTGTCTTTAACAAAGGATTGTGAAAGGATTATGTATTACAAATCTAAATATAGCAAGTAAAAATATAACAGCTGGTGTTGGCAAGAGCAAAATATTTCAATCTTTTACGTTAAACAAACAAAATTTCCATATATGTCATGCCTATCTGTTGTACTGATTTTTGCAGCGTAACGTAATGCATTTTATCACACACCCGTGCCGATTTTGCGGCTCCGTAAATATGGTATTGCACGGCCGTGCATATATTTTGACGTGACGTTATTAGCGTTATACAAACAGTGTAAAGACGCGCTAAATGCTAGCGTTATACTATAGGCGTGTCAATAAAAAATGACTCTTATTTCACTTTAAACGGTCTTTATTTTTGGTATATAATAAATAGAATATTAAATTCGTGTAAGTTCATTACTGAATTTATTGCACTCGTTGAGTAAAATAATATTCTGCTCGCCAGAGGCTCGCATAATATAATTTTATTCAACTCGTGCAATAGATTCAGTATTGAACTTACACTCATTCAATATCCTCTATTTTCTTCATGTCATTAAATCATTACATCACATGTAACTTTTTGAAATATAATTCTGTAAAAAGTACCGAATTTTGTTACATTTTTAACATTATGTACATGCAAATATTTATTTATATTGTCTTGTGCAAAATTACACATTTCAGAGTTTATTCCTTTCGGTGCTTCAGTTATTATATGAATTTTTTTCATCTGTATTTAAATATACATCTTCATGTAAACTAAAAGAGCTCTTACATATGTTTAATATGTGAGAAAAAGAAATAAAATATCATGTTTATGTAGGTTCATAATTTTTATCAATAAGGTGATATAATTATCATTTTTTTGTGTATTTTAAATTGGAAGTATTCTTCCTTTTGTGCCAAAGTGATAGTAACGAGAGCTATACGACACCTTCAATGTAACCGTTAATAATTGGGCATTTTAACGATTATTCGTTAATTACGAGAGTTTCGAGATACCAGCAAACGAGAGGCATACGACAGTCGTAATGCTAACGATAGCTTCGAGATACTGACCCCAGTTCTGTAATCGTAAATCGTGTATAACATATTTACGTCACTTTAATCATTTGTCTTTTCAACATTCCTATTTGTTAAAGAATTCTTACACACTTTTTCCTTCCGATTGAATCAATTATGTTTAGTGTTTATTTTCATATTTCATGAGATAAAAGCAGAACAACAACATTTCGAAGATAAAACCACTGGTATTACTATGAACATTGCTTTAAAATTGCAAAATTCAGATTACTTTATTGTTTTATATGTATTTCTGGTAGTGTTGATGCATAACGAGATTAAAGGTATTAATGAATAAATAACATAAAAGTTTCCTATTTCTTATACTTTGTTATGAAAGCATCTGCATATCGAACAGTAGTGTGGCTTTATCTGGCGCTTATATCATTTGAATATTTATTATTTATTAAATTGAACCATATGTAACTAAACATGTGCCGCAAAATTGTACATGTATACACCGCATACGTGTTACTATGATACTAGAATCGCATGGCGCACTTGCAATTATAACTAAATTTATTATTTTCATATGAAGTATTCTGCTTTATTTCAATGTATTGTTTATTAAATTTGAAGCACATATGTCAAAGCAACAGCAAATTCTATTTTATTTTGGAAAACACCTCGTAAATGTTCAAAAAAGAAGAAAACACATTTTAAATGCAAAATAATTTTTCTTTTTGCTTGATTTAAAGAGCTTTGTGTAGGTTACAGGTTTAACTAAATAAAGATTATAAAGAAATGAAATATGTACAGCTTCTCTTTTCTTAATCTATGAATTTAGACTAAAATGCTAAGTACAAAATTTAATAAAGATATCAAATATCTTGTGATAGGATTACTCTGTACCAGAGGGTGGCAACTTAAAAGAGTTCAAGAAACACAATGCTTTCTGAGACATAATAGTTCAAATCATCTACGATTAAACACCCGTACTTAGCATTTTCTGATATGTGCGAGGAACACGTTTTTACCTTTACAAACTATTTCAAAGAGACATTAGGTCCATCAAAATGTATATAGTGAGTAAACCATAAATAACTCAAATTACCCACGAACATTTCCATTAATAAAAGTTAAATATATGTTATCCTAAATTAGGAAAATGTGGCTGTCCCAGCTAAATTTCAACAAACCTTTACAGTGCATTACCCGTCCATTACAATTGATAAGGCAACATGTTGCGCTTATTTTCGAAGCTGTTACTTTAAAAGTTTGAATAAGCTGGGAAAACCCAAATGATCTGAATTCGAAGTAAGTCTATAACAATCGTAATGTACCAGTAACATTCAATTTATAAAAGAGACTGGGGCAGTTTTTATCAGTTTGTTTCCAGATTTTTATACTTCACAACAGCAGGTGTCAAGTGTTGTGTGGCAGCTGTAAAAAGTTGCCCCGTACTTCACTTGAGTGTTGTTATATTTTTCTGGTCTTTCGGGATCATTGATGCCAGCACTATTAAGTGTTGAGAATTGAGTACCGCTCAAGCCGGTGCTAGGGGGCGTAAGGGATGCTGCACCTATTCATTATCCCTCATGTACAGACTCTATCAAACCGAGTCTGCAATTCTTATGTACTTTTGTTGTGATTAATGCTTCCGAGAGGTCCCTTTGTTTCCAGATTTTTATATTTCATCATAAGCATATTTCGATATCAACTGTTGGTCAATCACCATTATAACAGTAAATGTTTTGAAATATATCTTTAATTCAGCTCAACTTCACAATGAAAAAAGCTAATATCAATTTCTTTACAATTTACAATTACCGTAACACATGACGGTCGCATCGTTGTTATGGCCACAGTTATAGTAATTATCTACCGAATATCGACATTGGTTGAAATTGTTGTATGGCGGGGAGCATTCTAACCTGTCCATATAGATTGGTCCACTTCCTTGGTTCCAAAAGGATGAGATATACCTACATGCAAAAAAGCATCAAATAAGACATATTTGAAAGATATGATTGGGCAGAAATTATTTAAGTTGTAAGTAATTTCAGGTTTCCTAATATAATGAGCAGTTGTACGGCTTGTTCCCGTGTTAATAGAAGCTTCTTGTTTTAAATAATAATGTCCCCTACGCCAATCTCGCCGTATTGTATTTGAAAAACACAATTTCTTTAAATAGTGCTTTGCAGGGTTTTGTTACATTGAGCATATACCCAAAATTACTGGCAAGAAGGTTTGATTTATATTTACATACAAGGAAGGTAGGTATTCAATTGGTATAAAATATAGTAAATAAGAATCCCTAAAGAAAGCCTAACACGGCAGAAATTGAAAATGTTGCAGGCTCGGTTTGACTGAGCCTGTTCATACATGCATGTTGATATTCATCATGAGTAATGCTTCTATGAAAGTTTCCTTTCTTGTTTAATTTATAGGAAGGATCACATGTCTTAGGCTTAATTGTAAACTGAAATGAAATATCTAGAAACTCAGCATTTTTCTAAAATAATACCATGCAGTTTAGCATATATATATATATATATATATATATATATATATATATATAATAGCCCTGGTGACAAATTTGTCGCAGCATAGATGAATATAATCGACCGAAGCATCTGAAGCTTAAAACAAGTGTTAACAAAGTTTTTACACATGTTCTGCAACAACTTTAATGTTAAAGAAAAATGCATTCTATACAATAGCCATGGGACATCGGTCAAGTTAAAATATTTTTGTAACCTTAAATATACCTTGTGTCGATTGGTGTTAATATTACAAAACGTTCGATATATTTATTGGTTTAAAAAGGTGATAGTTTTCAACACAAAAATCGATGTTATTGTTTTAAAAGGTGATAGTTCAAAACACAAAAGGACCGAGATTGCCCTAGATTGCTCACCTGACCCATCGAATTCATCCGAGCAATTACCTAGACAAGCATTCTGACCAAGTTTCATGACAGGTGAGTCAAAAATGTGACCACTAGAGTGTTAACAAGGTTTTTAGACATTTGTGCAGTGTGACCTAGTCATACTAATTTCCAAGTTATTTGGATCAAAACAGTAGCCACTAGAGTGTTCAGAATTTTCTATTTTAAGCTCCTATGACATAGTTGTTCATCTGAGATGACCTATGCTCGAACACATCTAAGCAATAAGATAGACAAGCATCCTGACCAAGTTTGATTACAATAGAGTAAAAAATGTGACCACTAAAGTGTTAAGAAGGTCTTTCCATATTTGGACAGTGTGACCTAGTTTTTGACCCAAGGTGACCCATATTCGAACTTGACCTAGAAATCATAAAAACAAACTTTCAGACCAATTTCCTGAATGTTTGGATCAATAATGTAGCCACTAGAGTGTTAAGTATTTTCTATTTTAAGCTCCTGTGACCTAGTTTTTCATTTGAGATGACCGATGTTCAAACATATTCGAGCAAATACCTAGACAAGCAACCTGACCAAGTTTGATGACAATTTAGTAAAAGTGTGACCACTAAAGTGTTAACAAGGGTTTTCCATGTTTGGGCGGTGTGACCTAGTTTTTGACCAAAGGTGACCCATATTCGAACTTGACCTAGGAATTTTCAGACCAATTTCCTTGATATTTCGATCAAAACAGTAGCAACTAGAGTGTTAACTGGATTTCTATTTTTAGCTCCTGTGACCTATTTTTTTATTCGAGATGACCCATTTTCAAACATATCCGAGCAAATACCTAGGCAAGCATCTTTACAAAGTTTGATGACAAATGGGTCAAAATGTGACTACAAGAGTGTTAACAAGGTTTTTCTGTTTTTAGCTCCTTTGACCTAGTTTTTCATTCGAGATGACCCATTTTCGAACTCATTCGAGCAATAACCTATACAAGCATCCTGAAAAGGGTGGATGATGATTGAGTCAAAATGTGACCACTAGAGTGTTAACAAGGTTTTTTCTATTTTTAGCTTCTGTGACCTAGTGTTTTATCCGAGATGACCCATGTTCGAATCATCCGAGCAATAACCTAGACAAGCATCCAGACAAACTTTGATGATGATTGAGGCAAAATTGTGACCACTAGAGTGTTAACGAAAAATATGGACGAACGACGGACGGCAGACGACGGACATTCAACGATCCTAAAAGCTCAGCCTGAGCTACCTAAGGTGAGCTAAAAAGCAAAAAGGTGAAAAATCACACTTTTAAAATTATAAATATGGCAAATCGGCGTTAAAGCCATTTTCATTAAAAATATCTCTTTTGGAATGCATCTGGAGCAATAATTAAATAATGTGCGATTAAAATTTCCTTACTTAGCTTTAAATTTACACTTTTAGTTGTAGGTATAGCTCAAAATTGCAAATTATTTAATTTCTCCAATTGTTTTTTCTTTAAGACACAAACATTATATTACTCGGAGACCATACACCACATTTCATGGTTTGTAATGTAACTTTGTATGGACATTTCAACTTCTCCCTTTCGTTTTCACAGGGAGGGGGTAACTTACGTACCAATCTAATTGTTTTCGTATAATGGAGATTCATTGTCGAAAAATGTACATGCATTAATTATTTGTAGGCTTATCATATTACCTCTGATATATTAAATCATTCTGCCTCAATCTTTTGTTCTTGAAAAGTTAACTTTATTCTCGTTGTGTGCCTTATTGTATCATAATTTGTTACGAATATGTCATACACATTATTTCAATAGATGAAGCTATTAGGCTAGACATTTATTTCATCCAATCGACATGAATTTCGGTGTTAAATGATAATAATACGCATTTCGGAAATGTAATGTAGGACGCAATTGTTGTCAATCATGATATTTGCAAAACGAAGAGAGTCTTTTTACTTTATCCGTAACTTTTGAGGTTTGCCCTCGTATAATCGGGATTATCAAATTACTAGAAACAAAAACAAACACGGTTTGCGTATAACTCAGAATATACATATGTATTTCATATGTACTAATGTAGGATATAAAATTAGTAAAGTACAAACCTCAGATCTGACATTAAACAGTGCAAAACCTAAATATGTTTACACCTAGAAATAAGTCAAGCACACCCCGGAAATTTATAACTGGTTGCGATTAAAAGCACTGTCATGAGACGACGCCTTAATTGAGCAAAGAAGAAGTATTGTGATAAGGTGTATTATGCCATATTGAGGTATCAGTTGTGGACATGTCAAAATTGAAGCGAAATGCCAGTTGTGAGGAGATGGGTTGAGGTTATCATTCGGACACATTGCAGATACATGCATTATAAAAATTGGCCACAGAATGTCATTTAATCGTCAACATTTACCAAAAATATCCGCCAGTAAATTTTTATGTAAACGCCCCACCACAATACTTATAAACACTAACATTTTTAGTAAAAAAACAACACATTTGCTTATGCTTCAATAATTGGTTCAAAGTCAACAACACTCAAAATTAACTGGTTTATGATTGCTTAATTGGAACCGCTACTTATCATATTACTATTTCTTAGTTCAATTAAGTCGTCATCTAATGACAGTGCTTTCAGTCACAACCATGAGCATTAGTAATTTCTAGGTGTATATGTTATAGTTGATAAAATTCGTACAAACTGGCTTCTCCGACGATTATAACCCTAAATTTGAACACTTTAACTCCAAGCAGTTGATTTAGTTATTTAAGAATTGAAGACTTATCGCGGTAAGCAAACATTTTGTAATGTAAAAAATGAGCTAATGCTTACGTGGAAAGTCCAAGAATACCACAGATGGTATAAGCTCCAGACCAGTAGAATCGGGTCCGACAGACAGTTCCCCATGTTTCGTTGACCTTCAATTCTACTCTTCCGTGATATGGTCCGTTTGTTCCTGCTAATCTGATGTCCGTGATGTTTAATTGATATCCTTCAAGTAAAAACGCCAATTTTAGATTATCAAACGACAACATATCGATTTATTTTGATCATAGTATTTTACACCTTTTTGTTTAATTAATGAAGAAAAAAACTTATTAAACCGTCTTTTAATTAAAAAATAAATGTCATTTCTATCACAAGAGCTGCACAGACCTTAACCAACCACGATTAAAATATTCAAAAGCGTACGTCCGCATATTTAAATTAAAGTTTAAGAAGGTGAACAACTTGCAGTAAGAAATATAGCAGTGTAAGAAAAAAAATATCATTCATAGTCGCTTTTTAAAAATTGAAAAAATACAACATACTATTATAATTTTTACACTCTTTAGATATTTAAATACCTGTGCACTCTACTGCAACGTCATCGTAATGTGTGCAATTATTTGATATCTCGTAACTGCATTCGTTTATATGTGACTCTGTGCCATCACATATCATGTTGCTTACATAAATTGGACCACTTCCTACTTTACTGTAATGGCTTGCCTTCACGAAGAAGCTTTTATATCTGTTAAGAAAATAAGAAGGTTAAAGAAAAAACAACATAAAGAAATTACACTATCAAAACGTAGACTTTCTGCTATCAGACTTGCAATGTTTGAATAGCTACAAAATTCATATAATGGTGTAAAATAATTTAGATATCATCACTTTTGATACTTTCAAACTCTTTACAACATACCAAGAAAAACAAAATACCTTTTCAGCATTAAAGTACTTACTGTAAACCAAACATATTACATATAACATGTGCATCAGCAGAATCAAAACCTGTATCACAAATCGTGCCCCATGTCCCGTTTACTTTCAGTTCAACACGTCCTTCGGTGGGTCTATGTCCGCCATGCAGAGCAATGTCTTCTATTTGTAATGGGTGTTCTACAAACAATTACAATATTGCATTACTTTTCGTTAATTGAGACATATCATTTGAAGTTTTTTTCTTGTTTCTACAAAAATGAGACTGAACTATCACTTTCAATTTATACTATAAGAAATAATTTTTTTAAGAAATATATAAAATAATGCTTAAAGGTTATGTTTACCAATATATGGAGTGCATCTTTGTTCCTGAAACCAGTTATTATCTTCAAGGCATGTCATCGTTACTTGGTTTGGCCGTGATCCTTTGTGGCAAGCAATAGTTAACACATTTCCATTGAATGAAACAGGTTGTCCGTTGTAAATTGTAGGTAAGCCACATGCTTTAAATTATATTGTCAATGATTATGTTTTTTTTTTATTTCAAAAAGCGTTTCATATTTCTAAGTTCTAGCAGGCCATTTGCATATAAAAATATATATTATTAGATAAGATTCGCTTTTAGAAACACAAAATGATAATATATGCGTTTCATAACTCTAACTCTTAAGTTTGCTACTGGCAGAAGCAATGTATATTCAATAACTATTTTACTTTTTTTCACACGGATTTTATGAAAGCATTTCATTAACATGTCGCTCATTAAAGGGAGACACAGGCAAAATTTTCATTTCTTAGTTTTGAATTTTTCATTCATTATTCTGTAAATGCCTTTAAAATGAATATATTAGACAGTCAATGGAACAAAAAAAAATTCCATATAAAGAATAAAATGGTGGTTTCATAACTTGACCCGCGTGGGTCAGGTTAAAGCGCTATTATTTCGCAATATTTGTCAAAGTGAACTCTGGAAACGTTAAAGAACATTTCAAATGAATGACATAGACTTGTTTCAATCATACAATTTCCAAAATATCTATTATTGTAACTTAAAGAGTTGGTTCAAGTCACCTGACTCGTTTTAAAACTATTTGGTGATTCTATTGGCGTCTAAATTTGGTTAACATGAATAGATGCATTTACGTTTCATACCCAAAATATATAAAATTCAAACAGAAATTCATGCTGAAACTTCAAGAACCGTCATTTTAGCCTGATTTGAGTAAATACGATCATTTTAATATTTTTGTCATTATTTTGCCTGAATATCCCTTTAAGCTTGTAACCTTACAAAAATGTTAATTTTTTTAACTTTACTTATGCCATTTTAAATGTTTACGAGTATATAAGATAGCTATTAGTTTCCAATAACATTTCAAAATATCCAAATTTATCGATTTAATTAAGTTTGTTTTAGTCAGCTGTATGCAATAACTTACTTGTACAAGCTATAGATAAATCGTAGGTATGTGAAGAATAAGGTCTGTATGGTGAAAAACCAGTACACCTGCTTATGTGACTCTTTTCACTGTAACAGTAGAGCTCCCGTAAAAATATAGGCCCTGTCCCTTGTCCATATATTGCAGACGTGAAATACATTGCTAGACTAAAATGTAAAAAGGGTTACTTTTATTGTCAGATACTTTTGTTTATACATTCAGAAATATTTGTCATATGCATCCTTGATATGCTTTCCAAAAACATGATATTACGCAATCGAAAATTCGTATCATCCACTTGTCCGGAAGAAGCGAAATATTTTTTCGGAAAAAGAAAGTATTTTCTTAATAAACAATATCAAGAACGATATTGTCAACTTTCAAAAAATGTATACAATACTTATACAAGTGACCTTAACTGTATTAAACATTATTTTTCATCATTTGAAAGCATTCAATATTACGATTATTTGCAGGAATAGTTGCATGTACAACAGCACTAATGTATTTTCCCTGCTGCATTTGCAAGAGTCTTAAACATTGCACTTATACATCATATTAGATGTAGACATACTTAATGAACTATCACCTTGATTCTAAATAGAACGTTAGCATAGTACTTAAAACGTTATAAACAAACAATGTCATTATTTCTTTTAAATTTTCGCTTTTCTTGTGTTTTTTCTCTGAATATTCCCGTAATTGAAATCAATACAAGAGACTATAGCTCAATACAATGTTTCTAAACTGTTGTAAACTCCTTTGCTAAAATTTACACGAGCTTTTTGAAAACGCATTTTAAAGGGTTATCTATACATAACAATATCTAATTGACTATGGATAAAATACTTTGATAGGCTATCTATTGAAACAAACTTGAATGTCTTATGTATGAATGACAATTTTAATGAGCTTTCTATGGATATCGAGTTTTTTAACCTTAAAGACACTTATGTCAAAAAAGAAAAGAAATCTGGTTACGGTGCTCAGATTATGATGATGGGAAATTGTTATTTGAAAAATATAAATGTACCTTTAAGAATGTATATATTAACTCATTACTGACCTTGTATTGTGCGTGTTACATATCGTGCGAGCATCATACATATCAACATATCTCGCATCAATTGTTCCCCATTGACCATTAACATACATCTCTATACGACCATCATAAGGTCCTGTGCCATTAACAAGTCTGGTATTTGTTATCTGTGTCATTTGCCATTCTAAAATAAATGTATCGGTTAGGACATACACGTACAGTATATCAAATATCGTTAGTAAATCAACAAGGACAGGCGGAGTTCAATGAATCAACCCCAACACAATCCAGCAACAACAACACTGGCCACGGAGGGGGACACACACCAACACTGAGCGCCGAACAATCCCTTGAGAATGAAAATATAACAACATTGATTGCCTGCATGGGGAACATTTTACAGCCACCAAACGACACAAACAACACGGTGGTGAAAGAAATATTGTACTTACATTAATTGCCTTATATTATTTAAGTTGAAGTTGTATTTACATATCTAAGATTCAAGAAAATGTAAAACTGAACCATTTAATTATGTACAAAAATTCCTTTGAAATATGTTTTTGCTTCGATTATTGACAATAGTTAAATTCAATGCTTTGAAATGTTTAGAATATCGTTAATAGAACTTATGGCATATAAAAATTCCTTTTTGTTTCGTACATTGACAAGTAATAAGCGTGCTTTGAAATATTTACAATATCCTTATAATAACTATAATTATAATATTTTATTTTGTTATTGCTACAGAACTTTGTGTTTGTGCGTATCGCAAAACAACTTTAGAAGATGAGAAGCACTGTATTTTATGTTTATGGATTAAATGTAAATTAAACGTTCGATATATATACCGTATAATGTATTTCAATATCAAAAAATGAAAATGTCTAGTTTTCTTTAGGAGCAATTCAGAAAACTGGTTTACACGTATGTAACTATGTACAGTTATAATTTTTGTACAACAATAAAGTTGTTGAAAATCACAGCACAAAAAAGAATAAGATACATAACGTAAA